GACATGGTTTTTGCTTCATTTATTCGCCGCGGTGAGGACATCAAGGACATTCGAAGAGTCCTCGGCGAAGACGGAAAGGACATCCAGATTATCGCAAAGATTGAGAACCAGCAAGGTGTGAACAATTTCGATGAGATTCTCAAGGAGACCGACGGTGTTATGGTTGCTCGTGGCGATCTCGGTATCGAGATTGCCCCTGCTCAGGTCTTCATCGCGCAGAAAATGATGATTGCGAAGTGCAACCGCGCTGGAAAGCCCGTCATCTGCGCAACCCAGATGCTTGAGTCAATGACTAACAACCCTCGCCCTACTCGTGCTGAAGTCAGCGATGTTGGCAACGCCGTTCTCGATGGAGCGGACTGCGTCATGCTGTCTGGTGAGACTGCCAAAGGTAACTACCCTAAAGAATCTGTGGCGATGATGCATGACACCTGCTCCTTGGCCGAAGTTGCCATACCTTACGTCAGCTTGTTCAACGATATGCGTGCAACGACCAAGAAGCCCGTCAGCTTGTTAGAGTCGGCTGCCATGTCCGCTGTGAGCACCAGCTTGGAGATGAACGCTGGCGCCATTCTTGTCCTGACTACAAGGTATGACCCCCAGCAGATGCTGCTCCAATCAAGCTAATCCTCGCATAGTGGCAATTCTGCCCGGATGATCTCCAAATATCGTCCTGTATGCCCAATCATCATGGTCACTCGCAATGCTACTGCCTCTCGCGTATGTAAATCGACTCCTCTAATCAAATTCCTCGCTAATCAAAAACAGTACTCACATTTGTATCGCGGCGTATACCCATTTATGTTCCCAAGGCAGAAACCAGACTTTAAGGAAGCTGATTGGCAGGAAGATGTCGACGGCAGACTCAAGTGGGGGATTAAGCAAGCCATTGGTCTAAGCATCCTGAGTGAAGGAGACATGGTCGTCTGTGTTCAAGGCTGGCGCGGAGGAAAGGGACACACCAACACCATCCGTATTGTCCCCGCAAAGGAGGACTTGGGTCTTACCGATTTTTGAAGCCCAATCCAAGATTGAAGATGCTGCTTCATTGCTACGAACTTGGAAACCAAGTAAAGGATCATGACTCTACGATGATCTTCTTCGTTTACTTTTCCCAACATGAAGAGATCTCCATGTGTGTACTCTAACAGACTTTGTAGCGCAGCTTGCAGATGCTATTGCCATCAGACCGCTACATTAAAACGGCTATGATGAACAAGGCTCCTCTTCCCCTTCACAGTAGATATAACCAGAAAAACACTCGTCAAGCAATGAGGGAGCGCGATAAAACGAGAACAAGGGCTACGAACCCCGATCGGGCAATCCTTGGCACAGAAACAAAAGAAACACAACCTGCGCCCAACTCCCCCCCCACCACCCAAAGCCTGCCGGTTTCCCACGTATCTGTTCGGCCCACCTACAACATCTACGCCCAAGCCTCACCGTCTCCGCCAGTCCATCAAGGCTTTCTTGGTAAGGCTGGTCCCTCTCACTCCTAGGTATTCGTCACCTGTCCGCCACTCGGCCCGGGGGAAAGTTCCCTCGGCGGTCCTTGCTCCCAAAGCAAACGTGCAGTGGTAAAACGGGTGTTCGGGCTATGTAACGCAGATACAGCATTTCTTACGACTGATCTACAGCGTTAGGATTGCGGTCGGCGTGCATCGCCCTGAAATGGGCTCCCTGCAGCTGTAGAAGGCTGGCTTACTGACTGCAGTAGGGATGTGGGTTTGTCATATGACACGTGACGTCAGGTCAGACCTCCCTTGGTATTTAACAGTTATATATAGCCAAATAAGCGCACTAATAAAATCTATCACTATATTTGCTACATTTTGATTGATCAATTAGGCCCCAGATAAACATCGGATGATTTCAATTCGTTGAAATAGCTATCGTCCGATCTTTGCCATCGCCCTGCGGGGATACCTTACCCAAATTCGGCCCCCTTTTAGTGTAGAATCCCTATAGCCCTTATGATCCTTTTGATCCTCCTCCTTCTTCTTCTTCTTTCTAATCGATATTAGTTATTATAATATTCTTATAGTTAATTAATAAGACGTCTCTCTTCTTCTCGCTATCCTTCTTCTGCTGAATAGCTATTATACTACTCTACTACTTTACTTATTTATCCTCTATTTATAATAACTTCTTTATACTTAAGACTCGAGCTTTTAATTATCTAAGTACTTATTAATTAATATAAATATATTATAATCTATTTACTCGCTTCGATATAAGTCGATTATAGAGCTTTTAAGTGTAGGTAGTTTATAGTTAAAAAGGCTCGCTCTAAGGATATTGAATTTACTATAACTAATTATAATCTTCGAGCTATTTTATTAAGATATAGACTTATATTAATAATCTTTCGTTAGAATAATAATAGATTATTACTATTATTCTAGATATTATTAAGCGATAGTATCTAATCTTTCTACTCTTGAAAGTCGAAGAACTCGATTTTAATAATAGCGTAATATTAAGTAGAAGTATATTACTAAAAAAAGACTAATAGCTTTATTTAATCGAGTATTCTAAGCGTTTTATTATAATATTTAAAATAGAAATAATAGATAACTCGATGGATAGAAAGGATCTATTTATTTAGCCTTTATAAGAATTCTTTCGCTAAAAAGTTATAAATAAATAATTTATAGCGATTATAGCGAGTTTAATATATTAAATAACGTTAAATTATTAATTATCTATTATAAACTCGATCGAGTATAAAATTATTACTTTCTAATATTCTTTATATATTATAAATAGATTTAAGAATAGCAAGTAGTTCGTTAATTTATTATTAGAAAGCGATATCTCTTAGATAGTTAATTATTCGATTTAAAGGCTTATTAGAAAGAGTCTTAAATTTAGTATTCTTATTCTATATATATATTTATAATATAGCTCTACTATCGATAAGAGACTATAAGAGATTAATCTATATATCTTATCGAAGAATAGTTAAGACTATTAATGCTTTATACTTTTTATATTAATATATCTAATACTTTTAAAGAAGATTAAATTATTACTTTACTTTACGTAAGAAGTTAACGTATTTTAAGATTTTTTTAAATATTATATTAAGCTCTAATAGATTTAGAATATTCTTTATTAATAGCTATAGACTATAAGAGTTATATAAAATAAAGAAGATATATCTAAATCGAGAATTCTATTAAATAATATTTTATATCGCTTATTTTAAGTTATATATATTTATTATAAAGCTATTTACCCTCTGAAAATCGCCTTTAATAACTTCTTCTATTATAGAAATTATTTATTTTATTATATTTACTATAGAAAGCTTTTAATATTTAGTTAATTTAGTATAAATATAGAAGGATTAACTCTTAGTTATTATATATATATTAAGAATTTAATCGTCTAACTAATTATTACTCTTATCGCTAACGAAGTTTAAAAGTTATAATTAATTTAGAAGCCTATCTATCTTTTTTTAAGTTTTAAAAAAAACTTTATCTAGTAGAGTATCTACTACTCTATCTCTTAAGAGTAATATTTAGCTATTTTCTTTCGTAAATAGCTCTTTTATAGCTTTATCTTTAAAGAGATTTAATAATTTTTCTTTATAGTAGATAGCTATTATAGCTAGCTTATTTAATTACTTACGCTTATAAAGAGATAGATTACTACTAAAGAGAGGTTTTTATATCTTATTCTCTATAATAGCTACTTTACGTGTGATGCTATTAGATTATTATTACTCCTTTATAGTCTTTAGATAAATTTAACACTTTATAAGATAGTCTCGCTGACGTGAAGTATACTTTATTAAATTCTTCGAGTAATATTAATAGCGAACTCGCTTTTTCTTCTTTTTATTAATCGATATATTAATTAAAAGTATTATAAATAAGCGTATCTAATAGAAATATTATAGGCTTAGCTATATTTGATAGTAGAACTTTTATTTAACTATATAATAGTGTAGAAATGAGAGTGATAAGTGAATATTGAGTGCTTTGTTAAGGAGATACGAGGATATTCGATATTCGACTAAACCTCATACTGATTAAAATCTAACCTATTCGGGTTAGCGCTGTCATTTGTCAGGTCAAACGGCCTGTCACCGTATGACCGTCACATGACTGTCATAGGGGTCAAATGTCAGTCATTACGCATCCCTAGACTGCAGGCTGCCCTCTACGAATGTATTTTTTTTTTTTTTCTTGCTGACGTTTCTCCTCGAGGTCGAATCTGCTGCATTTCTGCAACGATTACGAACCCCGGTCTGTTGTTCCGGCGCCGTCTTTTCGGTTTTATATTCCATGCGTTGCTATATGCTCGACAATTATCCTTGTTTTCTTTTCAAGAAGCCTCAATGATGGAAAGAGAGCCGGAGCTGAGGTAGAAGGATCGCGGTTCTTGAAAGATCTCTCCGTTCTAACGGCAACGTAGGCAAGTGCTTTGCGGATGGCAGATACTCGTTCGTTCACCCATTCTACGATACGGTCTGTCTCGTACATGGCTACAGATGATTGTTCTCAGTACGGTGACAGGTGTGACTATATTCCAAAAGGATGGCGAGGCTCTCAAGGTTGCTGGTCCGTCGGGTTCCTTGCTTGCTCTTGCCATTGCTGGTGTGGCCGCGATATCCGCCGTGGAAGGAGTTAGCGAGATGATGATACAGATGTTCCCCGCGCCGAATGCTGCATGGAAGTCGTACGGGCTTTCGTGGATCCAGATTTGGCATGGGTGGGTGAGCGCTCCATGCCTGTCAAGCAAGCGCGGCCTCGAGCTTGCGCCATGCGAGTGGTGCGGATATTAGGCACGATTAAGATGCCGAAGAAGAAGCTATAAAGAGAACGAGAGTCCTCGTCCCGTCCTGACCCCAAGGTTCGTGGTGACCTGAACGGCCGAAACAAAGCCAATACCTGCAAATTAAAGCATACAATCCAGCATAAGATTGTATGATACCATTTGGAACGAGAAGCAGGCTTGAAATCTATACTTGCCAAATTTTTGTGCTCCTAAGATTGGTGCTTCTTGCTCGCCGCTTTCTTTTCCTTTGCTTCTTGTATGTCCCTCTTCGCCTTCAACAACTCCTCCTCCGTTGGCTTGTTCACCACCATCAGATAATGCACATTCTCCTGCAGCAGACGCTTGCTTGACTGTTCTCTGATACCTTGTGCGCGTTTCTCCGCCGCTTGGCGTTGCGCGCGCTCATATCGACGGCGACCCAATCTAAGTTGTCGTTAGGCGAGAACAGATATGAAGAGAGTGATAATGAGAGTAAAATTCGGAGAGGTGGGCTTACGGCTCGGCTTTGAATTTGCCGCCTGTAATCAGTGTGAAGAAGTGCGTGTTGGTTGCATGATTGGGGTCTGCAAAGCGCGATCTAAATCTTGGCGCCGCAGGGGCTGCTTGAGCGGTCAAGGTGGACTCTGGATTCTGATAGGCCTGTGACGATTTCGTCAGATATATCCCAAGTTGATGAAAAATAGAGGGAGAAGATGTGCGGGAAAAGTGAAGTGAGGTGGTGGCCGGTTGGCAAGAACATACGTAAGATGCCTGCGCTCGGCGATCATAGTAGTCGTTGAGGAATTTGGACGCGCTTTTTGACTTAGCCATGATGCTACTGCCTATACCATCGCTATTGCGTTCTTCTTCCGCAGCAGGGGAAGCAAGTCCAGCAGCGTCAAGGGCAGGAAAGATGAGCCGTGCGCAAGGGACAGGCATCTGTGCCTCGCCGTGAGTCTCGCCACTGGCAAGGCGGAGCTGCTTCATCTTCTCCTTGACGTCCTCCAGCATTCTTGGCTTCTCTGAACTTCCTGGTTCAGCCACAGTTGCATCTGGCTGAGCGTCTCTGCCATACTTCGCAATTGCAGTGGCGCCCAGATCAACCCGTTCTATGCCATTCTCTGGCTGCTCGCTACCACCAGTCTTGTACATGACAATCATGGCGTAAAGCCCTGCGCACGTTTCGGAGTCAGCGTTGCTTTTCAAAGACAAACTTCAGGCTCGCAAGACAGGTTTCGGGAGTAGAAAAAGCCTTCTTCTCTGAAAATGTGTTTTGCAACTCGGGATTGGGTGAGCAGGAAAGAGTTACTCCGAAATGTACGAACCTTAAGGTACCAAAAAGTCCATGTTCGCCTGTGTCATAAACATGTTGGTGCGGTACCATTCAGCTTGACAATACGCCGAGACCCAAGTAGCAGCAGTCAAGAGAGGTACAGTGGCGAGAGTGGCCGCATCCCCCAACCCTCTTCTAACATGAGGTAGAGCCAAACCCCTGAATCCGTTTCGATAATTCCTCACCTTGAATCTTCTCTTGTGTTGCATCCTGTGCGTATTGATTCTGATCCTTTGCTCCCTCGGAAGCAACATGCGCATCTATACCAACCTTCACGCGGAAGATCTCGAAATGGTCGATCTTGACAGCTACCTCCCAGTTACTATAAGCTGTTATGTCATTATCGTTACCGGTCATGTACACCGGTTTATACCCAACAACCTTGCCGCTATCGGTATCTGTGATGTTGCTCGTCAGCGTCGCTGACTTCGTCTCTGGATCAATGCACAAGCCAGCGCCTTTTCTTTCAGGGTCTCCGATCCTGTAGGCTTTCGTGGACTCTAGAGGCGGTTCGTCACTTGCTGCAACAGCTCTTAACAATGGTGCGTCGTCTTCTGTGTTTATGATTTGGGTAAGGAGCATGTGAGGGCCGTTCCATCGGAGAAGTCGGAAATTAGGCCGTAGCTGGAAGAGTAAATGCGGAGTGCTGGTCTTGGGTTCACGCTTCTCCCCTTTGGCGTTGGAGAGCGGCCTAGGAAAGTATGCTCCGATTACTGTGAGCGGTGTCGTTGCTGTTGCGTTGCTGGTAAGCAGTATGAGATGGGGATGTGGGTCTTGGACGAGAGACTGGACGAGACGTGTTACTGTTGGGTCATATGATCTCTGCGACGGGGGGAAAGAGTCTTCCAGAGAGATTCGCATGTCCTGTGTCGTTGGCTGGGAGTGGCTGGAGATCTTGGGTTGAGGTATGAATAGTGAAATAGCTGCAAGTATATGGTTGGGTATAGCTCCGGGGATCTGGGATGGCGCTTTATCATCTGCGGTCATGGGTGGTTGAAAAAGAACGGCCCAAAGCTGGTGGAACTGTAGCTGCAAATTTGGCTGTGAAAGATTAGACGTGCCGAACACTGAGACAGGTACCACCACCAGGGGGTAAGGAAAGTCGTGTCGGGTACTGCCAGCTATCACGAGATCATGAAAAGCCGTTGAATGATTTGACCAGCAAAAGCTCAAGGCCAAATAATCGTTGAAGCGAGCAGTAACCGGCATGACAACTGGGACCCCCTGGTGCCACTAGGTCCAGACTTACCAGTAGATCCATTGACATTATAATTTGACCAGACGTAAGATACTCCTCGTCCTGATTCTCACCCAGTCCTCTCACCAGTATATCAGCCAGTTCTTCATTACCAGGATCTCTTTTTCCAATAGTACCAAAATGGAAGCGTGATCCCCACTTAGCTTCGCGTAGCCTCAGCCGTAGCAGTAAGCTCAGTAATGCCGATAAGTCTTCGCGACCTATCCGATATCGCCTTTGAGAAGCACCTTCACCAAGGAGCTTTTGGGCTGCAGGTCGAAGCTGATCCGGCGACGGAGCCAAGCTTACTGTGTGAGGCTGCGTCATGGCTAATACGTCCATGGCAGCTTCCAAAATAGATGTTGAGTCATAATCCAGATGGTTGGACGGCCGGTCTGTATTCTCTGGGAGGCCAATACTTCTGAAAATACTTTCGAAGTTGGCTTTGCGGAAATAAGCATCGTCGTTGCGCCAGAAGTAATCACCTCCGTCCTGCGTGCCCAAAATATCCGTGCCTTGGACGACTAGTAAAGCTACAGCACGCTGGAAGGCCGCCGAATCCAATTTTCCGTCAGTAGTATCGCGTGGAAACGGGTGATAGGCGTAGAAGTAGAAACATCTCCATAGCAGCTGGATCGAGGCCTCGGACATAGCGACATCAGGATACAATTTCTCTAAGTATTTTCTGAAACTGTTGTCGTTCCAGTCTGGATTTATTGTTAATTACCGTAGCGGGCTCTATTCTGGTGGCTGGTTGTGACTGACATGGCTGCTGAGAGGAGTCTTCGACGCAGTAGGTGTCGAATGTCGTCCACAGACTCTTTACCCCCCTAAGCCTCGGCGCAAGTGCTTTTTTGAGATCTTCGAGGACCGAGTCTGAATTTTGTAACTTCATGTCAGCAAAACCAGAGTCAAATCTTGTAGATCAAAGTCTCTACTGACTGACCTGCTCTGGCTTCATCGAGATACTTTTTCACCTTCCGCTTATATGGTCCGAATTGGACTTCATCTAGGATCTTGCCCAGTGCTCCGATCATAGCTACTGCTCCTGTTATGCTCTGCTCTGTTATCACATGTACATACAAGAGCGCGGGTTTGAAAAGGTTTGTCCCTCATATGACGACCTAGATTTGCGTGCTACGTGTGTGCTCTCAAGTCGTGGATAGGGCATGTAAGAAGTTAAACTCCGCAGTCAAACTCAAGCGTAGAGTACTTGAGTCCTCTACGTACTAGTACTCAAGTTCTTGTCTGAACCGGTACAGAGGCAGGGTCATATACGTATAGCGGTATTGAATAAGACAACTAGCTGAGGAGAAAATACCTTACATTACTTATGATAGCAGCCCCTGCCAAGACACGCTAGATCACAGTGAGGCCGAGGCAGATCTCTGTCTTCCTGGCGCTGGATTTTCTAATCCAAACAGGCATTTATCTCTACACACACTCACCAATGGCTTCCGGGTCGCTACGAATAGCTTTGATACCTGGTGATGGTATCGGCCGTGAGGTCATACCGGTAAGCATGCCATTTCTGTAGTTATGGCTTCCATCCTGACTGACACAGGCAGGCCGACGAGTACTGGAAGCCATTGCAAGCACCTTCAAACTCGACCTCTCCTTCCTCGATCTCCCCGCTGGTTACGAAACGTTTCAGCAAACGGGCAACGCCCTCCCAGACAGAACGGTTGAGACATTGAAGAAAGAATGCAATGGCGCCCTCTTTGGAGCCGTCAGCTCCCCAACCACCAAAGTCGCCGGCTACTCCTCGCCTATTGTCGCTTTACGGAAAAAAATGGATCTCTATGCCAATGTACGACCTGTCAAGACTACAGCCTCATCTAAGATGCCGATAGACTTGGTCATCGTGCGCGAAAATACGGAAGATTTGTATGTCAAAGAGGAGCGAACATACGAAGCCTCGGATGGCTCAGGCAAAGTCGCCGAGGCTATCAAGCGCATTTCTGAACGAGCAAGCCATCGAATAGCGTCTATGGCTGGCGAGATTGCCCTCAGGCGGCAGAAAATCAGAGATACCGGAGTTCAGAGCGTGCACTCAAGTCCTTTAATCACCATCACACACAAAAGCAACGTCCTCTCACAAACTGACGGTCTGTTCAGAGAAACTGCTCGTGCCGCTCTCGCCGATCCAAAATACAAGTCAGTAGATGTCGAAGAACAGATCGTCGACTCCATGGTCTACAAACTCTTCCGCCAACCTTCTTCATACGACGTAATTGTCGCCCCAAATCTCTATGGTGACATCCTCTCAGACGGCGCAGCTGCCCTGGTTGGAAGTCTTGGTCTTGTGCCATCCGCGAATGTGGGCGATGGCTTCGTGATAGGAGAACCATGTCATGGTAGTGCACCAGATATCATGGGTAAAGGGATTGCGAATCCAATTGCTACGATTAGGAGTACGGCTCTGATGCTGGAATTTCTGGGGCATGAAGAAGCTGCTGCGAAGGTGTATGCGGCGGTAGATGCAAATTTGGATGAAGGGAAGTTGCTGACGCCGGATATGGGTGGAAAGGCAGGAACGGTGGAGGTGATTGAGGATGTGATGAGGAGGATGTAGTGGGCAAGGCTCATTTTTGAGGGAAGATCGAGAGGTATGTACAAAGTTAGCTCATAAGCATCAGAGCATCTAGAAAGACGGCGCAAGAGCTGAAGAACACATGGGACTATGCCCATGAAAGCTTTAACACCAATGGGGTCACTGTCTTCTGAAACCCTCGTGAGATGAGAACCCAACCGACTGGGGGAAACATGGAACAGCGCAAGGAAGATCTTTTAGCTGGATGTTTCTGCTGAGCCATCACGTGATTATAAAGCTGACAGGTAGAGAACCATAAGTTGCCCAATTTAAATTTCCTCTACGCAGTTTTCCGCGTCAGATTGCTTATTCGAGGTAGGAACGGGAGTTACAAGACAGGTTTCGGTAGTAGAAAGAAATGGGAAGGAAGTATCAGCTCCGAAATGTAAGATCTTCCGCCTATCATAGGTTTTTATTTACTCACTGATTACACCGATACACTCCACTTCTATCTCTTTGTTTCACCTCATCAGTCCCGCCATCCTAATAATTCTAGCCACAGCAATGGGTTCCTTGACCAAGGAGCCACGCGACTACTCCAACTACTTCCCCCACCTCACCTCACAAGAAGAAGACCTCGCCTTCTTGTACTCCAGACCCACCAACCGCTCTGCCCATGACGCAATGCCATCAGCAGGGCGTCTAACCCCATACAATGACAGCCTCATGGGCACATCCCGTCACCACAACTTCGATCTCACACCTTCGATTACCTGCTCTGAGCCGGGAGCAACGTGTTCTGACGAGGCAAGGATATCTATCTCGGATAGCATCACAAAGAATAGCAAGTGGCGACGAGGTGACAGTCCTCCTCTAACACATTCCCGAGGCGAGCGGTACCATTCGAGGACACTATCCCCTCCTCCACTGCTCCATTCTTCGCCACCTCCACGCTCAAAGCGTCGGCCATCTCGTACTCCACCCAGAGATCATTCCAGGCGTCTACTTAGTTACAATGAGCTGTACTCGTCACGTTCACGCTCTCCAGTGTCTTCATCCTGGGCAATTGACACCTACCGCCCACGCAAAAACTACACATGCGACAATTACGGATGCGGAGACCAACACAGTCACGACGACTGTCCTCTACCGATGAGATGTCGCGGCTGTCGTTCAAAAAGGCACTTCACGTCCGCCTGCATTCAAGTCTGTGTCAGCTGTGGTCACACTGGCCACAACGTGGCTTACTGCTCAGAATTTTTTGTTGGTAGAGATGGAAGATCGCGGCCTTTGGAATTGTCTAGGTACATAATACTTTCTTCCATCCAAGCTTGCCCCTAAGAGAATGTTGATTTCAGATTCAAGGGACCATGCCAGAGAGCGTCAGCAAGGATTGTACAGGGCACGAAAAGATTGGGACAGGCCACAAAGTCGACCAAACCTCCGCTTTGACTCTCTTCAGCGCCACAGCACCCAGTCCTCGAACCCTACCCGCTTATCATCACTCGAACTCACAGACACTTCCCCAAAATTACCGCAACGTCTCGCATTCGAAGAAGAAGAATCCATCAAGCAAGCCCGCCACGAAGCCGATATGGCGCGCAAAGCTGCAGCGCAGAAACTAGAAATCGAGCACGAAGTCCGCTTACTGGAGATCCGTCGGCAGTATGCTGTGGGTTTGCCATCATCGAATGCTCTGCCTTCGTCTGTGCTGTACCCGCCTTTTGATCCGAATGGGCCTTTGGATATACCAGACACGGTATTCAGGCCAGACACGGTATTCGGAGGTGAACTATTGCCAGTGCATGCTGCAGCTACTGTAAGTAAGCAGCGAAGAGGAGATGGGAATGGAGGGATTAAGATGGAGAAGGGAATCAAGTATGCAGGCAGGGCGCTTCGGGGGAGAGGAACCGTTGCGGGTGGGAGAATCTGTGGATGACTAGACGTGCTTTCTCGGATGCTTAGTGCGCTGTGAACATGGCATTCTGTTAACAAAACAGTATTACACGGCGCATCTATAGCTATGTCGAGCAATTACACAGGGCAATTTCGCAAAAGAATTCCTTTCGACCGTCTCATCATCATCATAGATTCGTGATAGTCCATCATCATCATAAAGTCCTTGCCCAATCCCATTCCGCCAGCTCAATGCACTGCGCGTCCAAGCACGCCCGAACACTACACCTCGTCGTACACTTGCTCGCCCATCTCCTTCACAGCACCTCGAAAAGCATGGCCACGAGCCCGAAAGCGACGGCGAGGAAGTGGGAATAGACGCCGAAGAAGCCGTGGTAGCGTCGAGACATTGTCGGGAATCGGGCAGTCCGGGTGTCTCGGTTTCCGTGGATCGAGAGAGAGAGAGAGAGAGAGAGATGGGGATGTCGGAGTGAAGGACGGAGTAGGTATGGGAGATGGGGACGGCGGTGCGAGGAGCGTTGAGTGTCGGTGGTGTGGATTTTGGGCGTGGGAGAGATAGTAGTAGGTTGGTATGTTGCGAGGCGTTGGGTGAAAGAATTGATTTTTTAGTACTTTTTTTTTTCAAAGTTCCGGGACTTCAAGGAAAGAAGGCAGCAAAGCAGTCCATCTTATACCTTTTTTTCTGCGATGAATAGGAAACACAGCCGTCTGTGGACTGAGGCATTTTCGTTCTGGAAAATGGCTCCCGCCGGTGGCGAACGGCAGGTATCCTAGGTACGCTTCTGATTTGCGGGAGACCACGACATCGTGCATAAACGAAAACGAACCACCAAAATGAAAGTATGATCGGCGAAGAAGATTAGATATCCTCAATTTGGTGCGCGATATTGAAGGTCTTGATGATATCACGCTTGAGAAGATGATGGTACATGTGCGCCCAAGAATGCTTTGGATGCGAAACTCCGCGCCCAGATGCCAAACACACACCAGTACATACATACAGCTTGACATGTATGGAATTAACCAGACATTACCTCCTCTCAACCAATAATACATGCATAGCGACATAGGCGATCACGATGAAAGAGCCAGAGAAAATGGCGAGACCAATGACATCCTTCCACAAAGCGAGGTTGTCGAACCCAAACGCACTCAAGATAGATGCGCCAGGCACTTCGATATCGAGACCGTATTTGTGATCGACGAGAGTAAGGAATGTGACTTCGTTGACGATGAGACCCTCGAAACCGTAGTGAAAGATCGAGAGCTGTAGCACATTAGCACAGAGTTCTTATTCGGTAGTGAAAAACAATGCTTACGGTCTGCAGCCACAGTGCTGCCTTCGGTATTGCATCGTGGTTGAGCAACAGACCTGCAAAGAGCAGGCTGAAAAGCATCACCAAGCTGCCGATCAGATTCGCAACACCGCCGTCCTTGAAGACGATGCCGATAAACAGGCATATGGCGGCTGCGGCGAGGTTGAAAAGCACTAGGATGAGTATGAACTTGAGGAATTCAGGCCATGCCGGCGTTAGGCCAGTCATGGGGTATACGATTGCTCCCATGATTATTGGAGGTATGAGCCGTAGGGGAACAATGTCGAAGACAACTTTTGCCGCGAAATAAGAAATAGGCGAGTAGTAGCCATTTGCTCTTTCCCGTACAAACAGAAGTCGCTCAGATGAGAACACCGTGAGACTTGTTAAAGTGCTGAAGCCGAACAAGGCGAGGATGAAAAAGAAAAGGCCGAGTCTGTTTTGGAAGCCTTTTATATCGTCGGTCAATCCGTAGAATAAAAAGCCGGAAAGAACAGCAAGGAGGATAGCGATGGCGTAGTGGGTGAGCATTAGCATAGGGTTCCGGTAAAGGTTTCGCCAGGTTCTTTGGGATAAAATCGTGAATTGACTGATCCAGCCCACGCGTCGGTAGCCTTTCATAGCACCTGATGCGACTCTCGCATGACTAGGCTGACCATTGGATGAACCGTTTGCATTCGATGCACTGCTGACAGCAGCGTTGATATCGTCTCGAACTGATCCAGCAACGTCTGAGCTGGCATAGCTCGAGACAAGATCATCCAGTCCAGTACCAGTGCCTGAGGCTGGCGGTGGAAGTTGATGTGGATCATCCAAAATTTGCGGGCGTACTTGGCCCTCTTGCTTTGACAGCCTGATCAGGTCTGCACTGTTCCTGCGGTCATTAGGATCGGATGCCTCATCATCAGTCTTTGGGGTCGCAGGGGATTCTACGCCTGTGCTGCTCTTCTTCCGTGTGAAGAGTTTACGATCTTGCTGCTGTTTCAGCGATTGTTTGCGTTTGCTTTTCGGTCTAAAATTCGACTCGTTGTAGCTCCCGTAGCTGCTGTTGTCCAAGCTCATGTTTGAAGCACTAGCTATAGATTTGACGGCGCGAACGCTACTGTTGACAGTCCGCATACCTTCGCTACCTCCGTCGAACCCGGACGGACCATTCTCGTCAGTCGGCGTATGTGCTGTCTGAGCATGCATGGTGAGGTCCACAAGGTAGTCCGCGATATTGAAGCCAGGCGGACACGCGTACCCGATTCGGTCAAAGTAGCTTTGGCAACTGGCATACGGTCCAGAGTAAACGGTCCGTCCTTTTGCGAGGAGCACAAGATGGTCGAAGAGGGCGACTATGTTAGATCGAGGCTGATGTATGGTGAAAATTACCGTCCTGTTGTAGTTCTTTGCCAGCGTTACTAGACACTCAATTACGTTAAATGCATTGAAAGCGTCCAGTCCGCTTGTTGGTTCATCCAGAAAGAGTATACTGGGGCTCGTGACCAGCTCGCATGCGATTCCAACTCTACGCTTCTCACCACCAGAGATGCCACGTCCATTACCTTCTTCTGATCCAATGAGCTGGTCTTTAATGGCGCTGATTCCGAGCTGCTTCTCGACTTCATAAACGCGCTGTTCCTTGACCAAAATGCTCATGTCTCGAGGTAGTCGAAGCAGAGCACTCGTCATGATGGTTTCATGGACGGTCAAAGTTGGGAGCATCGTGTCGTCCTGGTCCACGAAACCGACAACACTTCGGTATTCATTGTCAATGACTTTTTCCCCATTGACGTAGAGATTCCCCTCGACAATACCACGCTTGTTCTTTCTTGCTAAGATATCGAGGAATGTAGTCTTGCCGGCTCCTGATGCACCCATGATAGCCATCAATTGGCCAGGTAGGGCGATACCCTGAACACCCGACAGAATCTGCTTCCCGTTTAGGTTGTAAGACACATCGTCAAATTGTAGTGATGCTGGTTTGTGTTCGGCCATCATCTGGGCCAGATCGTCATCTGAATCGTCTGACAGATAAATGGGTCCATGTTTGAGCTGCCTCCTGGACAAATACCAAACCAGCAGGATCACCAATACGACAAATAAGGCACATCCAGCAATCACACCAGCAATCAACGGTGTGTTGATCTTCTTGACTGGCCTGGTATAGCCTGGGACGTCTGTTCGGTATAGGCACTCTCCCCAAGAGCATTGCAAGGTAATAGACTCGTCTCCGAACACGCTCTTGATGAGATTGTTCATTGCTGGTTCCTCGAACTTGCTCCCGTCTTTGCTGCTTCCGCCCTCCGTCCTGATTGATGAGAATGACGCTGGACCTTTGATCTCTTCCGTCAGAAAGTCTCCGATATCGATTGATCCTTCTTCTCCACAGAGCATGCGACCTGGAACACAGGCGCACTTGATATGCTCGCATTTATAGCTTGTAGTATTCCTGTCGTATTCGTTCTTTGAGCTATAGGAACAAGTATCGAGGGCGCAGTAGAAGGATTCCTCTTGACCGACCCAGAATTGGAAGTTGCACGTCTCGTCCTCCGCGTTGCAAGAAAAGGTGGCTTGCGGATACCGCTCTTTCAACTGGTCCAGAATTTTTCTGTTGGTAATATCACACATCTGGTGGTTTTCATTCACCACGACGCCATCCTTATAACATGTACCGCCGTTGCCTTCCGGCATCAACGCGTTACACGCTTCATTTGACTTGCATACATTGCAGTTTATGCCCTCCCAGCCTTCCTCACACTCACACTGCCCTCCGCCTCTTGGGGCCCTGTCTCTACCCATGGCCAGGGAGCCACAAACCGGCGTTGCGCAGTCCTCACCCCCAAAGCCCGGAGGGCATGAGCATTTGCCATTGTATTTGTTACATGTAGCAAATTGTGCACATTGAAAGGCCTCGAGGTTGCAGTTGAAGCAGGGCGGGCAGTCTAGCGGACGGTCGTCGTATATTGAATAAGTCGACTGAAAGAGATCGGACCTTGAGACATTCTGGAATGCGAACGAAGGCCATCCAAAGAACAACGTTCCGAGCGCTGCGAGCGCAACCCGCCGTATAATCATCGTGGAAGATCTGTAGAAGAGGCGGGTGGCTGGAGCCTATGGAACCACCGATAACGTGAACTTTTGCCTCAAAACAGCACTGAGACCATGGAGAGGGACTGGACGAAAGCACAACTCCTCTCTTGCTTCTCGAAGGGTATGGAAAAAGAAAGATGAAAGGTTGAGGCAGAGTTAGGGTGGCAAGTGGGTCATGCGAGCTCTTGACTAGGACAGAGCTCGCAAGCGACGCATGACTGCGGGGGGCTTGGCAAGACGTTCGGAGAAAGCTTCGCAATTTGGAACGAGAAAATTCCTTTCCCACGCATCAACCTCATTGTCCGCAGCTCTGAAACGTTTGACTTGCATCTGCTCTGGGTACGGCGTGGTTGACAATCATGACGATCGCGAAAGTTGCGCCTTTCGCAGTCGAGCAGGTGAGCTTCCAAGCATCTCCTAATGTGCGTGAATTCTAGTAGTTCTGCGTATATTTCGCGAAGATTCTTAGGAGCGCAAATCGCTTCCGCGAGGACCTGCTCGATAGGGTAGTACAGTGCCTTGCTTAATGTTTTGGCACCTCTACGATTCGAATAGTCATGCATTTGCAGTAAAGCTGTCTCCGCAGCTGTCAGCAGAGGTCTATTTGTTTGCACCATACCATGCCTTTTGGAGACCAGAATGTCCTGCTGCTAGTGTTCACTATGTATACCTAGAGGCTTACGAGCAGGAGCTGATATTCCACAACCCAGTGGATGGACGCTCATGAGACTCACGCCAGATACAACATTGCAGAAACATGCGTAGCCTCGATATCACTTGACGATCTCAGAGGCCTCTCAGAGGACAAATCGAGCGAGATATGGTCCTCAACAACGAAGCTTACCTATGGCTCCATACGCGGTTCAGAAAAACTACGCACAAACCTGGCGAACCGTTATTCCGCCAAAAAGCCATTCCAAGCAGATAATATCTTGATTACCCCTGGAGCGATTGCTGCAAATATGACAGTTTTCTATGGCCTCATTGGGAAAGGAGACCATGTGATATGTCATTATCCTACCTATCAACAATTATATGAGATTCCTGAGAGATTAGGAGCCGAGGTGGACTATTGGAGAGCAGAGGAGTCAAAGAAATGGCAATTGGACATCGAAGATCTGAAAAGTCTCATACGACCAAATACCAGAATGATTATCATCAACAATCCGCACAACCCCTCCGGTGCCATCGTGCCAAAATCTACTCTCGATCTGCTAATCGAAGTTGCTGAGGCACACGATCTCATAATAATGGCCGACGAAGTCTACCGCCCCATTTTCCACTCCATCTCTCCTGGATCCCCGGACTTTCCCCCTTCAGTCCTCTCACTTGGGTACGCAAAGACCATTGCCACAGGCTCGCTTTCGAAGGCATATAGCCTAGCAGGCATACGGGTGGGTTGGATTGCATCTAGAAGTACTGAGATCATAGAAGCTTGCGCCCAAGCCAGGGACTATACGACGATCAGTGTGAGCCAGCTTGACGACCAGATTGCAGCCTATGCCTTGGACAACGATTGTATACATTCACTACTTTCTAGAAACATTCAGCTCGCGAAGCGGAATCTGGAGATTCTCGAAAGGTTCGTGGAAAGTCATAGGTGGGCTTGCGAGTGGGTGAAGCCTGTAGCCGGAACGACGGCCTTTATCAAAATTTCCCATATGGGAACTCCTGTGGATGATGTTGCATTTTGCCAAAAGCTGATGGAGGATGCGAGTGTTATGTTAGTTCCAGGAAGTAGGTGCTTTGGGAACGGAAAGGATTTCAAGGGTTTTGTACGATTTGGCTTCTGTTGCGAGACGGATGTGCTCGAGATAGGTTTGGAGAAGATGAGGTTGTTCATGAAGAAAGGATATCGCACTGTGCCGCTAGCAGATGAGGAGAGCGCATGATATCCGAGCTTCAAAAATTTGTTGTACATATGGTGAGAGATAATGAATACACGTGATTCTGCCAGGTTTGTTGATAAGAAATCAGAGTGCAATTGTGGGGTGCTGCCCTTCAATGAACAGATCTCTGTGAACAGCCGAGTCGACAATTCTATATGCCCTCGATTCTTTTCTGGGGACCGCGTGAGTATCAATTTTCTTTGAGCGTAAAGTAAAAAGGAGGAGTATGTGCTGAGAAACGCTAAAACGCGGTGCCCTAAAGTAGTAGTAGTTTTAGGTGTACGTAGGTAGGCAGAACCTGGAGCACAAGCCGGGAAACAAGGTACCTAAACAACCACTCATCGATTCGACTTCAACGTCGTGTAGTACTTGCCGCACCTCTCGAAGCACGATCACTAAGATTGTATACTACAACTTTTCCGCCCAGCTACACACGCTCCACTGCTTGTGACGGCGTCCCACACGCAGGCTTATCGGCCCAGACACACCGATTGGAAGCCTTCACATTCTCGAATACCCAGCGCCGCGAGCATCTTGATACATTATATCGAGTGACGAACCACATTCCAAATGATGTCGGGCGAAGCATGGCTGTACCTTCTGGCGGTACTAATAAATGCCGTGAACCTATTCCTACAAGTTTTCTTCACAATTATGTACAGCGATCTGGAATGGTAAGCAATACTGCTATTCTGCCTCGGGCATGCTGCGATCTGGATACTAATCAAATCTGTCTTTATAGTGACTATATCAACCCTATCGACCTTTGCAACCGCCTGAATACCTACATCGTGCCCGAAGCGGCAGTACAAGCCTTCCTTACCGTCCTCTTTCTTATCAATGGCTACTGGATCGCTCTGGTCCTCAATTTGCCATTACTCGCATACAACGCAAAGAAGTGAGCGTTGCTGGACCGCGGCCGGAAGGAAAGTGCTGACAGAAGGCCAGAATCTTTGAGAATCAACATCTTCTCGACGCGACGGAGATATTCAGAAAGCTCAATGTCCATAAGAAGGCACGAATGTTTCCTCTCTTTGCGACTTCTGCGTCTCGTGAGAAGACAGTGGGCTAACAGCAGACTAGGAATCATTCATCAAGCTCGGCTTCCATCTGATTATGTTCTTCTTCTACCTCTACAGCATGATAGTGGCATTAATAAGGGACGAATCGCATTGACTCAAAGAGAAGGCACATCGGAGCATGCGAGAAGGCGGCTGGTAGTGGCGGCGGATCATCTGCAACTGGCATCAATGCGTAAAGGTGGTCGCGTGCTCAAGGACTACACAATATTGCAGCTTCCTGGAAGCAAGATCAGTCATAGAGAGACGGGGATGACGGAGCTGTTGTACAGCAGGAGGATCTTGGACTGGTCACATTGTGTGAAATCTTATTTGTAATGTTGATGATGGATACCTGGTGTATTTCATTAGAGGAAGTGAATGATAATGCTAAACTCTCGAGCTGGTCTTCTCGTACATGGATAAGTCCTGTTCTGCCCTTCCCTCGAAAAAGTCCCAGATGTTCGGGCTTAGATTCGAGTGAATTTGGAATATTGAAAACGTGCCATGTGGATTTGGGATTCTACAACAGGCGGCTAAACTCCGGCATCTTGCATTTGCGAACGTCGGGAATATCGATACCAAATTTCACTCCAGGTTGCTGAAACATTTGTATTCCACACCGTTGCTTTCACAATTTTCTCGCACACACAGCTATGGCGCTCCTTGGCGCAGACTATGCCTCCAGCGACGAGGGGTCCCCTAATCCGAGGCAAGAATCACGTAAGACCGCTGCAAGCAATATAGTCGCTGCTCCAGAGGTCTCATTAGATGTTTGGTCCTACCAGCCTCGAGATTTCAGCCATTATTCTAACACCGTGCAGGATCCAATGCGACTCCAGATGATGCTAGCTAAGCCCACGAATACCGCGCTCACATACAACGTTCCCTATGCAGACCTCTCACGCCCGTCCCAAGGCCCCACGAATCCGTTCAAAGCCACCGAAGGAAACGCTCTGAAAAGAAAGAATGTGCTCACAGGATACGCCGAAGAAGCTGCGATCAGTGATGCCACATTTACAAACCAGCACCGTACTTTCCAGTCTCGAGGATATGCGCAGGAGCCTAATGCAAATGGGGCTTTAGTGGGGGATTTAGCAAGCGCAGAGAAGTATGGGGGGCGAGATGTTGTTCAAATGAAACCTTCGAGAGCAAAGCGGCAAAGGCAGGTTAAAGGCGATCCCAGCATAGTTGACGGAGAGGGACGATATCTGGGACCTTGGGCGAAATATCAAGAGGAGGTCCAGTACGAGGACGAAGCAGCTCTAGCTGAGGAGGAGCTGGCAAGTGATGAGGAATACATGGATGAGTCGGTCGCTCCGGTGAACATGGCGCCCATGAACAAGGCTGCTACGGACTACCAGGACGATCACTCGAATCAAGAAACGACGGAGTTCCATGGGACCTCGCTGTTCGATTATCAGGGACGGTCGTATATGCATGCTCCAAGGGATATTGATATTGATCTGTACAAAGAACAAGGGCTCGAGAGGACATTCCACCCGAAGTATGTTCCATTTCTCTCCTGTCTCATTGCTCCTTTTGGCAATGGTATTAACCGGCATCTAGGAAGCTCATACATACTTGGAAGCATGGCACAAAGCCTATCAACGCTCTTCGATTCATTCCTTCCACGAATCACCTGCTCCTATCTGCGTCTGCGGATGCCAGGATAAAGATCTTTGATGTTTATCGCGACCGCGAGCTCCTTCGAACATACAGCGGCCATACGAAATCCGTATCGGACGTCAACTTCAACCCTACCGGCACACAGTTCATCAGTGGCTCATACGATCGCTTTATGAAAATCTGGGACACGGAAACTGGCGCCTGCCTCTCGCGGTTCAAGACCGGTGCGATACCCCACTGTATCAAATTCAACCCTTCATCACCATACGAGTTCTTGGCCGGCATGTCGGATAAGAAGATAATTCAATACGACACCCGTTCCGGCGAAATGACCCAAGAATACGACCACCATCTCGGCCCTATCAACACCATCACCTTTGTCGACGAAGATCGCCGCTTCATCACTACCTCGGACGATAAGTCCTTGAGAGCATGGGAACTAAACATCCCTGTGCCGATCAAGTTCATTGCTGAACCTCACATGTTCGCCCTCACAGCCGCAGCTCCTCATCCATCAGGGAAATCTGTCTGCTTCCAAAGCGGCGACAACAAGATTGTCGTATACGCTGCTACTGACCGCTTCCGCCAAAATCGTAAGAAGGAGTTCCGTGGCCATAATACAAGTGGGTATGCAATAGATATAGATATTAGCGCCAATGGTGATTGGGTATCTAGTGGGGATAGTGGAGGTTGGGTGTGTTTTTGGGATTATAAGACTTGCAAGATGCATCACAAAATTCGGGCTGGGGAAGGGGCGATCACGTGTGTGCAGTGGAACAGGCAAACGACGAGTCGGGTGGTCACAGCAGGGTTGGAGGGGGTTATCAAGTATTGGGATTAAGAGCCATTAAGGGCCTGATTGATGATGGCAACTCTGCTTCGACGACCAGACTATCGACATGTTTCTGCTCTCTACAACTATATGCTCAAGGGCTACTCGTCTCACTCGACTCGCAATCCACTCTTCCAGGACGCGCATTACCAAAGAGAAAAGGTCAAGAAAAAGAGTAGACGATACATACAGTACGAATTGCTCAATTCAGATTAGCATGAAAGGCGACATCATTCCTTGCCGTATATGAATAACTTCAAGCGGGTCAGGCCCATGTTCGTAATCGTTCGAATCAAACTTTCTGTGATGAGTGAGATTCTGACCTGGAATGATCCGTACCGTAGAACCGCAACGGGCACCGACGTTCTCAACACACCTGAATCCCGCTCCCACTGGCTCCTACCATACCAGATGCTAATTGACTTCGCTATTGCTGAGCCACAGGCATCCCACCAAGCAGTAAAGACAAGGAGAGGAATATCTTCGAATCTGAAAAGTTGAATCTCTTTCATGCTTACACCCGAACCTTAGCGATTCGACCTATCAACATATCGTGTTGCCATCTCGAGACACTTGAGCCACAAAGTGGGAAACTTGTATGATTCGTTCATGTCTGACGCAAAGGCTTGCTTAGAGGCCCAGACGGAGCCTCTGGCACACTGATACATGAGTTGCTGTTTAGGACGCTGATATGGTGCCACCAGTGCAAGCCATGAGGGATCGAAAACCAGTGCTCAAAGGCGGTGAAAGGTAAGACGATCCGCCTTGATTCTTCCACGTATAAATCTAGTTTGATCGGCAGTCAAATTTATTTCAGCGAAAAGGAAGCCGACACGTGTTCGAACCTCGGCACCTCACCAAAGCAAACCTGTGTGAAATTGTGTATACTTTAAGAGCTGAGAGCAAGGCCAAGAGGTCTTTCAATACATATGTACTCAGGCGGCAAGCGCTCCAAGTGCAGGACGGCGGAGGCTACTTTAGACTTTAGAGTAATGCATGACATTCAGCCCTATCAAAGTTATGCTTTTCTTCCATCCGTGTCACGCCATATTTATGCCGGCTGTTGTTATTTCTCATTATCAACAGGAACCCAACTTTGCAGTATGATCGCTCATTGAATGTTAAGATTCACTCTGCGTGTTTAACATGTCGTTCGAATCATGATCTCGATCGCATTCGGTGACTATGGCAAGCCCAAATTCAAGCTGGGCGGCGCCTTCACTTGCCCGCTATCGGCCTGCTATTCTAGCTTTGACCGCCCTTGCTGCAGGATGTGCCATTTACTATATTCGTGAGCAGATATGGTCTTCGTCGATAGCACCAAGAGTCTCGCTGCAACGCTCAAATGCGCGTAGGCAACGGCACCGTCCACGCAGAGAATCAAGCGCTAGTGTTTTCAATTATCTATCTCCTGGACTTACTGAGAGATCGAGATATATACCGGATGTTCCCTGGGGTACCGTCCCCGTGTCTCTGGACTTCCTTGCAAATGCGGCTTTCGACCAGGAGACATTCGGCGATCACTTGTTTATCTCCTCGGCAAGCAATACACCCCGCATTGTTACCCCACTACGTCGTTGTATGCCTTTGGGGCAGGACATTCGAGTGGCCGCTGCCAGTGATGAGGAAGCATCGACCGTTAGAAGAGAGCTAGAGGAGGCTTTTCTGTGTTTCTATTTCTGGAAGCATATTGCTCCGAGTCCTGTTACAGAAGAACAGCGGAGCTTGATCATTTCTCAACTTGAAGAGAATGGCGGCTTCTCAGCTGAGACCATTAATACCGCGTTGCAATGGCACCAAGCGGGGATACTTACAGAACGCATCGAGTGGTGGGAGCGGCTTATTGAATACAGATGTCGAGGTCGTGTAGATGAAGGGCAGTCCCATCAGCAGGACCCCATCAATGGCGACTTGGCATCGACAATGCAGACCCTCGAAGGACGGGAGACGGTCGCAGACGTTGACAGCGAACATTCCTGGCGTGAGGAGAGTGGGACCAGTGACGGCCAAGATGACGGCAAGGAAGGTCAAAACCTCGGTAACCTACTATGGCGCATAGCCGAGGAGCAGGCACGTAAAGAAAGCTACGTTCATCGCGGAGTCACATGCAATAGCTGCAATGCCATGCCTATAAAAGGAATACGGTATCGTTGCTCTAATTGTGTGGACTTCGACCTGTGCGAATCATGCGAAGCTCTGCAGATACACCCAAAAACTCACCTCTTTTACAAAGTGCGGATCCCAGCACCTTTTCTTGGCAATTCGAGGCAGACCCAACCCGTTTGGTATACTGGCAGGCCAACCACCGTGACGTACAGCATTCCCAAAGAGATTATGGAGAAAATCCAGGGGGAGACTGGTTATCAATCTGTGGAAATTGAGGCTCTTTGGGAGCAATTCAGATGTCTGGCAGCGACCGAGTGGGATGACGACCCCAGTGAATACAACCTAGCAATCGACAGAAGGACGTTTGACAAATGCTTCGTACCAAACACATCGACGCGCCCTCCACCTCCAAATTTGATTTACGACCGCGCCTTCTCCTTCTACGATACGGACAATGATGGATTGATTGGGTTCGGAGAATTCATCCATGGACGTGCAGCTCTTACTAGTAAAAACCCTGGTGAACGTTGGAAGCGAGTTTTCAAAGGCTACGATATCAATAATGACGGCTTTGTTGATCGCCGAGACTTCCTGCGAATGTTCAGAGCATACTATGCGCGTACTAAAGAGCTCACGCTGGATATCGTCAACGCAATGGAGGACGACGTCTCCGAAAATGGAGCTAGGGATATCGTCCTCGGTAGCCAGCCCATCAGCTCGGCATTCTCTGGCGCTATCCCGCCGGGTGAGCGATCAAGAACATGGGAGGGTAAAAGACAAGATGAGTACGGTGATTATCAAATCCATGACGACATTGGAGTGGCTGTTGATGATCGAGACCATGGGGTGGCGAATCCCGATGAAGTACTCGCCGATTCCACCGAAGCAGCCAGGTTTGGAAACACTCAACGGAAGGGAATAATTGGGCCCTGGATTGGAGATCTTATCAAGAACGACAAATGGCCTCCTGGGGCCATTAGCCGCAAGGACCTCCAAAAGGTGTTCCCGCATCTGAACGAGCTAAAAGACGTGACTAGCGTCCAGGATCAGAATGCCGTTCGACGCGCCGCTCATAAAAGGGTCGCGAGAGAGCATCAAGAACGTCAATTCGTCCGACGAATCGCCCTTCGCAACAGGAAACAGAGGCAGTCTTTCTATCTCGATGGCGGAGACGCTGCTAAGGAAGAGAAACAATCAGAATCTGAAGACGAAGGCAATGCTGCTTCACGGCGCGAGAATGACAAGTCACGAAAGGACGATCTCGTACGTATCTTAGGATCCAGCAAAGCCGGCGAGTTCCGTACGCGTTTGATTGAATGCATTGAAGCTATGGATTGGCCTCTAGAGTCTTCAGAAAAGTTGATTGATGTTGTCTTTGAGATGATCTTTAATGAATGGGGCGGTAAAGAAATCGCCGAGGACTTGTCGGGATATGGGTCACTTCAGCATGATGCTATTGACTTCGTTGCAACATTTGATTCGCTCATCAGCCTCATGAGCGATGCGATCAAAGTTCCGGGTCCTCAAGGATCGGCAGACGAGCAACGCAAATCTCTTCCGTCGTCGTCTTCACGTCGGTCGCGCTCATCATCAAAGGTCCGCTTTCGAGACGACGTAGGTACCGACGACGAGCACGAATCTCGATCCAGAGCAACATCGATCTCTTCACGTAGTATTCCCGTGAACGAACGCTGGGGCGGTTTTGTACCCGAGCCTGACAAAGATGTTGGTCGCGAAGTGCTCTACCAGGTCACACAAGAAGCACTCAACGAGCTGCTTGACCCTGTTTTCAGGTTGAGGGAAGACCTCGCGCTTGCGGCGGTTCGTACAAGGCGCATGAGAGACCGGCATCGGGCAGAAATTATCGCTTTCGTGAAGGACCCCAGGGACATTAAAGAGCATATGGATATCTACCAGAAGCGGTGGCGTCTCAAACAACAAAGTTTGCAAGAGGGCTATCTGGGTATCCAAGAGATCGAAGAGACATTCGGCGCCGATGAATTCCTCGCATTTATGTCACGAACAGAAGCAGGCGAACTAGATAGTCAAACTGGGGAACGATGTTCTCGGTGCAAAGTATCGGGAGTTGAGTCCTGGATCTGGGCCGGCCGGTTTTGCACTCAATGCGGTAAACCCTCTGCAGAGGCAGTAAGGTTTACGGCGACCAGTCCTAAGCACCCGCCGGTTGCTTGTCCTAGTTGCGGTAGAGGGATGCCGGCTTCTGCTAACGGCTGCAGCAGTTGCGGTGCTACTTTACAGAAAGTCATTGATGAAACGGAAAAGTTGTGGAAGGTTCTGCGTGGGAGCCAAGGAAATTCGGACCGAGAAGTCATGCAAGAGGAAGGGGAGCTCAAAAATACGCCCAATGAAGACCCCGAAGCGCTCGAAGATCTTCACATCTCCGTCACAGCGTTCAACGAGGCCAATTCCTCAGCTCTAGAAGAGACAATCGCCCAGAAGCCTCTAGAGGACCTCCTAATTGAATCAGGCTACGCTGCCACCTCTTCTAGCAACCCTTATAGCACCCTATCGCAACCACCAGATCCGACACTCCCACAGAATAGACCCGATGGAACCCTTGAAGTTCCCACGAACCTCCAACTAGACGGCGCCAGCGACATTGCAACTTCAGTATCGGCCTCTTCTCAACACAGTCTCCATACAGAACAAGCACGGATTCCGACCGTGCGTTCGGGTGAACCTCCCAAATCTCCAACCCCAGACCCGACACTGCCCCAGAATCGACCGAACAGCCTCACCACACCTTCGGCCAAATCCAACAAGGACACTCCTACCTCCACCTCCACTCTCGAACTCACACCTAAAGTAACCACGAACGGCGTCCTGTCCGATCACCACTCTGGCCAAGACCAGAACCCCGACGATAATGATGATGCTCTAGCGGATCCCAACACATTAATGTACTATGCTGCGCTGGATATACTTGAGGCAGAGGATAAAGAACGCGGTGGACCGGGTAGACTGAGCTTCGCTGAGTGGGAAGACATTATGAGGGGAGAAAAGGGACAAGCGCTAGGATTCCTAGGAAGCTGGATTGAGATCGCGAGCTTTTAAACTAAAGCGGGGAGTGAAGAATGTATAGTAGACGAGTAACAGCAGCAGCATGCAGCATACATAAATGCATTGGGGCGCTTCCTAGCTCGCAGTAATTGACTACAAGGAGCTCTCTTGTTCAATATTTCATGGCTTTCCTCATATCCTCTCACTATATTGCCAGATCACCGAATTTCCTTACATCGCCTGGAGCTAGTGATGCCCAATCCATTGCTGGTGACAATTCTTCTTCCCTTTACTTGGTTCATGTGCCTCACTATGGTCTTATGTAGGCACAGGTCCACAATTGCACACTTAACACGTCGGACAAGGATCCAAAATCTCCTCTTCAACCCGCTCACATATTTGGGCAACCAGCGGTCCCTCCTCAGATTCCCAAACCCACTCCTCTGACTTCCGTCACTGCACCCTGTGGACTCCAACTTAGATATCCTCCTCAATCTGCGGAAATCATTCTCCGTCCCCCACCCCCGAACCTTCTCCCGCTCCGCCTCGTCACCACGGCGCGGTGAAGCGCTATGCCTATTCGAGGTTTCTGTCCTGGTTTCCTTTGAAACACCGGTAAACAAATGCCCAGAAGAATAATAGATTCGAAGGTCGCTAAAGGTGACGCTAGTGGTCCGGTTGATTGACCTGCCCCTAACCACTCCTTGCGCTTCTCATCTACCACGAGCACATAGCTACCGATGGGAGAACACGGCTCTATAAAGAGCTTTCTTCGACACCTTGTCCCGTTAAGCAATGCTGTTTCTACCATTTGCGGCGCAGTGGTGGTGGTGGTTAGGGTTCAAGCTGTAATCTACGCTCGAAACCGGACGGACCTCCAGGTCAGATCACAGGATAGTAGGCGTGGATAATTGCAAACGGTGGTCCTAGGTCAAGGTCAAATGCTAAAGACTGTAGTGCTCTGTGCGGTTGGGTGAGCCCCAGCGCGAAGAATAGTTGTGTCTGGCCGATTTATCAAAAGAGAAGCGTTGATTGGGAACGCACTTCCGCATGGAGCTGCATCTTCACTAAAGTGATGCTACGATCGAAGATTGCGGCCGAGGGAGCCTCTGCTGGGGTATGTATCTTCTGATATGGTGTTGACTCCGAGCTTTGCTCTGGCCGTCATGTCTACCATCGAGAGAAAGACAGGGCCATTCAACTACCGACCATGTAGCAGCCGTGCAAAGCCAGTTTGCAGAACCAAACCTTCAGACTGTAAAAATCCGGTAGCGGTAGCAATTGAGGTTTTGGTGAAGAAAAGATGTTTGTCTGAGAACAATATTCATGATTTGAATAGTGTGCACTATCAAAGGATGTCAAGGATGACTGTGGAAAAGTTGGATGTCAGAACCTTGGACCAAAGACGAACAATACAAAATGATCAAAAGAGCTCGGTCTATTGGTGGCGTGACTGGTAATTGCCAACAACGATGCTCTTATTATGCGCCACTGGAGGTAAGGGCTCTAACAACCCGTAACGGATGTCCGTCAGTATCACGAGTCTGTACCTCTTCATCATTTAGCCAAATATCTTCGTCTTCGCTTTCACCATTCAGCCGCTTCCATATTCCGTCCCACAGCCCTTTCTTATGTACCATAGCCAGCACCATGACCACCGGCAGATGCCAGACACTTGCCCAGAACAAACCCCTCGCACTTCCCTTGTGTCCCTCTTTTCTCCAGAACCTCCACGCCTCTTTGACCATCCACGCATTGACAATGCTGCTGGTGACCAAGAATCCTTGGTCCGTGATCTGGAACCACCACAGGCCAGCACAGATCGGGAAACAAAGTATGGCATACCGAAGCGCCACTCGGCCGTTCATTCTGGCGTTAGTCCACACAAGCATGCGGTATCCCGCATTCTTGTACTCCTCCCTAATAGGCCAGCTCAACGAGTTGAAATGTGGGAATTGCCATGCGAACAGTAATCCTGCGAGAAGCCATCCACCAACGCTTCCTTCACCGAGCAGAAGCTCTTTCCATTCTCCACTTCCTGTTGCACTTTGTCCTGCTGCTGCCGCCCAGCCCATCAGTGGAGGAATGCCGCCCACTATAGCTCCGGCCCACGTATTTAGAACGGAGATCCGTTTCATAGGCGTGTAGATTCCGGCGTAGAGCACGATGTTTAATCCTCCCAGGAAGGCTACAGTAGGGTTGACGCCGAACCACAAGCTCCCTACCCCTGAAGCTCCAGCGGCAGCTGCGAACATCAACGCTCCTTTCTTGCTTATAAGGCCACGAACGAGAGGTCGATTGCGTGTCCGGCTCATCTGAGCATCGTACTTGGGCTCCAATAGCATATTCAAGGCATTTGCCGAGGCGCAACAGAGTGCAGTACCCGAAGTGAGGAAAACGAGAGTCAAAGCCGACAGGGAGGGAGATGCTGTGGTCGATGGTAGGAGGAGCGCTGGGACAGGGTAGAGCGAGTATGCCGTCGCTGTAGTTAAGACGATCAGGAAGGAGAGGCGTGGCTTCGAAAGGGAGAGACAGGTCGTGAGTAGTCGACGAAGAGACGTGGCAGGCATGGTCGCGGATAAAGTGGAAAGGCGAGAGGATGCATCGAGAGGAAGAGGAGCTTGTGCATTGGTCTCATCTTTTATGCGTTTCCTTTTTCGGTGTGGAGGTTCTGAAGAGTCTTTTAAGGTCTCCAGAAGGGACTGACTCTGCGGACTCTGCGGACTCTGCGAATTAGTTCCCAAAGTCGTGGTAGACACGTCTTCTGGTATTGGTGGGCGCGTGGCTTTAGCTACTTCGTATGGCAGCGCCGGCATCTGCCATTGAGCCTTGGAGATGTTGAGGCTACCATTGGCAGAGAAATACTCTCTTCGTAGCAACTTTCCAAGCTTAGGATTGGCAGCAATGGCTTCATTATGTGGGGAGACGCTGAATGGACGCCGAGTCGTCCTCGTTCTTGTAAGGCGCAATAGACATCTTACACATATCTGGTCAATTCTAAACGGGCGGTGCCTGAGTATTTTAGCTCGCAATAACATGCCACTGATATGTCCAGCTTTACTATCCCATCGACACATGATACACCATTTAACATATTCGAGGACGGCGACCCGGGGGAGCTAGTGTAATATGTGCTGGGGCGCGGGGCTACCCAGTAGTGGAAAGCTTGCCGAGTCACGTGATATGGGTGCAGGCTTAAATATAGCCTATTTTGATTTTTTGGTCTTTATAACTAGTAATAATAATCGAAATTATATTCAGACCTCATGGTATAGTGGAAAACTACTTTAAAAATTATATATTTTATAACTAATAACTAGCTATATAACTAGCCTAGTTTTAAGTAAGTAAGTTTAAATCTATTAAAAGTCTATATATACTGAAATTTTATAATAATTAATATCGTTAAATCTATAATACATGTAATTATATTACTATATCTGAAAAACTTCTCTATATTATTTATATTTATCTAATATTTACTAGGCTATTATTTACTAATATACTCTTAAATAGATCTATAGATATTCTTTTTTTAATGCTTTAAAACTATGGTACGTATATGTAGTCGTAGAACGTATTTATATATACTTCTAATGTACTTCTAATATACTAGAATATACTAAGATATACTTTTAATATACTAAAGTAATGATATGATATAATATGGCGAAGAGCTATAACGACGATAAGGTGTAATAAATATCTTTATAAAGTATGCTCGGTAATAGATAGAATATATATATTATTTTAATCGTGGTAGTAGATGCTTCTAATAAATAGTTATTATACTATAATAATAATTAATATAAAAGAAAGTAATATAATAACGCTTTCTTCGTAGATATAAATAGAATCTATTATTTAATTAATTAATTAGTCTAAATAAAAATTAATAGAATAAAAATCGATTTCGCTTAAGTTATCTTATTATTATTATATTCTATAATTACGCTCTCTATATATAGCGAATAGATAGTTAAATTATATTAGAAATATATCTATAATTAACTTATTAATAGATCTTTACGTATAAGGTTAATAGATAATAATTAAGATAATTAAGATAAGGTAAAAGAATATAGAAGAGTAAAAGATATAGAATAGCTATTTCTATCTCTTTAAAACTTATATACTAGTTTTTAAATAGGCTTAACGTCTTACTTACTTAGTTAATAATTTCGCTATTAAATAATTTATAATATTCTCTACTTTCTTAATAATAGAGCTCTATCTTTATCTTCTATTAATAATATTATATATAATAAATAGAAGAGATTTATTCTATTAACAATATTTATTATTAATTTATATCTTAATATATAGACTCTAATCTTTTAAAAATTAATTATAGAAGAGATAAATTTCGATAGCGAGATTAATTATATAATAAACTCTAGATAAAATAATATAGATAAGAGTAGTAGTAATACTCTTAATAGCTATATTTATAACGATCTAATTAAGAATTAATTTTTAACTCTTATAAATAATAATAGTATATACTAAAGTAAGAGGAATTTACATTTAAATATATATATTACTATTATATTTCTATTACTATATTCTTAATAATATAAGAATTATATATCTTTTATTAATAAGAATAATAACTCGCTTATTATAATTATCGACTTTAATAAGAATTATTATCGATATAATCTTAAAAAAGTCTTAAACGTTATTTATCTAGAGAATTCGATATATCGTTAATATCGTTTTATTAATTAATTCCTTATTAATATATAAGTTCTATATTAATATAATCTTTACTTTCTTTAATAATAATACTTTATTATCGAGATTATTATAATTATTTAAACTCGCTTATTTAAAGCCTTTATCTATATTAATAGTCTAAATATTTATAATTAAACGCTTAAGAGACTTTAAATACTAAATATTATAATTATCTATCTTACAATTAATAATATATAATTATAAGATATCGTGAAATAACTCTTACTCTGCGATACTAAGTCGTTTCTTTATTTAAGTTATAAGCGATTATTAACTTAATACGCTAATAAACTCATTATATAGTTAATTAAGAGTCTTATAAAATTAAATAGTCTTAGATAAATTATCTTATTATTATATTATCTATAAAAGAATAATAATTTAATTAAATACTACGTATACTCGATAATTAATTAAAATATTCTCGAAATTATAAAAAAGAGTGCTATATAGAGAGATCGTAAGAATTAAAGAAAGCTATTTAAAATTATCGTAAAAAAAGATATTTATCTCTTTATAGAAGATATTAAAGTTATATCTAATTTAATATAATTAACGATCGATATAGTAGAGAGTTTATATATTTATTATTAATTTCTTATTAATAATTAATAGCTAGTAATTTCGAAAGGCCTCTTAAAGTCAAGATAAAGCCTTATCTTTTAATTACTAAAAATCTCTCTTTATAAATAATAATAGTAGGCGATATAGAATAGAATTGTAGATTAAGTAAGTAGTTATCTTAGTAAGAGCTCCTCTTAGAACTAAATAAGTCTTTTCTTAATTATATAAGTTATAAACTAGATATTTCGATGTTATATTAATAACTTTCGATTTTTCTATATTAATTATATTATTAATATAAAAAAGAAGTTAGATTATATTATCTTATTAATAATAATTTATAACTTAATTAAATATTTTTCTTTACTTAGTATTAAGAGTAACTAAATTATTAGCCTCGCTAAGACTCGCTAAAGATAAAGGATTACTATTAATTATATCGTAAATAAATTAAATATATAGTATAATCTTATCGATATCGATAGCGAAATCTCTTTATAATTAGTTATAATTTAGATTCTCTAGTCTATATCTTAAATTAATCTTAATTAGAATTATATTATTATTATAATATAGATTTCGAAGGGCTAATAGCTTCTTATCTTAATAATCTAAATTCTTATTATTTATATCAATAAGATATTTATCTAATAATAATAGCTTATAGATAAATAAGTCTTCTAAAAAATTTAGTAAATAATTATATTTCTTTTAAAGATAGTCTTTATAAATTTACTTTTAATCTTATTTAATAATTAATAGATTAGATAAATTAATCTTATAAAAGAAATAATAAAGTATTATCTTAACTTAATATTATTTAAAGTAGTTCTTATTTTAATTAAGTCGAAGATATAAATATAAAATCTTCTAAATTCTAATAGATTAGAAAATCTTATTTCGCTAGATATAGTTTTATATAATTTATATAAAACTCTAATTTTTTAAAATCTCGTTATAAGAGTAATAGTATTCGATCTAAATCTTATCTAGAGTAGCGGCTATTTTATTTAGATAAAGTCTTTTATATTAAATATTATTTAATTAAATATTAAGATTAGCTATTAAATGAGAGTCTTTATAAAAATTATAGTTAAGTAATAAATAATATACCTCTTAGATAGATTAATTATATTTCGATATTATTTTATTATATAGTCTTATAATCTAGATAAATATAGAGGTATTAGATGAAAGGTTATAAAGAATATTCTTATCTATATCGACGAGTTTATTGAACTTCTTCTTCTCTTTAAAAATATATTTAGCGAGATAATAGATTACACTCTTCTTATTAATATATAAAGCGAAATCGATATTTAATAATTAAGCTATACTTATTATAGTCTAATATTTATTAAGCTATAAATTATTGCGAGCTAATTTAAAGATTCTATAAGTAAGATTACTATAATTATTAATAATAAGAATCTCTTACTTCGGCTATAAGAAGGTGAATTAATATTTAATCTCTTTAATAGCTTTATTATATCGTTAGTAATACTTCTATATATATCTATAATACTATACTTAATTAAGAAACTTCGCTAATTTATAAAGAGTATTAATATAATCTATAAAAGTACGATTAGATAAATACTTTACTATAGAAATTAAGTAGCTATCTAGATTAATAGCGATAATCTTAATCTCTTAATACTTAAAATATTCGACAATTTAATCGATATCTAATATATTATAAATTTATAGAAATCTATAGATATAGCTACTCTCTTATAACTGCTATTTAAATTAATATTAATAATTTAAGATATCGAATTTCTTACGCAATATATACTTAAATAGAAGACGAAAGCGTAAGTCTAGATACTCGATTACAATATAAGAATTTTACTAGATTAAGCGAAAGGCTATACTATAACGCTAGGCTTTAATAATATTAAAGTATTTATTCTTATCGAGTATATATTTATAGAGATTACGCTATTAAAAATTAGTAGTATTAATAGTAAAGAAGATACTTAAAATTTCTTAATAGTGGATAAATAACTTTAATTTGGTCTTTGCTCGTTACTAATAGAGATATATATCTCATAAACTCTAGACCTTTCGAATTAAGATATTTAAGATCTTTCTATTATTATTAATAATGAGATCTTATAGTTTATTAAGATCTATATTGCGATTAGTCAGACATTTTTAAGTTTATTTATTAATCTTTCTAGACTATACTCTTATTATAATATTAAAGGCCTACTAGTAAAAGCGAGAGTATTATATAAATCTATTATTTTTATATCTTATTAAATACCTAATATAATTCTTAAAATTAATATCCCTTATATAAATATTATAAAAAGAGATCGTATTATTTAAGAATAGCGTCGGAAATACTATGCGAGTAATATTTAACGAATAATTATATTTATTAATCGTATTATATTCTAAGGAGTATAGAAAGATATTCGCTTTAATTAAAGATAAAGATATATAATTAAGCTATTTTTAAAGTATATAAAGCTCTAATAGATTTATTATAAGATTCGATATATATAACTTTTTAATAAAGACTTCTAGATTACTAATATAATCTAAAATTAAGTAATTAAAATTAATAAATTTATTATTTTAAAGACCTTTTAAGGACTCTCTAAAAGCTCTTTAAAGGTTTTTATCGAAGAGGCCTTCTTATAAGCTCGAAATTAAGAGACGAATAGAGAAGAATAGAAAAGGCTTTAAGAGAAAAAAAAGAATAAAATTATAATATTTAAAAGACCCTCTAGAGGCTCTCTAAAGGCTCTTCGAGAACTTCTATTAAAAAGGCTATTCTTATAGACTTAAAGAAGTAAGAGAAAGAAAGATGATTAAGGAATATTGTGATTATATATCTACGTTTAAAACTTTCTTTTTAGAGTCTAAATTCTTTTAAATCTCTATATCCTTATATTTCTCTATATACTTACTATCTTTCTTCTTATTATCATCTAAGATATTCGATATATTATTAATAATATAGTTATCTACTAGTAATTAAAATAAGCGACTCTAATCGATATAAAACTTTTAGTAATTAGAGTAATATATAATTAAGTAGACTAGCTAGATCTCGATATATTAATAGCGTATATAAAATCTTCGCTAATATTTATAGCTAAGTTCGCTTTCGCTTCTATCTAAAGAGAAGGATTTTATATTTAATATTTAGAGTTTTTAAAGTAAAGATAAGAGTCTTTAAACTACTTTCGAGATATTCTATATTTAGCTAATTATATAATCTTTATATTTATATTAATATTTCTTAACGCGAGATATATTTATTTAGACGTATACTCTAGTAATTAATATCTTTTTTATTATTATTAATTATAATAGATAAGAAAATAGAGATTTAAAATTTATTATATTCTCGGCTAAGTAGAGGGTAGAGTTATTTAAATAATTCTTTTAATATCTATTATAAATAGTTTATAACTCGACGATTTAAAGCTTTATATTAAATCCGATTTTCTAATAAACGTTATATATTTTTCGCTCTAATTTATTAAGCTTAATATAGAAATTAGCGATTAGATTCTAGTTCTTTATAAAGTAAGCTAAAATTAATATTTTTTTATTTTAAATATAAGATTAAAGTATTTCTAGCGAGATTTTATTTTTAATAAAAGCGGATGAGAAAGATAATTATTTAGAACGTTATTAATTTCCAATCTATCTACTAATATAATAGTTTTTATAAAATAATTATTCTCTCTTATTACGAATATAATCTTTACGCATAATTTAATACCTTTCTTTATTATATTATTAGAGTTTTTCTAAATAAGTATCGTAGATAAGATTTAAATATGAAGTTATTTAATTTAATAGCTTTAAAATATTATACTTATTATAAAAGAATTATATTAATATAGAACTCGATTGTCATGAGATGCCTTAGGGCTACCCATAGGGCCACTAGCGTAGGCTTGGCACCGCACATATCTGCCCTGCAGGCACATAGAACAATCAACATCTTTTCCACCACACCACATATATGAGTCACATCATATTATTCCTTAACAAATGGTAGCAACACCTGGCCCTACTTCATAGGATATCCAGGCGTCATCAGACGTTTACGCAAAGCCCACATCAACACCTAATAGTGTGACGCTCCAAGCCGGCCCTCCAATACACTCGCGTCATCGAGTACCTTTTGACAAAAACCCACGTCCAAATCGATCCTTTTGATAGGCCTGTCGATCTCATCATGTCTACCACTACGACAGATCAAAAGCAACAACGCATGTCAGAGCTAGAAGCAATGACGCAGCGTATTATTCTCAGCATGACTACTACCGTGACTACTACCGTGGCTACTCATATGGCTGCCATGGAAGAAAGAATAGTTACCAGAATAGCTGAAGCCAGATCAAGGCCTTCTTCACCTACCATTCCGCTATCTCATTCAACTACTCAGTCAACTACTCAGCCAAGCACCAAGCCTGTCACTCAGCCTGTCACTCAGCCAAGCACCAAGCCTGTCACTCAGCCTGTCACTCAGCCAGCTCACCAATCCACTCAGTCAGCCACTCTACCAGAGCACTCAGTTAAGCAAGAGGAGGAGCAATGTGGAACAGAGAATACTGCGGAGAGCACTGCGGAGAAAGCAAGCGGCAACAAGGCCACCATCATCAAGAACACGGCTCAACTCTCCATGATCCCACGTCAGGTCGCCACTCAGCAAGCGGAGAATGACACTGCAATTTGGCCTATCATCCCCACTGTATTGATGTGGTACATCACTGCAATGACGACGCAAGAGAAGGATCTACTGCGACGGTCACAGCCAAATCACTATGGCTATAGCAATTGGACCTCTGCAGACAAGGATCACATCGGACGATGCATTTTTGGACGAATTGAAACCGTCCGATGTCTTGTTTCAACATCCATTTCATTATTCAAAAGCTTTCACTGCGGCAGGAGATTTCGCGGGATGCACACCACTAATTAGCCTGGCATCTCCATTCATTTCCGGCATTCGAAGAATCATGCATGCATACTTCTTGCCATGAGGACATGGCATTTCTCTGTTTTTTTGTGGGCAATTGTCATGAGATGCCTCAGGGCTACCCATAGGGCCACTAGCGTAGGCTTGGCACCGCACATATCTGCCCTGCAGGCACATAGAACAATCAACATCTTTTCCACCACACCACATATATGAGTCACATCATATTATTCCTTAACATCGATATAGATATAAGAGAACTTGAAGAAGTTATCTCATAACGCTTTACTCTTATAATCTCTTATCTATATTATTCTCTTATATTTTATTACTTATATAATTAGCGTTACTTAGTAATTTTTATCTTCTTAATATATTTAATATCTTTTATCTATCTTATATTTTTTTAGCTTAACTTTTGCTATACTATAGACGTAAAAGCTCTATTTCTTTTCTATTTAAGATCGTTCTTTATAGAGATAATAAGAAGATTGAGAGATTTAATAGTAATAGTATTAAGATCTATTTTATTTAATAATCTTCGCTTTAAAGCTAAGAGGGGGTATAAGATATTAGAGATAGTAGATAAGAATATAGAAAGGGTATAAAGGCGATATTAAAGCTATTAACTTAATATCCGCGATTTTATTTAATTATTTATCTTACTAATAGATATAGCGAAGATATTTTAATTAAAGAAGATTATATTAAAGAAGTTTTTATAAATAGAAAAGATTTATATAGCTTTAATTGAAAATAGTTGAACTTTAATTAAATAAGAATACGAAATAGTTATTTTTCTTATCTTTAATATAGATTTTTTAATATTTAACTAAATATCGACTATATAGACTTATTTAAAAGTATTTAAATAAGTCTATAACTTTAATAATTTACTTTTTTATTATATAGTATATAGAGTTTAAGAAACTAAAGGAAGATATAAATAGTATTTTAATATTTGAGATTTAGTCTTATAATACTTTCTCTTTTAAATATACTCGCGTTTAAATTAAAAATGAAGAAATAAGATAAGTTTTAGCGTTAAAATTACGATATCTGAGGATCTAATTAACCAACCTTAAATTTATGATTATCGAATATTTTGTGATTTCAGTCTTAAGTAATAAGAAAGCAAGCTTTCCAATTAAACCGCTAGAGCCATACATATACCCCCCCATTATTGCCATTTGCCATACGTTATTCTTCTGGTCGAAGACCGCTTGACCTCAAAATCAATTGAAGGGAGAATGGCATACTGTACTGACTGTGCGCATTCAACCCGGCGTTGAATCTCAAAGCCGCTTTTTTCCATATGTACGAGTAGATGCTCCATATTTGTGTCACTCTTCTAGGCATCACCCCACTTGGGTAGCCTGATTGTACACGCATTTTGAGCAATATTCAACAAAACCGCTAAGTATCCATCTTCTTCCTCATTGATGACACTCTTATGTTGTTTCCTTCACCCTCTCATATTTCTATTGATGCCTCGAAATTGGTTACGTCACCTGGTCTTTGCCCTCACAATCCTCCCGGTCCGGTCTTACAGTCCAGGGAGCTACGACGATGGAAGGACAGATATCCACAGAGTCATCTCACAGTCGCCATGCAAGCCGATGCCGTGAGAGCATATCGGTAAAAGATGCTCAACGTCTACCGCAGGCGATGGTGTGGGACCCTTGGCCAGTCACGAAATTCGGGTGCAGAAAAGACACCATCTTGAAAGCAGCCCGAGTGCTAGTTCGAGCGCGCAACACAGAACTTATCAACATTTGCAGCAATGAGATCGTTCTGCTACCAGCAAGTGGCGGCGTTCCTGGTGTTCAAGGAGGTTCACGTGAGAGACCTCTTTACAGCCTCCGCCCGCCCAAATTGGAGCCGTTCAAGATCCATCTATGGCAGATCCCTGCGGTGCGTACTTGGAATAGAACAACCTGGTCATGGGATGTTACCCCAGGAAAAATCATGGTGCGCCGAGGCCAGAAGTCTGAACCACTCACCCAATTCCTCAAGGCGGTTGGGGTCGCCAAAGACGATGCAAAGATGAGCGATCTGTGCAATCACTTCCGATGTTGGAGGTCTCTCAAAACCTCTAATGAATGGCTCAATAAGTTTCCTAGGCATCTCCGCGGGGTGGTCTACCAAAGGTGGTGGTCCTTCAATGGATTTCGTTTTCTACAACTTCCTCCTGAGCTAAGGGAAACAATCCTGACTTTCGCCATGGGACCTATCGCCGTACCATTCGCGAAGAGATGGCATCCAAAACGACATGTCCAATTGACGATGCCGAATATGCGTCTTTCTCTCGTCAGTAAGCAGCTCAATCGTGAGGCGATTGCAGCCTTATTAGCTCATACCACATTCTACTTTCACGCTATTGAACAGTTCTTACAGTTCTTCCGGCACACAGATGCAATATCACGAGCGATCTTTCGACCTCTTAAAGGGCTTCGTTCCTTAGAATTGGACCTAAGTCCAAATTGTTTACTTTGTCTTTTTGGTATTAGCTTCGGCCCCAATGTATTCGGCGTACGAGACATCCGTTACCAGCGGTCCCTCGCCCTCGACCTTGGCATATTCTTCCATGACGAATCCCCTCTATGTCATCAAATATGCATCAAGATCCCACACGTCTTTCAGCACAAACCCCGCCCTGACCACACTTGCTGCCAAAAGGTGCATAATCTAGCGTTCTGGGCCGGTGCACGGGCACGACTCCGTAATATTGCTGTGATTAAGTTGGTCGGACGCATCGACGAAACACAGAAGAAGGATTGGCTTGCCGAACATGCTCTCGAACGGAAGGGAGTGGTTCCGGAAGCAAAGGATTTTGCAGGGTGGCAAAGAGGGATTTGGACTCAATGGTGAGGTCGCATTTCGTTCTTTTCTCTCGGGGCGGCGGCGGTCTCCTTTGCTTGGTTTCGATGGTCTGGTACGATAGTTCCGTTATAACTTTGGGAGCGGACTATTGCTTTGCGTAACTTGCTAACAGATTTACAGCAGCAATTCAGTATGTGAGTGCAGTCCAAAGTGCAAGACGCGGAGATTCTAGCCATGATCCCAGTCACCCCCGGCCCCAAACATCACAACGCTAGCTCATACTCTTTCGAAAAGCCTATAATCGACGGCTTACAATTCCTCTTCACACACCTTTTACTCTTCGTATCATCTCGCCTTCAAGTTCCCAGCCTATCACGGTACCTGCTGGTAATCTCTTTGGAAATTGTCTTTTGGAATCGCGTGGCAGGGTTGATGTTCGACCATGTCCGCGAGGCGCAGAGCGGACCTGATAGTGTCGTTGCCCACGTTATAAGCAGTCCGGTGTTCGAAAATTTACGGTCAGGAGCCTCCGCTTCATGGTACAGACAAGCTTTCGGAACAAGACGTAATTGCAAATATGACACTTCTCCACCCATTCGCAATTGCAGAATTCCTATTTCGCTAGCCGAGCTTGCTCCAGGAAGAAGTGGCTTGACATTGGGTACAAAGTGATGCTGTAGCTTGGCTTCCAAGCATCTGGCGACAGTGGTAAGAAAACATTCTTATTGCCTTCTACTGATTTCATAGGAGCCATCCTATGTATTTTGTTAGCCTTTGGGAGGCTGTGGCCATTGCTCCCTACCTCCTTCAACCAGGACCGGCGAGGTTCCCTCTAACCTGCATCGTCGTCACCCTACGTGCCTTTATTGTTCCCTGAGCTCCATCCGCTGTCTTGCAAACTTTGCTGGCAGGGCTACAGCAGCGAATGGGCAGGCCCAGATGTTGGAAATATGCGGGTGAGACGGTTTTCCTGGGTCAACAGCCCTGAGCTACTGGTTTTTTGACCACACCCCACGCCTTCATTGGCCCACACTTCTAGCGGAGTAGAAAAAAGTTCCAATACAATGGTTTGTACCCATACAAGTTAGGGCGGCAGAAGCCCATGCCTCCAGAACCTCTTAATCCAACATAGAATCCAGAATCGCTTGCATTGCACGGGGTATCATATTCTCTCCCTATATACACTTTCCGAAAAACAAAGCAGCGTAATCGTCACCGCTTTCGTTACCTTCAGCCATTTTCTGCTTGCCCATTTGAAGCCACTGCTCTTCCCTCAAGACTGGCAGTGCCTAGCCAACACCCTCACGTTATCCACAAACCCCCTGATGAGATCCTCGTACTGGCTAGTTTGCCCATTCATCGAAAGCTGGCCCTGTCTGCGGACTTCTTCAGAAGAGACTTCGATTTCGAGTTCATGCTCCTTTTCTGTTTTGGGCGTTGCCTGCAATCATTTAATGTCAGCCTCGACTGATGAAGAAGGCTGTGCTCATTTACCTCGGCTGGGGTAACCTGCGTCAGATCAATCTGATACGCCAAATGCTTGTAACTCATGCGATCCTTATTCCGATCAGCCTGCTTTCCATCCCGCGTTTGAGGCTCCACTAAGTCCGTCATCTCTCCCTTATAATCCATCTCCACGTTCACACTAATACGCCAATCAAAGAGTGTCCTCGGGCTGTAGATGTCGATATCTGCCACACGTGCTTTGATGATCTTTGCGAGCACTTTGCCAGTCTTCTGATCAGTCGTGATGCGCACCTTTGACTTGTTGGCGTGGCGAGGATTGATGTTGAGACCCGAGACTATGGATTGCGGAAGGGCCAAGGCGCCGGCTTGCGTGAGCTCGTAGAAGGTGTCGACTTCGCGGGTGTGTTTGTAGTCCATGGGGATGCGCGGTTTACGAGCGGATGATGCTGGGGGTCGGATGTTGGATTGACGGACAGCTTCGTTCAGGAACTGATTGAGAGCTCTGTGTTGAACCTGTTTGGTGTGTAGTTTTAGCAGTTTTCTCGGAACGGGGCTAACAGGGAGAGGCCTACCTCGGTCATTGAGCTCTTGAAGGCGATCCGTATGTTAGGATCTGAGTGGCTGACGACACACTCGTTCAGCACAGGCAAGCGGAGTCGGTCATTGGTGTTCTTATCAATCAGTTGACCGAGCTTGGCTTCAACCTCTAGGACGGCTCCTCCGCCGGTACCACCACCCGCTGGACCGACTCCAACATCATCTCTCTGAACGACATTCTGGAACAACCAATCTGATATAATTCTGACTAGCTCCTCCGCAGGTATAATGTTGAGGAAACTGGGCTCCCAAGGGCCTAGTGGGCCAGTGTTCGCAAGAGTTGGCTGTGCCACAGGTACATGTACACCATTAGCCTGATTGGAGTCGCCGTTAGCTCCTTGCATCCCGGTGGGCTGACCGTTTGATTGTACTGGCACCAATGCGTCAAGTGCTTGCCTTGGGGCTGCCCGCCTAGGATTGCCGTTCGGAGCGCGATTACGTCTAGGAACAGACTGAGCCCAGATCGGAATCTCCTTCCAGCGGCGAGGTTTCTGCTTCTTCTCCGGGATTGGTTCAGTATCCGGTGCCATCATCGATTGATTGGCGTCGCTATTCTCCACAGAGACTGACATCGAATTGTTCGGCGAATCTTCCAAACGAGTCTTCTTCTTGGCTGGCTGAGACAGAATCGGAGATTTGTTTGTCGGCGAGGAAAATCCTTCAACATCTATGGGTCGCTTAATTTCGTCGTCGGCTGGAATTTGGTCGTGAGCCCTTTTCTTAGTAGGTTTCGATGGTGAGTCAATGAGAGCCGAGGCTTCTACCTTGGCAGATGGTGGCATTTTCGCATTAGACGGCAACTGATGAGCCGATGGAATATTCACGAGATACGGTGCGGAAGATGTATGGTTGCGCGGTATGAAATCGAAGGATGTCTTCTTACTTTCTGTATTGAGTGTTGAAGGAGTTCCGGGTTGTGAGTGGCGGTTCATTCTTTCCGGCGGCTCACTTGTTGGTGCTGCATTGAGCAAACCATTCACTCCAATAGAGGACATTCGGGATTGTGTTGATTGTGTTCGATTCATTGTTGGCTCACGGACGCTTGCCAAATCCGGCGAAATCGCTTCTACTTTGCGCTTAGCAGGCGTGACTTGTCCGTTCCAAGTATTAATCTGAGACGATAGCATTTCTGATGAATTCAAGCTTGGTAGACTTGGTAGCCTTGTCTTGGGGCTGACACTCAGACTTCTTTCTCGTTCACGCGAATTAATAGGTTCGTGACTCAGTGACTGTGGGTGCCGAACATTATAATTCCGTGGTGATCCAGCTATCGCTGGAGCAGGCGACGCAGCTTGCGGCTGACCATACGTTCCTCCTGGGAGGCTTTGCTCTCGATTATAACTTCCCGAGGACTCACGGCGGAGACTGAAGTTGGACCTTGGAAACGTGGATGGGGGTCCTAGAGGTGTACTCGGTTGGCTCATGTACTGTGGGCCCGTATGCGACTGGGATAGAGACCTTAATTGAGTATGTGATGCCTGTGGTGATTCTCGAAAATAGCTTGGGGGCTGCTGTGCCGAGTTTGGTGTAGGTATTGAATGAGACGAGCTTGGACGTCCAAGGTTATTTAAGCCATGTGCACTACCCGGTGTACTTGTGGTAGGAGTTTGGCTGAGTGGTGTCGATGGACCAAACGAACGGTTGATGGGCGCGCCTGAAGACGGATAGTTGTCACGCTGAGTATACTGAGGACCATGGACCGGACTCTGGCTTGGCATCTGTGAAGGAGGGTATTGCCCACTGTTCAAGCCAGAAGGAGGCATTTGTTGGTATGGTGACCGCACAGCGCTGTGCGAAGGCCCATTTGCCCAATAGTCACTGTGCCCCGGCGTTTGTAGAGGCGACGGTTGTGGAGGCCTTCCATCACGGCGCTCCTGATTAATTGGCGTTTGATTCTGATGAGGGTTCGGATATCCAGCTGGACGGGGTCTATAATCTTGGTTCATTGAGCCTGGTCCGGACCTTTTTCGAGGAGGAGGAGGTGGTGCATCATCCGCATCAATTATCGACCTGATGTCCATAACTGCCGAGCGAGCTTATTCCTCCCCTTCCCGTTATGCCTTGATATGCCTTCCAGGCTCCAGCCAATACCACTCAAATAGTATTCTTCCACAACACCAAAGCTTCAGGTTTACCAATCGCTTTATCGAATTGAGAACTTGTGCCAGAACCGTAGCACATTCAACGGTTGTCTGTATCGCTGCCCTGAATGATGCTTCGTGCGGATCCCTGTGGAGGAGAGACTTGGCCCCCGTCTTCACAACGCGGTCGCTTCGTCAAGAACGCTTTTGCAATGACGGCACATCGAAGGAGCCAGCTCCTTATAGCTCTTTATAGCTCTTTATAGTATCGTTGCTCCTAAGCGCTATCAACTATCAACCCTTTCAGTCCCTAATCGTACATTCCGAGAGGGGGTCGTGTGCGCTTCGCGCGAAGTGGTTGTGAAATATTTGAAAGAAAAGCCTCACGTATCATATAATGTTATCGGGTTTTAAGGATGCCTCAGATAGTATGCCTAGTCTCCATGCTTTCCACAAAGCGGTGTCTGCAGCTTCCGGTCAGAATTGGAGAATCATCGTCATTGGAGTTACCTTCTTACATACCTAAGTACTCAGAATTGACGAAAATGGAATAGCGTCTTGGCGCAGCCAAGCTAACGATTGCGCCGAGTTGACGTGTATTCTAGCAGCTTGCCTGATCCCCTTCCATCAGCACTTTCCACGTTTTTCCCACCTTTTACGCCTACACTGAATTATCCAAGTGTGCGTCTGAACTACTCACATAAGCCAGCATCTGAATCTCCGTTGATATTTCATCCATCTGCAACGTGAGCACAACGCTTACGCTGTTTGTGGGGGATAGTCGCCATTCTCACGTGAAACTTTAAGGATCTCATCAACTTAGTCTTGGACCATTATTATGGTTGGGTTGACATCAGCAGCCGGTGTGGTGGGGTTCTTATCCGAGCCAGATGCTGAGCTTCAGATCTTCGCACTGAGGAAATTGAACGAAGAGATCGACTCACTATGGACAGAAGTCGTTGGATCCGTGGGCGAGGTCGAGGCTTTATACGAGGATCCTCAGTTTCCAGAGCGGGAACTGGCCGCTCTCGTCGCGGCGAAAGTCTACTACAACCTCCAGGAATATAATGAGAGCATGGTATTTGCCCTCGGTGCCGGCAAGCTATTCAACCTGGACCACGAGGGTGAATTCGAGGATACTATCATATCTAAATGCGTGGATACCTACATCGCTCTCTCTGATACAGCTCTCACAAGCGATGTAAATCAGCCAACTCAGCTCAACACCGCCTTTCCTTCGACAGTAAATGGAGCCACAAGTACATCAGCAAGTCTCGCTTCCCCTACGATGCCATTCTCACAGGCAACCCTCCCGTCGAAGTCCCTACTTTCACGCCAAGACAGTACAAATACGTTCGATCCGGCGGGTGCCCCCGCCCCCACGACCGCTCTACCTCCGTCACTCGCACAGCAACGAGGGATCCAGAAACCTTTACAAGCGGTAATAGACCAGTTGTTCGAGCGATGTTTCCGGGACAGGCGTTATCGCCAAGTGGTAGGAATCGCGGTAGAAGCACGCAAGTTCGATGTCATTCGACGGGCTATACTCCGTGCGAGCGACGATGAGAAGGGCAACAAGCCGGCCAAGGATGGCATTGGACAAGTTGACGAGCTGCTGGAGTACCTACTGGGTATCTGTATGGACGTAGTCCAGGAGCGCGGATTGCGCCAGGAGGTAGGAAGCTCACCTTTCCTTCGTCAGATTCGAGGGCATATACCCTAGCTAACATTGATTTTTCAATCAAGCTACTGCGTCTCATCCTCGGTCTACTGCGGGATGTTCCCTCTCCAGATGTCTTTTCGATAGCAAAATGCATTGTTTATCTGAATGAGCATTCGATGGCATCGAAGCTACTGGCAGATTTGGTTGAGACTGGCGGGCCACGCCGCCTAGCCGAAGCCTACCAAATTGCCTTCGACCTGTACGACAACAGCTCTCAAGAATTTTTGAAGAAAGTTAGGGAAGGCCTTCCGAAGAGCCCAGAGCCCACAGCCGCTCAGACTACTGATGGCGTAGACAAGATGGATGAAGACAAAGTCGATGATGCTCAAGAGACTGACAAGCTCTTGTCGGAGTCGGACAGCAATGCTGCTGCTCCGAGTTCTTCGTTGGATAATTCTGTGGAAAAGCCCCAGCCAATCAGTCCAGAGGCGGAGAAAGCATTTGACTCGATACGGGAGATCCTATCAGGGACAAAAACCATTCAATTGAACCTCGAATTCCTCTACCGAAACAATCATGCCGATGTTGCCATACTCAACAAGCTCAAAGATAGTCTGGAAGCACGGAACTCGATTTTCCATACCGCAGTTACATTGTCATGTGGGTTCATGAACGCCGGCACTATGAATGCCAACTTCTTCCGCGACAATCTGGACTGGCTCGGTAAAGCGGTCAACTGGTCAAAATTCACCGCCACTGCTGCCCTTGGAGTTATACATCGCGGTGATCTTGGCAATGGGCAGACACTCTTGAAGCCATACCTGCCAAAGGATACTGTCGAGGGTGCAAACACTGGCTCTGTCTACAGTCAGGGAGGTTCACTTTATGCCATGGGTCTCATCTACGCTAACCACGAGACGTTTGCGTTGGAACTTATCCGTGACCATTTCAAGAAGGCCACGGAGGAAGTCGTGCAACATGGTGGTGCCCTAGGCTTAGGCGTTGCTGGCATGGCTACTGGCGATGAGGGCATCTACGATGACCTCAAAGGTGTCCTCTACACGGACTCAGCTCTGAACGGTGAGGCTGTAGGCATCGCAATGGGCTTGATAATGCTGGGGACTGGCAACATTAAGGCCCTCGAGGATATGATCCAATACGCTCATGATACACAACACGAGAAGATCGTCCGTGGCCTCGGTCTTGGGATGGCACTCATAATGTACGGCCGGCAAGAGGGAGCCGATGAATTGGTGAATGGCCTTTTGGATGACCCTGATCCAATTCTCCGATACGGAGGCATCCAGACCCTCGCGCTTGCTTATTGCGGCACTGGCAGCAACAAGGCTGTTCGCAAGCTGCTTCATGTGGCCGTCAGCGATGTTAGTGATGACGTACGGAGATACGCCGTTATGAGTCTCGGCTTCATCCTCTTCAGAAAGCCTAAGAGTGTACCGCGTATGGTCGAGCTACTGTCAGAGTCGTACAACCCACACGTCCGATACGGCGCAGCAATGGCACTGGGTATATCTTGTGCAGGTACTGGTCTGGACGAAGCCATCGACCTTCTGGAGCCAATGATCAAGGACCCAACTGACTTCGTGCGTCAAGGAGCACTCATTGCCCTTTCCATGATCATGGTACAGCAAAACGAGGCCATGAACCCGAAGGTTGGCACTATTCGAAAGACACTGCAAAAAGCCATCGGCGACCGGCATGAAGATGCCATGACCAAGTTTGGCAGTGCCATCTCTTTGGGTATCATCGATGCTGGTGGCCGCAACTGCACGATAAGCCTCCAGACCCAGACGGGTAACTTGAACATGGCTGGTATTGTCGGAATGGCAGTGTTCACTCAATACTGGTACTGGTTTCCTCTAACACACTTCCTGTCCCTGAGCTTCACTCCGACGTCAGTCATTGGTCTTGACCAGGACCTTGAGGTTCCCAGCTTCAAGTTTCACAGCGCGACTCGACCTAGTCTGTTCGACTATCCTCCAGAGCAAGAAGCCAAGACGGAGGATGCTCCGGAGAAAGTCAAGACCGCCGTGCTCTCGACAACTGCCCAAGCGAAGCGTAGAGCGCAGAGAAAAGAAAAGCAGCAGAGACGCGAGAGCATGGACATCGACCAGACGCCCACCGCGCCAAAGGCAGACGCTAGGGACAAGATGGACACTGACGAGCCCGCTGTCAAGACCGAGGGTGACGGCGAGAAGAAAGATGAAGAAGAAGCCAAAGAATCGGATAAGCCTGAAGGCTTGAAGAAGAAAATGGAGAAAGAAAAAGTGGGCTTCGGTCTCGAAAACATGTCGCGAGTACTACCGGCACAGCTCAAATTCGTCAGCTTCCCAGATGAACGCTACGAGCCCGTTAAGAAGCCCACCGGGGGCGTGATACTGCTGACCGACACCAAGCCTTCAGAGTCAAAGACGCTCTTGGAGATGAAGAAAGCCAAAAAGCCCGCTCAGTCCGCTGTCCTACCAGGTTCATTACAAGATCATGTTGAAGCTGCGATGGCTCAAGGGGAGGCGACTAGGGAGGCTACTAGGGAGGCAAGCGGTGCAGCCGAGGCAGCTGGGGTTTTGACCGCGCTTGATGAGGGTGGTGAAGGGGAAGAGGACGCAGAGGTGCCGCATGAATTCGAATATCACTCTGACAACGAGTGAGCATGGCGATGATTAGGAAGCGCTCTTGACCGCCATCTCCTTGTCTTATTACCATCGAATACCCAGCTGTTGATGGCTTCCGGCTGTTGTGTTACAATATTATATCATAGCAATAATTACAGAAGTATCAGCAACACCCCATACAACTGACCATTCACCTGGGTCCCTTGAAGTAAAGGCACTTGGTAAGAGCTATCCTCAGATAACTTGGCAAATACCGGAAATCAAATTTCCCATCTAAATCAGTGAATGATGAAAAATGCAATTGCCATGAGAAATGTTCCTACAGTATTCCCCGCTGAATCACCCAATCACTCATTCAGAACTCGCACGGGCATGGCCGCTTTGGAAGTTTCAATCAGTGATTATTCGGTGACTCTCAAACGCCAAGCCTGGCTTTGAGATTCCAAGCTGTGGTATTCGATAAGTCGATAATAATGCAACGCGTAATACGTTTGGAATCAGTCTTTAAATAAGCTGCTAAACCTCGCTGGTACCATTGTTTTTAGTATCAGCAATGCCTGCGACTGCGGCGACAACTACGGCGAAGACTGCGGCGATGGTGTGGTACGGTCGTGGCGCGGAAGGATGAAATGATCTCCGCAGTATTTGTGCGCTGGGATATTGTCTCATTTTCATTTGTATGCTTTTTCTTCCAAACCATTAGATGGAGGGTCATCACTACGTCTTCCTTCCCGATTGTCAATACTGTCTGGAGCTTGGAAGATGTCCAATTCCACTTCAACCCTCCATGGCTGGGTGGATCAGCCAAATAACCGCGGGACTTTTGACATCATTTCGAGTTGCTTCTTAACCATATTTTTGTGCACATGGACGTGCCTCCATCTCAATGTTCCCGCTTCAAAAGAGGGCGCTTGGAGACCCGTCTTGAGGAAAAGTCGCTGGATGGTGTTAACCATACTTGGACCCGAGTTCGCCGTTGCCTTCGCCGCAGGGCAACGAGCCAACGCAAGGCGTGCACTTGACACTATGAGAGGGATGGGTTACTCCGAATGGACTCTACGTCACAGCTTTTATGCCAATATGGGTGGATTTATTTTGCAAGCACGTGACAGTGCACCATTTCCCATCCATGGGCTGCACCTTATTTACCTACTAAAAGAGGGTTATTTGGATCTCCCAGAGATCACTTCGGAGGAGATCTCGGATAAGAGCAAGGCCAATTTACTTGCTAAAGCTCTGGTGTGTCTGCAAACTGGCTGGTTTGTGGTGCAGTGCTTCGGTCGTCTGGCTCAAAGCCTCCCATTGACAACACTGGAACTCGTAACCGTCAGTTACGTATGGTGCACATGGGCTATCTATGCACAATGGCTCAAGAAGCCTCTTGACGTCACAGCGCCCACGGTTCTCAGGACCCAAGCGAGTACCGCAGAAATCCTGCTCAAGGCCGGTCCTGCAGCTTCCCAGCCATATCGTCAAACTCCCCTCGACTTTGTCTGGGACGGTCGCGTTTCGTGGACTCTGGATGTGCAACCGTTCCTTCACTTCCGTGTTGATCCTCGCAAGAGACCTATGCCACGTATACTGAACGATAGCATGCCATGGTTTGACACAGCTGTTGATGCTGCAGTGTGTATTTTCGTGATTGTATTCTATGGTGCCATCCACATGTTTGGCTGGAATCTGCTTTTCCCGACTCGAATGGAGAAGACTCTGTGGCGTCTAGCCGCGCTCGTTCTCTTATGCACTACAGTGATATTGTGCATATGGGAATTGCTGTGGGGTATCTTTCGTGCAGCGTATCTCCTACACATTAACAAAAAGAGAATGAGTTTTAGGTCTGTCTACTATATCTATGCGAACAAAATCGAAAAGATTAGCGGAGCGGACGGGTTGCCTATCCATGACAAGGACTTCGACGAAGGCGTCATTACATATTGGCACATGGGGGTTTTTGTCCCCCTAGGAGTGTTGTACGTGCTCTCTCGACTATACATAATTGCGGAAGCTCTTGCTTCGCTCCGAGCTCTTCCCAGCGGTTCCTTCCAAAATGTACACTGGACAACCTTCATTCCGCACTTTTAGGGGCTAACGCCTGCATTCGGAAAGCTCATTTGCTTCATGGCTTCTTCGCCTTTCTACATCGTCCTGCTTGTAACGATGGTGAAAAGATGAATGGTCATGATCTGATTGTGAAGGGTATGCGTCGTTGAGAGGTTGTTGTGGGTATGGAATTTTCTGAGGAGAAAACAGCAATCAATATCAGGTTGGACTAGATCCTGTACATACAGACAAAGTACTCGTAGCATCGACCAGTCACTTTGGGCGGTAGCCTTTCGACGAAATCAACCGGCGGAAAAATCTCTGCGAGATTTACGGATTATATGAGTTTGAAGATTTCCCGACCTATTCTTGATGTCGAGATTTCTCGAACTTCAATGCTTTCATCTCTGATATCTTACCTTTATTAAGAATTATCGAATCTCTATAATTCCAGTGGCGTTAGATTCAAAATAGTGAGGGGACCAATCGTCGTATAGTTACACTTTTCTATACATGCGTAATTGGTATTCAGTGCCAAGCATTCCAGACAAGACAACTTCACTCTGCCCGCCTCATTGTGCATCAAACAACGCAAAATCGCGGAAATGGCAACACTATCGCCTCAAGACATCAGAACACTGGAACACACCCGCCAGCGCCTTGCTCAGCTTACAAAATCCCTAGATTCTTTGCAAAAACAGATTCACACCATAGAACCTCTTCCATCATGGTAAGTCGGCAGTCGTCACGACAACCTACAACATTCTCGCTTTCTCCTCTCCGTTTGCAAAATCATGGGACGAAAACAGCTAAGAGCTTCCAGGTCCTCCCTCCACTCGCTTTCCCAAATCATATCCCAAAACCTCGCCTCTGTCTCCGCCCACCTGACCACGCACGCCCCGCTCCTTTCGTCCCTGGTCGCCTACCCCTTGCCACTATACCCCGGCCGAGAACAGGAGCCCGTTCTCAATCAACTACTACGCAAGAAATTGGAGCCACATGTTGAAGATTGGGTTGAAGAAGGTCGTCTAGCTGGAGAGGAGGTGGCTAATTGGGATGGTGGTAGGGGAAGGGCCGAGATCACAGGATTGTGGGAATGGGCGGGCATAGCGGCGAATGAGCAAGCACGGAAGCACGAGTGGGGCGGAGACTATACCGTTGAGGAGATCGAAGGTGGAATTGAGAATGTGGTTACGGGGTTGAGGGACGAGGAGAGTGACGAGGAAGAGGGTGAGGAGGGAGACGAGGGAGCCGCTTGGTCGGCGGAAGTGGAGGGTCAAGAGAACAAGAAGGCTGAAGAAGGAGGAGGGGGAAAGCCGCTATCGATGGATGATATGCTGCGGTTTTTGGTGAAAGGGGAAGAGCCGAGGAAGTGATGACGAGGGGGCACACCTCCCCACTCCACGATCATACCGACGGCTTTTGATCTTCCTCGGGAGTCAGGACGGCGACTGGCAAGGTTCGGACGGCATGGATGCGTAGGAATGGATATACCCAAGGCGTTGGAGAACGATATGAGGCTTCTGAGGAACCTCTACGACATTGCATATGGACGAGATATCATCCTTGTTCAGTCATGTAACCATTCATCGAGAATGACGAGACCGTCAGGGATGTTTCCTATACCGCCATCGCCTTTCATTCCGTTGCTGCTCACTTGAATATCTCTCCGGATCTGCCTGGCTTCCACACCTTCTGCTCCTCACTCTTGGTCTACTGCTCCCTTTGCCAACAGTCTTCTTGTCTCTTTTCTTCTCTGCAAAGGTACTGTCCTGTCCCTGATCAAGCTATCGACAATGAAACTCAGCTGCCTTACCGGATAGCCCTGTTCCTTCGCGTCCGACACGCCGCCCACGCCGCGAGCATCAGCTCGTTCTTCAGCCGCACTCGTTCTGAAACATAGCGCATGGGTTCAATCTCCCTCCATGTTCGCAACCTAGGCTCGTGGCTTCAGGGCGCTACGGCCGACATGATAGGCTTACTGTTGTCAGCTTACGGCGTAATAGGAAAGGACGAGTACTGCAAGAAGGAATATTTATTATGTAGAGGACAAGTATAGGTCGACATATATCCAAGCACGGTCATTCCGATTTCGAAATCTCAGTGGTAACATTGATCAATTGCTTCTCTCGTCGTTCGTGCCACTACTGCAGCTCACCATTGCGTTCCAATCGACCGCAATGTCCTCAACATCTATCACCACTACTCAATTGCATGCTAACATGTCAGCAGAGCCCTCATCAACGTCAGTCAACCTCTCGGCCAGAGCCCAGCCAACAGTGACGTCCTCTCCCCTCCTTTCCCTCCCTCTTGAGCTCCGCCTTCAAATCTTCGCTCACACCCTCTCTCTTACGCCACGGCTCAAACCCTCCTTCCCAACCGACACAAGCGAGAAGCGCCACCTCTTCTACGACCACGTGGACAACTCCCTCCTGCTCGTCTCCCGCCAAATATACCAGGAAGCGCGGCTGCTTCCCTTCCAGAGCAACACCTTCATCTTCGCGAAGATCTACGGCAGCTCCATCGTCTCCGCTATCAAACTGTTGGAGAAACTGCGAGATTGGCAACGTGAAGCGGTGAGGAGCGTGGAGATTGCTGTCGTAGGCAGGGAAATAGTAGAAGGTTGGAGGAGAGAAGCGGGGTGGGAAGCCGCTGTGCGCTTACTGTCTTCGAGCAAGGTCGAAGCCAGAGTCAGGATTCAAGAAGGGGATGTATGGATCGGAAATGGGGCAGAGGCTACAGCTTGCTGGCTGCCCAATGGAGGAAATGTGGGACTGGTTGCGGGTATTGGATGGGTAGCATTGGATGAATCAATGGTTCCGGAGAATCCGAAGTGGGGCGATGTGAGGCCTGTTGTTGGAACTGGAAGAGGAGGGTGGGTGCAAAAGTTGTTGCAGGCAGGGGTGCCGGAAAGTGTGAGATTAGAGTTCTGTTGGAGCTGAGTGTTTGAATATGATCACATTTCGGGCATTGGTGGATGGTGGTCATGTTAGACGAGACGGTACTTTTGATTGATGAAATCAGCTGGCTCGCTATCCTCTGCGGCGGGTCGTTGGTCCCTTCCCTTTGGTCGAGGCTCTGGTGCTGGAGCCCTTAACGATGTCGGCTGGTTTCTGGCCAATCTCTCCTGCATGCGATGCTGTGGCTGGACTGTTCCAATAGTATACCTGTTTATTGTCAAAATTTGCTTCCTCGATCGCATCGTTTCTGTTCGGCACTACTCGCACTGGAACCTACCATCTGAGCAGCCAAGACTAGATTGAGCACGAAGCCTCCAACGAATCCATAAAGAATCAGCCTATCATCCACCTCCTGCAACGTGGTATATATCCTCGTCAAACTTCCAAAGAGGTAGTTAAAGACCTGCATCACCAACGTATTTTAGCTGCCGCCCCCCAGCCTCACAACCCTCACTCACCATAAAAGCGCTCAACTGCCCAGTCCCCCCCTCACTATAGATGGTCCAGACCTGCGGCAGCTTTGATGCTACCCCCAACAGGCCCGCTCCCATTTGTGCATATGTCAACGTCTGCATGTCGATCACGCCCTCATTGAACAGCGAATAACCCGCCGAAGCCAGAGCAGCCACGAAGACGGCCGCCAGAACCGTTTGGCCCGTATACCGCAGCACCAATAGACTGATTACGACGTTCTGCGCAGCGATCATCGCCGTTTCCCCGTACGTATTGAACGGAAACCCATTGCGCGCGCTATAGGCCAAGGTCGTCAACAGCGCTGAGGTCTCGAGGGCGTAGGAGAGGAACGAGATCCCGGCTCCGGATTGTGAGGACAGGAGTTTGATGATCTGAGGGACCTTGACGACGGAGGAGCCGGCGACCGTGGCGATCCCGAGAGCTTTGGACACGGCGAGCTTCAGGCATTGTGTGGAAGTGAGGTCGATGTCGAGGATGAGGTTTTGGTAGCAGTCGGGCCCGATGAGGGAGACGCCGAAGTCGCGGATGGGGGCAGGAAGGGAGTGGGTGAGGGGTTGGATGGTGGTGCGGAGGGCGTCCATTATTGTGAGATGCGTGGGAGGTTGGCAAGAGGTGGATGTGATGAGCTGACCTTTAAGGCTCGAAGAATGACAGGGTCGGTCAGCCCTACGGCGCAAAGACAAGGCCCCTTTTCAAAAGCCTCAAAAAGCCACAGATAGCCTTGCTTCATGGTCAATATGAGACTTCTTGGTAAGTTGGAAGTGTGTTTAATATTCTTCAGTACTTGCAAATAACCACTGCCTCTATCCTAAACCGAGGACTTCGACCACCGAAGACACAAGAACACCAGCATACACATATCATATCTCCTTCACAGCTTCATTCCTAGAGCCTTGTGCACCCTCAGTGCCTGTCTGATGCTGAGATCCAGCATGATCTCCTCGCTGCCACCAGGAATCGCGTAAGCTCGGACGTCGCGGTATAATCTCTCGACCTTGGCACCTTGTCCACCACGGCTGTAGCTGAGTCCACCGAAGATCTGACTTGCCTCCCTAGCACAGAACTCAAAGGTCACCGTGGCCTGGGCTTTCAAGCCCGCAATAGCACCTCCAAGCTTCAACATGGCCTCGGTCTCTTGCATGACGTTGCACTGGTAGATCAGATTCTCCATCCAGTTGTAAGAGGCTTCGATCTGGCGAGCCATGTGTGCAAGCTTGAGCCGGATGACAGGGTGGTCGATGAGCTTCTTGCCGAAAGTGCGGCGCTTGTGAGCATACTTGACAGACTCTTCGTAACAGACGCGGGAGAAACGAATGCATTGGATGATTATGCCTATTCGCTCGTGGTTGAAGTTTGTCATAATGACTAAAGAAGAGCGTTAGCGTTGTCATTGCAGAAGTAAGAAACATGATCTTACCCTTAAACCCTTGGTTCTCTTTGCTTAGCAGATTCTCCACCGGTACTTTAACGTCCTCGAACGTTACATATGTGGTTCCACTGGCCCATACACCCTGGCAGTCCATCTTCCTGGTGCTGACACCACCGTGCTCGCGCTCAATAAGCAGCGCTGACACACCGTTCATACCTTCACCACCAGTTCGGACCGCAGTTGTGAAGTAATCGCACCACACGCCGTTTGTGATCCACTTTTTCTCGCCGTTCACGATGTAGTGCTTGCCATCTTCGGTAAGCTTAGCTTCGCAAGTCAGATTGGCAACATCACTTCCAGCATCTGGCTCGGTAATAGCCAGACATATTCTCTTGTCCCCATTCAAGATGCCGGGTAATATCCGATCGACGAGGGGCTTCTTGCCGAACTTGACCAAGGGAGGGCATCCGATGCCAAATCCTCCGATCAGGTTCCATACAAGACCACCGCTGCCTGCTCTCGATATCTCGTCCGTCAAAAGCATTTCGTGGAAGAGGTCCCAGTCTTCAGGCTTCACGCTCTTGACCCGGTGATCGGTGTAATTAGTAGGATATTTGTGTAGGCCCATCAGACCTGCCAGGTAGCCACGCTCGCCCATCTGCTTGTAGATTTTGTCTGGCACTTTCTTGGCTTCATCCCATTCCGTAACGTAAGGTTCGATCTCATTGTCAACCCATTCGCGGACTTCCGCGCGGAGAGCAACGTGGGTCTCGTTGAAATAGGGAGAATGATACTAGACTTGAAAGTCAGCCACGAAGACGTTTCCATGAATAGGATCATGCATACACTTTGATACCACGATGGATCCGCGTAGGGTATCATAGCCCCATACGGATCCATTGACTCTTTTGCTTCCTCCACATCTTTCCCTGGGACTGGAGCTACGGCTCCGGACTCAGCTTGTGGTTTTACCTTCTCCTTAGCCTCCGTCTTCTTCTCAGCTGGTGGCGGTGTTGCAGGTGGAGTAGGAGGGGCGGCTTCTTTCTTCTTGCTGTCTAGGGATCCGACCAGTAATTGGGCTCGGTATTTCTTAAGTATGCTCTCATTGTGATATTTCCAGAATTGTTTTGAGGCATCCTTGCCGGCCACCCGCTGGAGGACTAGGGCATAGCGAGTCAACAAACACCCACTCAGGGGGCAGTTGCGGGAGGTGCTTACTTTTCTGACCTCCAGGATGTTCTTCTTGAAATTTGGTCAAGTCGTAAGCGTCGTCATCAACAATGACCCTATTTAGAGTAATGTTAGAATGCGGTGAAACAGAAAATGGGCTCTATGCTAACCAGAGGTCGTCTTTCGTTTTGTGGCTAGCAACCTCATCTTTTGAAAAGATCTTGGACATTGTGAGAAAATGAATGAAAGGCGTCTATAGTCTATGTAGGGGGCTGACTGTAGCGAGAGAGGAAGAAAAGGAACAGAATGTCACTCAGTCAAATGCGGATGGATGGTGGAGACAAAGTGAAGGAGGAGATGCCTCGGCCGGAAATACCGTATACTCGAGTAGTGAATCCCACCCCCCCACCAATGCAATTCCCCGACGCCAATAATTAGGCAGTAATCTCCGCCATGTGGGCTCGGTTGACTTGCTTCAAATCACTCTGCCATTTTCCATTTTGGCATTCACATCGTGATTGGAAAAAGTACTTTAAAAGTCTGGGTTTGTAGATGATGTTTGATTGGTGAGAATGCCCCTCGTGACTTGCGCCGCGGGCTGAGAATTGTGCCTCGGCTCACATTTTTGCGGGCTGGAGTTCATGTCGTCAGTCATCCAGGTCATCCATCATTCTCTACCACAGTCCAGAGTGCACGTGAATATCATAGCAATTCCCGCTTTTCTTTGGTACCCTTTCCAACTTGGAAGGGGAAATTGCCTTCAGCATCATCGAAGATGGCCGCTCCTGTCCAAGTCACCAAAGCCTCTGAGCTTCATACAAACACCGGACAGACGGAAGGCATGGTTAGGCAAGGTGCAATTATTGACAAGTCGGACAGCATCAGCGCATCTGGTCCATCCCTTGAAAAGCCCCTATTGTGAGAACCTAGGCTCAGACTTGCAGTCATGATCGCCAAACCCCGCTCCTCCTCCGCCATCCATCATCACGGGCCCCAAGATACCGTGGTTTACTGCGTCCGTGGGCGAGGGGCAGTGGTTTCAGAAGGAGGGAAGAAGAAACAAGTCTTGGAAAAGGGAGACTTCGCATTGATACCGGCACATGCTGAGCATCAGGAAATCAACGATGAAGACGAAGAAGTCGAATGGATCATAACGAGGAGTGGGCGAGTTCCTGTCGTTGAGAACCTAGAGGGTTGGGGTACGAGCTAAGAGCGACCACATAGTTCGATAGATTCTACAACTTGTGTGTCTCGTTCCTTCAATAGTAGTCTCATCTACCAAATACATTGATGTTGATTGAGAAAGGTTCCCGCCCACCGTTGTTACCTCACCAGATGCCACGGTCTGTCTAAGCCATGTGAAATACGAGGATGAGGCTGAATCGCCACGAGTGCGTATCGTATGTATGCTGGGAAAGCGAGGATGAACATCCCATTGCACGGGACTAGCTTGAATGTTCTGGACAGTAACCGCCGATGACCCATTTCTCCCACATCTTCCGCTGGGGATAAGTCACAGAGTGGCCGTTGTCCCCCAAATCATCTGCATTGAGCGCATGTGAACCATTCGAACACGTGCAGGAAGGTAGTGAAGCTGGCGTATCAGGCGACAAAGCAAGCTCATTCGCGTCAGGACCGTGATCGGTGTCAGCATTACTGTTCTCGTCTGACTCATCGTCACTGTCGGCATCGAAGTCGCCATCGCTCGGATGGGTAGGGAGATCGTCTTCCTCGTCACTATCGCTTGACCCGAAGGCTATATCGTCAGGAACCTCCATACTGCCCTCCCAGGAATCATCGAAATGATTTGAGTAGTCAATTCGACGGAGACTGACCCAGTCCAGCTGTTCCATCTCGGTACGAAGAACTTGCAGAACGTCTTTCCACATGCTGTCCTCCTTGAGCAGCACATCGCGGAGACGTAAGCCTCTAAGAGTTTTGCTATGTCGTCTAGCGAGCCAAATAATCTCCCTTGCTTCCAGACGACAAGCTTGAATGCCAAAGGCACGAAGCTTGTCCCATTTGATATCGTGAAAGATGTCTTCGAGATTCAAGTCGAGCGGTGCACGGGAAGGGAATCCGATGTGCACAGCCTGTAGGTTCTTCGCTGCCAGGAATACGGCGCGGAAAAGGCCGGAGAGCTCTTGAACCCGGGTATTGAGGTCTGCACCATCCTCAAAATGTAGTTCAAGACAAGTGAGACCAGACGCAAGTGAAGAGAACGTCTGGGGGATGTTCCGCTGAATAGCTAGCATGCTCTGAGGGCTCATCATGGGCCCTGAGAATTTATTGAAAGATGATTGTGTGGACATTAGAGCTTCAGCGATAGTCTTCGTGGCATGATAACATGCAGGCGACCATCTCAAGTCTACCACGGGTTGCCCAGAAGGAGCGGCATTTGATCCATCTCGCTCCAACAATTCGAGCAAACGCTGATCGGCTTCATCTGTCAAACGAAGGATCTGCACATGCTGAAGTGTTGTGAATGCTGCCATTGCTTTCTTCAGGATGCGAGTGTCTTCACCCGATCGTAGTATTTTTGTTTGATCCTTCTCTCTCGCTCGTAGGCTCGCAGCGTGCAAGGGGTCGAAGGCGTCGGCGGGCCTTGTGGAACGTATAAATTCACCAACCTGCAATCTGCCTTTGGTATTCGTCAGCTCCCGCATCATTTGGGGGCCCGAGTAACTTACTGTTACCGTAAAAGAGAGGAACCAAATAGCTAAACTTCCGTGTATTCTGTATAAGATGACCGTTGCTGCAAATTTCCTCCAACCTTCGAAAGCCCCGCGAGGAGAAACGAAGAGTGACCCTGGTGAACTGATAGGGAATCCCTAAGTCTGCAAATCTTCGACACGTAAGTCTAAAATTTGCAATGTCTTGCGCTTGACATGGTAATGGCGGGCTTGGGAGCCGGAAGCTTTCGACGGAGAGGTATTCTCTCCGGTCTACGCTGACGCAGCTTTGAGACTCTGATTCGATGTTGTCGAGGATTGCATTAAGAACTTCATTTGAGAGCTCCTGAATATTCGCCATTGAGGCAACCACGACATCGAGCTTATAAAGAAACGATAGGAATAGCGCAGACGTCAATCATGTTGTGCCGATGATACTGTGGAGGCGGGGACGAAGTCCGACAACAAATGCCTCGAAGTTCAAAGCAAGGGGATAGGAATAGGATGTCAGACGACATCATGCCAACACACGGAGCAGAAGGAAGACGGACGGAACAGAAAGACGCACGTCGACGCAAAAAGAGGAACAGCGCTGCATGAAGTATAGGTTGACATGCGGTATGAGCGAATCATGGCTCTTCTTCCCCTCCACTCGAAGTCACATGATCGAAATCTCACCATCGGGACTACCCTTCCCGCTGCAACTATTGACCTGGATGGCTGTCAGGCGCTCCTGCTCGTACGGGAGACGGTCTGGATCGGGCAGCTTGTACGTCGTGCAGGCCGTGCAGACTAAGCTCAGGATTTGCACGGCGCTTCCGCATCTGCGCAACTACAAATGGAGAGCGTTCCCCCAACATTATTTCTGATGACTTCGAATTCGCCGTCCACCTCCAAGCACAATTGGAAGCTATATATAGCTGAACACGAAGAGTGAACCAAGCAGGTTGAGATGCGCTGTCGAAGAAAGATCATTGGCAACTGTGATCAATGCGTCTAGCCAGAATGGATCTAGCCCACACGTCTGGCGCTTCGGCCTACGAGCCAGGGTTGTTGTAGCATTTCCCAGCCTCCCAGGACATCAAGTCCTGACAAGCTTGCGACTTCTTGATAAGTCCGAGGAGTTGGACATGGATGGCTTGCTGCAGGCGCTCATTGATTGGACAAGCTGTGGTCTCCCTGCAGCATCCCCACATTGCTGCAGAATGCAGGGGTGGCAGCTAGCCAAGGTTGCGGCATTAGACTGTTACTGCTTGCAAATGCTTTCAATTTGATCGGACTTGCTTGCTGTCTCCGCTAGATCTGTCAAATTTTGTGGCAGATTTCTCGTGTATCCTGCGTCTGATATCTGTGCTGCTGATCTTGCCCTGGAACTTGTCGTCTGCGCGATCCCGGCTGTCACCATCAGCCTCCCCAGCCTCGAGCACATCAACTTCGAAAACTTCTAGAGCAGACCACCCCTTTTCTCCTCTTTTGTCGTTTACCACTTGCCCTCCGCCCTTAGTTTCTGCGGAGAGGACAAGCGCCGTAATCGTTTCGTCGGTGATTGTGGGTCCACATGGATCAAAAATCTCCACGTATTTGATGATCAATCCGGATTTGAGCGTGTTATGGACTTCTCTGCCGTGAGGCGAGTTGCTCTCGACATGCCGTAAATTGTCCAGTACATGGCTAAGCGAGAAAAGCCCCAATATTCCAAGCAGAAACTCCTGGACGGCAAGCTGACGCTCTGGGAAGTCTTCTAGTTCCTCTCTAAAGTTTTTGTTCTTAAGAAGTTCATCGCCAGTGATTCCAATCGTCAAGCACGCTCCCCGGATGGATCTCGGATCGAGAACAAGTGCTGTCATTGTAAGGAGCAGCTTGTGGCCAACATGAAGATGGTCAAAGGTACCTCCCACCGCAATGGAACAATGGCAACCAGATGAAATCTCTTGGAAAGCGTTTTGCGGAGAGCTTTGGTGAATGCTAAGGCCTCCTGGAAGCCTCTCAATTTCAATCTGGTTACTGCTCATAGTCTCGTCTGAGGACCCTCCCCTTATGCGGAGGAAGTCCTGAAGCAGACTTTCCGCCGGCTCGCTCTCCAGGGAGCATAGGCGTTGCCATGCTCGGTCATTTCCTGCCAAAGTTTGCAGATCACCGAATGGTTGGAGGCGTTGAGAAGCCCTGGGATGAGCGGGTTGATGCTGGTTGGTCAGGCCTCTATGGAAGATGATCAGACGAACATCAACATCGTTATCGTACTGTAGATCAATGGAATTCTCCGTGCAGATTACGCAGATCAGTCTATACATTAGTCCCAAAAGCCTCTGTATTTTTGGGTATCGAAAGATCTGCTCATCTTCGTAAGCAATGGCAACATCCAAAACCACATCGAATGATCCGGCCGAGGCATTGGATGCCATTTGCAAAACTTGAGTCAGACCTTGTCCATATGCAACCCTTAAGGCATTGAGCGATATCTCGGAGGGTGGACGAGGAAGTAATAGCAGCCACAGTGGGCTGGACTCAGGGCCGTCAGCCATGCCAAGATAGGCGATAGACAATAACAGCTCAAGGGAACTTTGACTTCAAGCTGGAGCCTGACAACGTTGCTTCTATTGGAAGCGGTTCAAGTGGACAATGTTAGAAAAACGCGAGGTAAGGCCGTAAGGTCTCGTCTTTCGCGCTAAGCGCGCTTGCAATCGCAGTCTTTCGATCTTCAACAGAGCGAAGTGAAGATGAGGAGCAAAGCAAAGCTTTTCTTTGATCGTCCATATCTGAAGCAACGCCATACTCATCAGATGGACTCTCAGCAACACCGGCTCCTGCAGTAGCAGCACAATGTCATTCCCCAGCCACGAATACTCCACGTCTGCCCAACCTGATAACGTGACAGGCCTGGCCGGTGGATCGTATCAAAGTAGCAACCTTTTGCCCCATAAGAAACGACGGATACTTATACGGTAACAGCAAACCAAGGCTCCAGTATGGCAGCCAACGACAGTGCGTATGTTTCGTCGCCTAGCACGCTGACCTCGCAGAGTGCAGGCTCATCAGGTCAGACGAAGATAGCTCATGCGGTCAAGACTCGGCAGCACTGACCGTGTCCCTAGGCTTCGAGACTCCCCGTCGAACACAAACATATGGCCGACGGCAAGAAGAGCTTCATATACCACCAAACACAGCCCCAGCCCAATCAACACCAAAAGATCTACCGCGGCATCATTCATATCATTCGTCACAAGAATTTGTTGGGGGTCCAGCTCCTGGGATCAATGTTCAACAAGCTACGCCTCAAGAATCTCACTACGCAAACGCTCCAGGGGGAATATCACTCCCAGGCTCTCTACAACCAGGCCGTCCAGGTGCCTCAGCGTCCATTACTGCGCCTTCTACCGTACCAACTTTGCCTCAAACCCAGAATCCCCCTCAAAAACAACCCCATTCCTCACGACCCTCGACGACCAGCCAAGCACACAGCTATTCTCGGTCCAGTCCTGCTGGTATGGATCAACCAAAATACGCCCCTTTTGTCAATACCCCTGAGAGTTCCAAATACTCGTCACCGCCTAGCCACAGATACACGTCATCTCAGACAGCCCAAGGTGACGCTGGATACTCACCGCTCGGCTTGGCAGATATACGACCGTTAGCTGACTCGGCAGTAAATGATGGACCTCAAAGCGGAAACTCATACTCAAACGACGGCTATCCTGCGTTCCCCACGAACAGCAACTATTTGGCTCCATGGGCAGTCTATGCCTTTGATTGGTGCAAATGGCCAGTCCAGCAGCAAACTTCCGGCGATTCAGCCGGCAAGATGGCGATTGGAAGTTACGTCGAGGATGGGCATAATTTCGTAAGTGACTAGTTCCGCTGTAGTCATATAATCGAAAAGCCCTATTATCTATTTCTAATTCACATTCTAGATTCAAATTCTCGAGACTCAGATTGCCCCAGAGCCAGAAGTTGACCATTCAATAGACGCGCCCCAATTTGGTCTTGAATTCGTTAAGACCGCGGAAGCGACACATTCCTATCCTGTCACAAGGATATTGTGGGAACCGGCGTCCTCCCAAAAGCAGTCTACTGACCTCCTGGCTACATCTGGGGACCATTTACGCTTGTGGTCTTTGCCATCACAGTCGTCCTATAACCCAAGAAACTCTATATCCCGCTCGTCTAATAGTTCACAGCAGCCGCCTCAAAAGCTGACACCTCTTGCTCTTCTCTCAAACTCCAAATCGCCCGAACACACTGCACCACTCACTTCATTGGATTGGAATACGCTTTCTCCAAGTCTCATTATTACTTCCAGCATCGATACCACTTGTACAATATGGGATATACCCACGCTTACGGCCAAGACGCAACTGATAGCGCACGATAAAGAGGTCTTCGACGTCCGTTTCTGCGCTAACAGCGTTGACGTATTCGTGAGCTGTGGCGCCGATGGTAGTGTACGAATGTTCGACCTCAGAAGTCTAGAACACAGTACAATCATATACGAGCCTTCGGAGAAGAACAATGAGAAATGTTAGTCTCTTTTGATCCGAAGCATCACATCGTTTTTGACAAATTTCGCTTCTAGCTTCAAGTCCTGGAAACATGAGCCCAACGACGGCGCAGCAAACAATGTCATACGCACCACCACTACTCAGACTAGCAGGTAAGTCAACCCCATCCTCCCGTATATCTGACCTCTCTTCTGGCTTAGCCTGATGTCTTGCAGCTTCTCCCCATGATGCGCATCTCCTGGCAACATTTTCACAAGACTCGAACAGCATACGAATTCTAGATGTTCGGCAACCCGGACAGGCATTACTCGAACTACGGGGACACGCAGCTGCTATCAATTGCATAGAATGGTCGCCTTCTCGAAGAGGCACACTAGCATCTGGTGGAGACGATTCGCTAGTATTAATTTGGGACCTTCTAAACCAAGGCAATGCCACGCTGGCCCCAGGCTCGAACGGCAATCCGCAGGCGTCAGGAAACTCAACCCCCGCTAATACACAAGGACCGACCGCAAGTTGGCATTGCGATTATGAAGTTGGGAATATTAGCTGGGCGCCGCAGAGCGGCTTGACGAGTCAAGGGAGCGATTGGTTGGGTGTTAGCGGTGGTAGGGGCGTTTGGGGTGTATCCTTATGATAGAACGTCACCACAATTCTGAGAGTGTTTTTGGCATTTACTCTAGCAATGCATCACGAGCGAGGAGTCTGGAGTCGCCAACAATCATGATCTAGATAGAAACGGGGCATGGATGATTGATGTTGGGTTTAAATTCTGAATGATATATTGTTTCCATAGGAAAGCAAGCGAATTACCACGTCTACCGCAAGGAGCTATTTGGGCTATCAGTGATCGAGTCATCTGTTGGAGTCTTGACCTCCGTCAGTGTTGGACGGCGAAGTCCTGATAGCGCATGTCGGTCAGCCGATGACTCGCATGTTTGTAGCAGCAACGAGGTCACACGACACTCCTAAATGTGTCGGCTTTTCCTAACACTGCCATATGGCAAGCAGATCCTAATTAGTCTCAGTGTATTGTCTGATAGACTCTTTACACGATGACTACTTGTACGTTTCTACATTCCCGAGATCTTAGCACGAACCGTTCTGTTCATTCTCACGCTCCCACCTGCCAATCTAACCATGTCACTTAGATCCCTCTTCAACCTCCCTTCCGCCAACAAAGACATTCCTCTCCTTCCAATACATGCATCCCGAAACCCAACGCCATCTCAAACCCCGTACCAAACCGCGCCAGCAAGCCCTGACCCACGACCTCCCTCGAAAATGACTGCTGTCCAGGTTCCGTACTCCGATGCCCTTATCACCATCTCACGCCAGGAAGTCCACCTACAAAGCACCCTTCAGCACCTTCTCGATGCCCAAAGCGAAGGTCTACTTGCTGGTCTCACAGGCGGCCCGCCTCAAGGTGAAACATCAACTACAGGTAGCCGAACACCGACGACAGCATATTCCAGCCCAGGCGGCCCCAGGAAGCTAAAGAGTGTTGTACCCATGCGGCAACCTCTGAAAAGGAAACTAGGTTTGAAAGGCGCGCGCAGAGGCATTGCACGCGCCATATCGGATTTAGCAACCCTGAAGATTGAGGAGGCCAGGATACTAGAGGGGGAACTCTTGCAGCGAGCAGAGACGCTTAGTATCGTGCAGCGATTTGAGACAAAGATGGTCGGATTGAAGGAACACATTGATAACATTGAATCAGAAGACACGACCCGCGAAGTGGAGGATCTGAAGGGCGAGGAGAAGGCTTTGGCTCACGAGATCCGGGAGCTGGAATCTAGATTGTGGGAAACGAAGGCTAAGCACCGCCACCTGCTACGAGAGATTGAAAGTCTGGATAGTAGTGTGCAGAGCAAACTCAGCTCTTATCAGTCCGCGCTGACGTTGGCGGAGAAGGAGTCGAGGAAATTCCTTGAGAGTCCACCATTACGGGGTAATAGGACTGTTACGACTACAGGGCTGTGGGCTTTACCGGCTGAGCGACGGACACTGCAAATGGCGAAGGAGCAGTACGCTGAGGAGCAAGATGTATTGAGAAAGCGGTTTGACGAGGTGGAGACGGAAAGGGGCGCGTTGGAAGATGGCTTTGGGGTCTGGAACGAAGTCGTTGAGGACGTTACTGGTGTCGAAAAGCTGCTACGGGAAGAAATGCACGAAATGCAAGCGCCTTTGGTCCAAGAGAACAAAAATGGCAATGCTATAGGGGGAATGAGGAAGATTTTGGAGCAAATGTCGAAAGCGAGATCGCGGACTGAAAGCAAGCTGGAAGTCTCAGAAGCCCGGGAGTGGAAGCTCCTGGTTTGCTGCATTGGGGCCGAGTTGGAAGCCATGATTGAAGGGCAGAGTGTGCTGCATGGTGCACTTGAGGCTGCTCGACGATCAGAAGGCGAAGATTATGTGAGTAAAGATGGCAACGTCCCTGTTACACGTATCAATTCGGTCTCCCCAGTCGACCTCTCAGCACGTCTGGAAGCATTGGGGAAGCAAGACTGCCCAGCAGAGCCCAGTAGTATCTTGGATAAGTCGGAGGACGAGGACGACGGACCTGGGCCAGATTTGCTTATTTCAAATGATGATGTATAGACGACCATCAGGATATACTAAGATACCCAAGCAAAAGAACACTATGGGCTTTCTATCGTAGACAACCTCAAGCCTCCTTTGTGCTTTGTAGCCCTGATACCGAGTAGTTACCCTAAGTTTGGCTGCGTTGGGTTATAATATCAAAAAAGAAAAGCCTTGGCTAACATTTCTTCGCAAGCTCTGCAACATTTCTGCAACAGCAAAGACCGCTCACAATGACTCCAACATACAGCGGCCCTGCCCGACTATACCCGATCGCTGTCAAGCTGCTACTCGCGGCGAGCCACGGCCATGCTCCCCGAGCCCACTTTCACCTTCACCATTCCTTCGATACACGATGACACAACTCTTGATTGTCGCTTATATAGTCCCCCACATGCGGTACTGAACCCTACAAATGGCGAGTCGGCATGGAGCCCACGAGGGGCAATTGTTGCTCATCCATATGCACCGTTTGGTGGATGCTACGATGATGGGGTTGTCTTATCAGTTGCTGCTGAGATACTGAAGCAGGGATTTGTGGTTGGGACATTCAACTTTCGGTAGCATCTCAAGACTGCTTGGACTCGTGCCAATACTTAATGTGTTTACAGTGGTGCAGCATCCTCGAAAGGCAAAACCAGCTGGCAAGGCAAGCCCGAGACTGAGGACTACTCCTCCTTCGTTGGGTTCTTTGTACACTACCTCGAAAGCCTCAGGGACTGTGGGCCCCGTACACGCTTGTCTAGAACCCCTGACACAACGTTGCCCTCGATACCATCGGCCTATGAGCTGTCCTCGCTGCCTCATACAACTAATTGTGGTGGCATGAAATTGATAATCGCTGGCTACTCCTACGGCTCCCTTATAACGACCTTTCTACCCCCAATAGAGGATATACTACAACGCTTTGCACGAGTCAACAAAGGTACCGCAGAGGCAGAGGTACATATTTTCGGAGTCCAAAATCCTTCATCCGACCTCGATATTGAGCCTTCCGACATGTCTAGGGAGTATTCACTCCTCAGAATTGTCTCATGGCTCGCAAAAATTTCTTGAACAGACAGTGCTAACTCCGATACCTTTATCCAGATCAGGCTTCGGGCTGTCAGTTTAGCAGCGCAATGGAACAAGGACGCCCTATTATACCGCGAAGCACAACAAGCTCAGCAGACGAGCTCTCATGAGAAGCTCAAAGTATCAACGCATGCAATGACGGTGGCTGTTGGAGGAGAAGAATCTGACCCGGGCAGTCGCCGTGCAAGCCATGAAGGCAGAAGAAGTCTGGACGCTGTTCGAAGGAGTATGGAAAGGTCGAGAAAGAAGTTGCTACGACAGCATAGCAGCGAAGTGTCTGAGCAAACATTCGTCGTTGAGAGCCTCTTACGCATGGAAGTTCCTCCACCGCAGACGCATTATCTATTGATATCTCCTCTGCAGCCACCAATCTCAATGTTTACAACAATGTTCTCAAATATGCGCTCAGGGTATCTGGCTCAGAGAGAAGCAAAGTTCTTGAATCATCCCACGCTAGTCATCTATGGCGACAAGGATTTCTTCACGTCGCAGAAGAAACTGCGAAGATGGGCCGAGAGTTTGAAGTCTAAACCAAATTCGCTGTTCCAATTCTATGAAGTCTCTGGTGCCGGTCATTTTTGGCGCGAAGAAGGGGTAGGGACCCAAATGAGAGGCTTTATCAGAGAGTGGATACATCATGTTGCTGGGAGCCATCCACTCACTAAGTAATGAGCCGGCCTCTCACATGGCACACTTCCGGCACTTTCCTGCTGTGCTTGAGCCAGACCTTCGTGGACCGAAGTGTTTCTACTGTCGGAAGTGGTACTTAGCAAAGCACTCGAAGTGAATGGAAGAAGATATAGAACATGAAGCGCTTCATCCAACTAGAGGGGAGACGAGTCTTCAAAGTGCGTAAACGGCGAGTAGTACGGACGTCTGCACAGAAAGTCCTAATCAGCGCTAGTACCAGCCCTAACCCTCTACGCTCGGAGAAGAACCCTGAAACTCAAGTAAGGTAACTACTAGAAGAATCTAAGCTCTTGGCACGGAAGTACCCACCAATCGATGCCGGTTATGCCACCCTCAGTGAACGAATTGATTGGTGGGTACCCCCGCACCGGACTGGCAAGGTCCAAGACTTTTCGGCCGCACGAGTATCTTTGGGGAGCGCATGACTTGAACTGTAGATATCTCTTTTGAGCGTGGTTATTCTACAAGTCAACTCGTAGCGATGAGATTTGATGAGAATAATTCTTTATTGAATTGTATATTCTTCACAAGGGTCCACGAGAATAAGTTGTATCCGCGGTCTCCTTGAAATGTAAATAACGGCAGCTCTAGGACTTATCACTATGCTCAATGTTCAAACTGCAACACAAATATCCTCAATTGAGAGCGGCAACCCACGCTGTGGCTCAGCTGCAACATATTTTGGAGGCTTTGATCAGCGCGAAGGTTATCTTTGTGAATAGAGTGTTCGATTGGCAGGCGAGAACCGCCTGCGCTGCTGGAGACTTGCTTGCCTTCCTTCGCTATGGTGGTACTTCACAGGGTCACAACGGCTATAGCAGGCATTCGCACGATCTACGGACAGCCAAAGGCTCTTCTTGGATGAGGATCGTTCATGTCATTCTGGACGCATTCCCAGAAGTTGTATCGAAGTGCCTGGAGCAAGAAATTCCCCACCTGGAAATCAAGATGGATTTTGGCTACCCGCCAATTCACACCAGAGAGCAGCTTATTAATTGTTTAACCGAGCGTCGCGGCCTGAATATTGCTATTGGCGGATCCACCTCGTCAATCCTTGACACGAGAGACAACAATCAGGGATTACGCACGCGGACTGCGATCCCAGGCGCCTACGCATCAGTTGGGACGAATGATCGAAACAACACTTCCTCGGGACTGGGCCAATGTGATTTCTAAGCAAGCTACACCGAAGGTCTTCCATAACGGGTTGACCCTCTACTCGTGATAGGACACAGCCCACCCTCCAAAGGGCTCAATACTTCACGGTCATTCTAAAAATCGGATCTGGAGACTTCCAAAATTCTTCTTAATTTGATTGACGGTCTTGATAAACGGGAGGGAGAATTAAATAATACTCAAGAGACCAGCGCAGAGTGTCTCGTCCAGGAAGGCCTTTTGCCCTTCGTCAACGTCTACCCAATGAATCATACAGATCAGACCGCCTTCGAGCATCAGTCAATCTTCTACGGTTGTACCTACAAGTGGTACGATCTCTTATTATCTTTTCCATGAGCAACGAGGCCTGTGTAAAAAATGCAGTTATGAATTCTTTTACGTTCATTTGCTGAATGCTAGATAAGGTATCGCATATTAGGTTTAAAGACTTTCAACCTTGGTCAGATAGCGGACTTCGACGCCGAGATTTCTTCTCTTACGTTGGATCTTTTGAGTGTTCGATATTACGCCAATGAGACCACACATTCTGATCTTGAGGATTGCTACTTGATCCAGATTACACCGCGTCAGCCAGGTGCACTGTCTTTTTAAGGTCTCTCACAACCGCTAATGCAACGCGTTTTCGACACGACCATGTTCAAAGCCTGGCTCACTGCATCAGAAATATTGAAGTACTCTGAGTCAACCCTCAGCGAACTCTCGCAACTAGAGTTAGGAGTAGCCTTCTACGTGATAAGAAAAATAAGATTAACGAAGATACAAGTGGATCGTACGAAGTAGTTGGCGAGTATTAAGAACTACAACAGCAGTCTAAAGTAAAGGACCATAGAAGATCATACTATATACGGCTACCCAGAAGCTTCATACAAGGTGATTAGCTCCTTCGGACTCGATCCAGACTCCCTCATTCTGATGACATGGTGGCTAATTAGTGCACTATATAAATTTGCGTGGTTGACAAATGGAGGGAAGATTCAATTGTAGAGTAGTTGTCCGACGATGGATTTCTTACCCTAAAATCCAACACCATCTGCGCGTTGACCCAAGTTCACAACGAGTGCGACCACCGGCAGACAATTGAACCAGTGAATGCTCCGAACGAAGCCCATACTGACTATTTCTCCAAGCTCAACTCTCTAGGGAGACTCAAGTCCTCGGGACACTGTCCGCAATACATTCAGTGGTGAGTTCTGACAATCTACAAGTCCTGAAGGGAGCCTAGACATTGGGCCTCTGTCACTATCTTGCCTTGCAAGGTGTGATAATTCCAGATCCCAAAAAGCTATCGATCGGAATTGAGTCTGCTCCTGAGTTGTTGATATGACTTGGATTCAGACAAAACGGTGCGGAGTCGGAACTTGTCCGCTTGTCAGCTTTGTGGCCCTTGTTCCTTGGGTCGAAGATGTGCTTGAGTCTGGTTTGCTGCCGGTCCTGTGGTCGTCCTTCATTCTGTTGATGTGTGCGTGCATAACAAACGCCGAACTTAAGAAGTTGGCCAACGGTGTAGATTGCAGGTTGAGCCGGGCCATAGTCCGAAACAATCTCCTCACGTGTGCCACTAGTGGTAACCAAACGACTGCCATTGTTCATATGGTCATATTAAGGTTTTGCTCTCATGCAGCTTTCTGATGTCAAGTGACTCGTTATGCTCAGCCCTAGCCGTTTCCCTGCAGGGACTGAGGGGCGGGAGGGACCAGAGACCCGTCATCCCATGACGTTCTCACGCTCCAAAGTATGGTGTGGGAAAGTCACCATATACTCCGTACTCGAGGTAGCATTGATGCTTGATCCTGATTTTCAATAATGCATAAATTTCATTGTATTTTTTATTCCTTTATTCACTACAAAGTGCCGAAAAGTACCTTATTTAGAAAAAGATGTCACATGTTTAGCTGAACTCAAAACCAACCACCTGCCGGAAATGCAGCCGTTGCTCGGCATCCGCAGCATGGTCTCGCCAAATCATAAAGCATGAGACCGCGTGACAAGTGACAACTGATAAACCCAATAACAATTTAATCTTTTCTTCAACTCACACTAAACATTGTGCCCTTCAATACCTCCGCTTCGACTCGTCAATCAACCAAGCAGAAATAGACCGCTCAAACTCCCTACAAAAGCAATGACCTTTCATCATGGTCTATGTCCCAAGCGTACCATTCTTACATAGTCTGAGGCTCAACCATGGCAATGATGAGCCTTGGGCACCAACCAGTGGAAAGCAGAATCAGAAAATACGTCGGTCCTCGAGCTCGCTTGCCAGTTTGGTACATTTTGCGCGGAACCCAATCCAAAACGTAGGAGAAGCGGTTGAGAATTGGTATGATGGCACTACTAAGGAGGAACGGGCAGCAAGACAAAGTCTGGCGGACAGGAAACAGCTCTTACACCTAAAGATGCAAATGGTGAGCTGACCGCTCGGACCAATATGGGCCATTGCAACAAAAGCTGACGGAGCGCGCTTAGGCTACAAACCATGCCGATTGGAAAGCAGCAGCTACAGAGCTCGACGATCTGGAAGGGAATAATGAGTGGAAATCTATCTTCGAATCGCCAGACTACGATGCCCCACTCGTAGAAGCGCGGTCGAAGCAGCTTGACGAAGCACGCATAGGCTGTGACATTGGACGCATGCTCTTCCTCATCCGGACATCTTTGACCCGAGATCTGGGGGACATGGGCAATCTACGGATGTACAAGCATACCCACATTGGCACCAAGGACCTGATAGAGCGATACATCACATCAGCATTGGGAACTCTGAACGCATTACTGGACGTCTCCGCGAGGGCAAAGTGCGACGGAATGGAATCGAAATACATACTCGAACAAGTGTTATCTGCAAGGCAGGCATTCGGCAGGAGTGCCCTTCTACTGTCTGGTGGGGCAACATTCGGGATGAACCACATTGGGGTCCTCAAAGCACTCTGGGAAGCCAAACTTCTACCTCGCATCATATCCGGCGCTTCAGCAGGCAGCATTGTATCTGCAGTCCTGTGTGTTCACACGGAAGAAGAAACACCCGAGCTCCTTGATACGTTCTGTGATGGAGACCTGGCTGTGTTTGAAGAGGAAGGCAGTGAGGATGGGCTGCTACGTAAAGCAGTGCGCTTCCTCAAACACGGTGCAGTATATGACATCAGCCATCTGACGAGGGTGATGAAAGAGATGTTGGGTGATATAACGTTTCAAGAGGCCTACAATCGGACCAGGAAGATTCTGAATATCTGTGTCTCGAGTGCGGGTCTCTATGAGCTTCCGAGATTGCTTAACTACATTACCGCGCCCAATGTGCTTATATGGTCTGCTGTGTAAGTATTGCGCATTTTTGGAATTGTATGAGAAGCTGACAGTACGCAGAGCTGCATCTTGCTCGGTCCCATGTATCTATACAGCTGCTTCACTCCTTGCTAAGGATCCTAAGACTGGCGAAGCCGTACCCTGGAATCCTTCCCCGCAGCGATGGATTGATGGCTCAGTCGATAACGATATACCCATGACTCGACTAGCTGAAATGTTTAACGTCAATCACTTCATTGTGTCCCAAGTCAATCCGCACGTCGTCCCTTTTCTCATCAAAGACGAGGACGCCATAGGAGAAGAAGCAAGAACATCAAGCGGCACAATATCACCTGGGCCAACATGGTTTAACAGCATCTCTCACCTTGCCAAGAGTGAGGCGCTACATCGGATGCACACATTGGCAGATATGGGTATCTTTCCCAACATTTTGACCAAGACAGTATCTGTGCTCAGCCAGAGGTACTCTGGCGACATCACCATCTTCCCGGAGATCTCATATGCAGACTTTCCCCGTATGTTATCCAACCCAACCCCAGCTTTTATGCATCGAGCTATGCTAGGCGGCGAGCGAGCTACCTGGCCTAAGATGAGCATCATCAAGAATCATTGCGCTATAGAATTAGCACTGGATGACGCAGTGCAGACGCTGCGTGCAAGGGTGGCTTTCAGTCCCAGCGAAGTCGAGTTGAGGATGCGTCCACGACAAACCTCAGACCCAAGGAAGGGAACCCAAAGGCGCACACGAGTGAGGCGGCCTCTCTCGCAACGCAGCGCTCCTGAAGCGACTGTTGCACCCATAAGGACACCTTCCATTCACACACACAGCCAAAGTAGATCTGGTCGTCTGGCACCAAACCTTCATCATAAGAAGTCTTTGAGCATCAACACCCTTTTCTACGGCCGATCACGCGACGAACAGCGACCCCCAACGTCCGACTACCTTTCCAACCCTCTCCCCGACGTCACATCTTCCGGCGCCGATGAAACTTCCAATCTAACATCCTCCTCATCTTCCACCTCTTTCTCATCCCCTACTGAATCCCCGTCCTCTCCCACTGGAGAAGAGAAGTGGCACCGGTCCCTTTTCGGGTCTGCATCCCAGCCTGCCACACCATCCCACCGTGATGGTGAGATGTTCACGCCAGCGCCCCACAGCGCTAAGCCCACCATCCCTGCGTTTGCCATGACGCCAAGCAAGAGTTCCACGAACGTGCCAGCCAATCCTTCCGAATCCCGGTACACGCGGTTATTTCACCTCAGGCCCACGGGTCAAACGGCCTCCAACCTTCTTGGAAGGAACCGCGAGAGCAGGAATTCGACTGGGTGATCGACGGCAGATCACGAGCCGAAGATCGTAGAAAGGAATTGACCTTGTTGTATTGGGAATGTTATATCACTGGCGCCAATGGGTTTGCATTCATTCAGCGGGCATTGCGTTGCATTTTGATACCCTGACCATATATGAACGACAGGAAATTCGAGATATGAGTATGTGGGAGATTGGGATGGGGTCAGGGTTGGTTATATCCCGGCCACCAGCGGCAGTATAACAGTAGAAGGGGAGAGTATGTTGCTGTGTTGATCGAAAACGTCGAATGCGGCGGTGAGACTAGATGGTATGTTAAATGAAAAGAGCTGAAAGTGAATTTTTCTAAGACATGATACCATTGCCTGCAGTGTTTTCATTGGAATTTTTTAAGAGGACAAGAGCAGCAGTCTTTTGGTGTCCCGTGCTCAGATTGTCCAGACAATCTCAAAGTGCCACTATGCTCGCTACCACGTCCCCTTTGCGCCAACCAATGCACGTGCTACCATTCCTCCATCTCACCATTTCCACCCCTCTCCCTAAGGACTAGGCGTTCCCTCTTCGTACCTAGGTTCGTCGTCCGCTTCACCCCTCCACCCCGGCGTCTCCGGCTGCCCACTAAACGGCGTTGGCGCATCCCCACTGAACTTCGGCGTCGGCGCCCCTCCTATCGCCGCAGGCGTACTGCCAGCATATCCATTGCTCGGATGTGCCGCCGGCGTCGGCGCTGTCGTAAAATCTTTGCCAGGTGTAGGCGCATCATAGGGTCTTAAGTCTTGAGGAGTGGGGTAGGATGGAGCAGGTGTGCGTCCGGAAGAGGGTTCGTGGGCAGGTGTACGGGAGGAGAAGGGGTCGTGTGTGTAGGAGGAGGATGTGGCAGTGGGGTTCCAGGCTGGGGTGCGGCTTCCTCCTCCTGCAGCACCACCGTAGGATGTGGAGCCACCATAGGGGTTCACGGTGCGGCTGCCGTCGGCGTAGGGGTTTACGGTTCGGGAGCCATCCGCGCCGGCATTGTAGGCGGGTGTGCGACCACCACCGTTGGAGCTCACGGCGTCTTGGCGCCACATGGGGGTTCGCGCTGTTGAGGCGTTGGCAGACCAGGCTGGTGCTGGGAGATGTTAGTTGGGGAAAAGATTATGTGAGTGTAGGACATACTTCGAGCTGATGAACCACCTGCTCCCCACGCTGGCGTACGGCCTCCTGTTGCCATTGGCACAGGAGTGCGGCCACCTTGCCACTGGGGCTCTCTTCCGGGAGTAGCACCGCCCATGTTGCCTGCATAACCACCACGACCACCTCCGCCTCTTCCTCGTGTCCCAGCGAAGCGTGTGTAGTCGATGCTCTGACCGGTCAAAGGGCTACGGAATGTCAGTAATAACCATCAAATATGACAGTAAAACATACTCTTTGAATCCAAGAGTATCTTTGGGCACAGTAATGGTCTTGCCTTTGGTGTGCAACTCCACTCTTGCTTCGAGGTCTGTGGTATCCTTGACAATGCCAAGCAAGCCTTTGTACGGTCCTTTTCGAATAGTGACAGTTTGGTCCAGAGCACGATCTCGTCCAAAGGTTTTGGGAGGTGCCATCGCCCCATTGCCGTTCACGCCATTCCTCATCAATGCAGGATTCATCTTGTTGAGATCCGGTCCGGTATTACCACCGTGGGCAACTCGACCACCCTTTGCTGCCACAGTAGCGACATTGCTAGCTCTCACCACAGAGATACCAGAGTTCTCGGTCTGCTCCCGGTTATGCAGAAAGAGAAACGAACGGTAGATGTGTAGAATGACACCCTGTTTCGACTCACCACCAATCTCGCGAACAGTATCATCCGTTCGTATTTCGGATCCGTTTCGGTCTGTAGCTACTGCATGCCGTCGCTTCTCGATTTTGTTAGAGATCTGCGAAGGCATGATGGATCTCGTAGACCCATTTTGATCCAAGACGCGCAACGACTCTCGATCCACCTTTGTCACGCAGCCCACTGTTGCAGGATCAAGCTGTACCAAGTCATGTATGTCATACCTTCCAAGGCCCCCTGCAACACCAGTGTCACTTGCTTCCCTCAAGTCTTTACTGAAGACTGTTATTTCTTGCATGCTTAGATCACTCAAGAGTGTGACAGTATCGTTCTTGATGCTGACCACCATGCCAACCTCATCTCGATATCGACTGCCACCGATGACCTTGACATGATCACCCTCTTTGAAACGTTTGCGGAGACCTTTGACTGGCACCTCTATGTTCTGACCACGAAGTTCTCCATCTATCACGGCGATGGTCACAATGTCACCACGCACTGCAACAGCTTTCCCACTGACACCTTGTTGTTCGCCTTCGTAGACCTCGACCATGTCGCCGGGGAGGTAGTTCTCATTAGAAGTGCCCTTTTTCAACGTTGCCGCCAGAGCTGAAAGATCTAGATTCTCTGTGCCGTCCTCCGCGCCTGCTGTGAATCTAGTGACTTCCTCGAGCGTAGGATTGACATTCTCTGTTGTCAAGTGCTGGATCCTGAAATCTTTGATCAAGAAGCCACTAATGTATGTATCTCCCATATATTGCCAGTGTTTCTTGTCGAACGTAGACATTTGTTGAAGAAACTTCAAGTGCTTCTTCTTCGCCTCGACATCACTGAAAAGCCGAGGTGGAGGTCGGGTTGCCGGATTGTTGAGGCCCACAGCGTTCTGTCTCTTCCGTTTCTGTGCCTCTCCTCTTATACCACCATCAACCATAGGCGCGTTGTTGTCCTCGGCCTGTCCGTAGTCAAGTCGAGGAACGATTCGTAGCGACGCCATGAGCCCATTTGTTTCTACCTCGTCGATCTGTGCCAGGTCACCTGCGTATTTTCCGCGCTTTATTCTAACGTAGCCGCCAGGAACCAGGGATTCGCTTTTGGTAACTCGTAGCAGGTCCGGCATTTCCTTGATGGGAACCATGACAATCGAGGTTCTGGGGTACACGTTCATGATGCCCTCAAGAGCCGTATGTATATCCGCCTGCCTCCTGGCTTCAATGTAGATATAACCAATCATAGTCCCACCACGCTCGAATGCAGAGATGACTGGCATTGGATTTTTTGTGCCAGCCCTTTCCTCTATTCTCTTTGTGAGCGCAAAGACGATCTCACGTTCCTTTCCCTGCTTGCATTTCACGCCCCATATGCTTGGATCATCTACGCTTGGTAGTAGAAGACGCTTTGGAACCGTGACTGCATCTGCGTTAGTAGCCGTTCTTCGCCCGTATTTTTCTCTCAGTAGCTGGGCCTGTTTCTCTGCATCCATCTGCTGGGCCCTCTCCCGCTGCCGGTCAAGCTCCCTGTGCCGCCTATCATCCGTTTCTGCACCGTCTGGGAGATCAGCGACGTCGTCTGGATGTGTCTCGGCAATAAAGGGATCCGCCTGATCCCCCTCGTCTTCCTCGTCCCCTTCATCTTCCTCATCAACCTCGGCCTCAACATCAAGGAATTGGTTGCGAGGGTCCCGACGAGCTCGCTTTCGTGGCCGGCCCTGGACGAAATGTGAGCTAGACTCAATCACTCAATAAAAGACAAAGGCCTACGGAAATAGCTTCCTCTTCATCCTCCTCCTCCTCTTCTTCTTCCTCGTCTTCGTCCTCGTCGTCACCGCCATTTTCTGTAGCATTCAGCCTGCCAGCGCCGTTTCCTTTGGTGCCTTCATCTTCTTCATCTGCAGACACTCTTGTACCGTGTCCGTTGCTCTGTCGGCCGTTCACAAATGAGCCTTCCGCATCATTATCATCATCCTCGTCGTCGTCATGAGCTTGTTGTTCCGGGGGGCGCCGCCTCTGCTCAGCACCATTTTCATTCGTTCTCACGTTGACTTCTTCATCGGAGTCACCAGCAGCATCGTTGTCCGAGTCCTCAGCGGGTGCTGGGTTGAAGTTGTCATCTTCAGATTCGGAGCCGAAGTCCTGATCTAATAGCGCAGCTGATGACATGTCGGCTTCTCTGAGAGTGATAATATAGAGATTTAATAGTCTCTATGGCACTGCAAGTGAAAGTTCGTTCAGTTCACTTCTCTTCACTGAGCTTGAACGCATTCTTGTGAAGCTTCAGTTGATTGGTCGACACGAAGGGTCCGCTCATGGACTAGCTTCCACATATCTTGGCATCTCAGCCCTACAACAAAGGACGCTCGCAACTACCTTATTGTTCTACTCCCGTCCCCAATATGCACATTTCCTTCTATCTCATCTACAGCTGCGCAAATTGATTAATGCTCTGAGATGCTCTGCGTTGGTTCGACATCCGAAACGCAGTGCCTGGCTGAATAGGCAATGAGAAGGATGTCCGACTCCACCGCTCACGCCGTGCAGCGGGGCAGTGCTCTTCTTTAGCCAAAGTTACCACTCGTCCAACGCCCCGTCTCTCAGCCCACCAGCAATGGACTTTGTGAATTGGTACTGCGGCAGCGATCCGCAAGCACTTCCTTCTTTGGTGCGATGCATAATGCATGATGCAGTTCACTGCAATAGTGGGTCCGAGGCTTGGTAAGAGACGTAGCTGCGGCCGTAATCGAAGGATCGAAGACGATTTGGATTCGGCTGCCTGAGCCATGCAAACTGATCCAGCCGATAGTCGAAGGATATGTAGATGCTTCCCATTTTCCTACTTCTGCGGCCGCAGGCATTCGCGGAGGAAGCCAGCTTTTCCGCCTTGCTATATTTCACTTTCGGACTCTGGCAGTGCTGCTCCCAATGAAGCTCTGCTAACACCCTTCTCTCTACTCACATATAGACAAATTGACTGTCCGCCTGATGCCTCTATCTTCTCCGCTAACATCCATATATTAATTTCGTCACTGTATTAAAATGTCATCCGATACTCTCTCTCAGTGCACTTGCGAGGCTACGGTGTCACACGGCCATAGCCGACCGTCCAAATTTTTGAAAGGCCTAGTGCATCGACCGCGTGTCAAATCACTGTCACCCACACGTCTCGAGAATGTCGGGAGTGCTCTCGATGCCTTCCACAAACCAGGATTAAACGGTCAAGCCTGTACAGTTTGTGCCAAATGTTCGCCTCGACCACACTCTTGGGACGTATCGACTCCGTGGAAGCGTCGAGGTCAAACGCCTGGCATGGACGACTACTTGACTTTGGCCCAATTGGAAGAGTGCCTAGATCGTCAAAATTTCTATATAGGCTGCTTCGAGATACCACAGCAAGTCACACAATACTCTTTCGACGAGACCGCGGAGGCCCCATTGATAACAAAACACTCTATCGACACCCGACCCACTCGAAAATACCAAGAAGTAACAGAGCCCAGACTACGACTATCGCCCTTAGCCAACCAATCCAACTCTGCCGTGATAGACGGCGTGACCCACCCCGCTTTTCGAGAGTCTGCTTTGCGGCCTATTCCATCCATTATCGTCGATAAGGAATTACCACCCATAGAGCCACGGTTCGAATCAGACCGATTTGCTGTACCTGTACCTAGTACAAACTGGACATATGGAAGATGAGCAGTAGCGATCAGATCAATCGAACTACCACGCAAGGTCTTTGAACAGCCACTATGTTGACTAATCAGCGAGGCCGGGTAGACACTGGGAAATGGCAAATCATGACCATTCCCGTCTTTGCGACTATCGACCGCTTAGGCATCCGAATAAGCTATCAAGGAGCCTCGCTAATCTGCGCTTGATTCCCTGACCGTCGCGCATGACAGGCGAGCCAAGCAATCACACTGCGCTTGGATAATTGAGGCACCTTCAAATCTCCGAGCACGTGGGGAGGCGCGAGCTATCATGCGAGGTTAAGAGCCTCAGAGGGGGGCGTAATGATATTGATGGGACCTACTGTACCTGTGTGTTGAGAGAGAGGTATTCGAGACGATTCCCCTAAAGCAATGCTTGGCTCATGGTCTTGCGTTTGCAGTACACAGGGGGACTATGTATATAAAAAATCAAATCAAGACCATTACTCTACAAGTACCCGCCAACTATCGTCTCCTATCGAAGATTTCCTCACAGAAGGCTTTCTTCTAATCTGGATTACATCGATGGTGGGGCGTGGTTTCCCTGTCTGGTAGATAAACTGTAAACCCAACCCCAACCATACACCTTCCACCTATCCACATTCAACCCACAATGTCCAACAACTTGCCACATGAGCTTTAGAAAATGTGCCATGATGGCAATCACGATCACGACAAGGCTACCTACCCTTATGACTACAGGGTCAAGAAGTACCTAAGCGCATGCAACGTCATGTTAGCTGGAAGCAAAACTCGGTCTCTTAGAGCCAACCGCCGTTAAGAGCTCGAAGGAGCATCTCTTCAGCTCGAATGCCACCAGACGCGACTATCCGGCTCATACAGATTTCGCATACGATAACTCGGCACGGCTCGCCGCATCTCATTTCCCTCGCACGATCATTTCTGAGCGTTGAGCAGACCAATGGCAAATGAGTGTCTCGACAAGGAGATGAAGCGCTATGCGCCAGGCGTCATGAGAGCAGAACCCTGTATACTTGCACTTCCGAAATTTCTGTTGCTACTTGCTACTGCAGTATTCTGTCCTCTGTCCTCTGTCCACGGAAGAGGCTCCCTCGCGTGAGGCAAAAGCTTGTTCTGCTAACCCCTTCCTGCAAGCATCTGCAGGTCATACAGGTAACGGCGATTTACAGATCGGAGATGCACCACATTCAATAGCACACCCGAGGCATCAACCTTGCTTCCTGACTTCCTTCTGATTTGACAAGGTTTTTCTACTATATCCACATGCGCATAGGATGCGAAAGGGGGATCATGCGTGTCACCGCCTTTTGTCGGATTGCTTCGCTTCAGTCATTTCACTTGCGCTCATTATAAGCTCCACGACAAACTGGCCTATTTTCCGGTCCACGCTTTCGCTTCACGGAATATTCGTTAACCAGCATCGTCGTTATCCATTATCTTTTCCTGCTTTTCCCTGGTCGGAGAAGGCCTCTATGGCGTTTACGTCCGCTTTCCATTCAGCCTTTAATGTAAACGGCAAGGATATTGTTTCATGCTACTCTCCACCGCCAGGGTGCAATGGGGCCCTCAAGATGGTTTGGTTGCAACGATACCTTGTACCAGCTCACTCTCGCCCTTCTCCTCGTTCCCTTGGCTATCCCAGACACCTTAGCTCTCTTGGTGGTCGGAGGCTCTAATTGCTCGTCCGCCTGCTTTAGTCCCCCAACTGTCTACAACACGAATGGAAGTGATCTTGCCTGTTATGATACCGATTACAATAGCACCTCCGCCGGCGTCGATTTTCAGGCATGTGTGTCATGCGAGATTCAAAGCCAGGCAATTCCCCTAACAGGAGAACAGAGTGATCTGGGATGGGCACTCTGTAAGCTAATCTCTTCATTTTCAAAGACGTCCCGATGAAGGACTGACCGTCTTGCTAAATGCTAGACAATATGAGATATGCCCTGGATTGGTGTCTGTTCGATTTTCCTCACGGTGACAATGAGACAGCTTCAGATCAATGTACCACAGCTTGCGGAAGGATATCGAATGCTCTCGAGATCAATCTACTTGATGCCGCAGCCTCGTCTACTTACGATTACTGTCAAGACCCAGAATTCCTTCCGAACGCTGAAAGCTGTGCGTCGTGTTACGAGAATGTCCCAAACCAACTCTATCTATCAAATTGTAAGCATTCTTCTCTCGCAAGCGAAGATCGTTGCCCTGATGGAACGTACTTAGTTCTCCACACCCTCGAGTATGCATGCCAAAATCAGCCGTCGCCCGTGCTCCCCTTCCCCGTAAAACCTTCTGACATCTTCACCTACCAACCCCCATCTAATTTCTCCGATCTCGGTGCCATCAGCACTTCTTCTCATGGTATCTCCCACGACGCCCGAGTCGCTATAGCGATCAGCGTTCCCGTTGCCGTATTTCTTATCTTTTCCTTGCTCCTCGTCTACTTCTATGTCCATAAGAATGCTCCCCCAGATCGTCCCCGCCACTGCAACCACCACACAAACCGCCAGCCCAACTACAGCGAAAAGCACGTATCCAAATCCACGTCAGCCTGGAGTAAAACCCCGCCACGGAACGGTGTCAACTCTCGGAATTGTTCATCTAATTCGGCCTCGCATCAAGTTCCCTATCCGGCTCCATTGAAACCAGCAAAAGTCGCCGTGCGAGCTCCTCTTCGCACTCGGAACTCCCCAATCCCGTTCTCAAGGAATTACTATCAACCAACGAACTATGGCCTCGAGCAACCATCCAAACCTCCACCGCCAGCGACCTACACTCCCGAAATGTTACCAGCAACAAGATACTCACCTCCACATCCGCATTCGACCTTTTTGGAACCTCACAAACCCCGACCTGGCCCTTCAAAAGCAGGTCTCGTCTCTTGGGAGCGCGTCGCTATCCAAAATGCCCAGATACGAGCTGAGCAAGGCCCGAGTCCCAGTCCGATCAGCCCCTTGACGCGAGTACAGGTTGTACCAATGCCAAGGAGTCCTAGTCTGCGAAGTTCTGGGTTGAGACGTGAAAGGTTTCCTGTGGTGCCTGCTTCTCAAAGTCCTGTGTCGAGGGAGGAAAGACATAGTGCGTTACGGAGTCCTGCGTCAACTGAGCAAAGGCATTCCGCCTTGACGAGTCCTATATCGAGAGAGGAAACGCACCCTGCATTAAGGAGCCCCAGCTTGAGCGAGGAGATGCATGCTGCGTTAAGAAGCCCCAGTTCAACGGAATACGGACAGGATACCCCTCACAGACGCGACAGCCCTTTTCCTCCAAGGAAAGAAAGCCAGGACAGCACTTTCAGACGCGTTAGCCCATTCCCGCTCAGACAAGGCAGCATCTCCAGGCAAAGCACACCTTTCCGCCAAGAACGCCTGGAGGCGCAGGAAATGGTAGACAGACAGGAACGGCAGCGGATGGGTGAGATACCGGAATGGGAGGGTCTGGGAAGAGAGGAGGGTCAGGAAAGTTGGTATGAGAAACAGAGGGCGAGAGCTGATACGCCGCAGCCTGATGATGGGAGGTCGGTCAGGGATACGAGGGGGAGTCGGGACGGCGTAATGAGGAGTGGGAGTGGGAAGAGTGTTGAGAGAGCGGCAAGGAAAGAGGTTAGATGGAGTAAGGATGTTGATTATGAAGGATGAAGTCGGACTTCGTCTCGTGTATTGATATGGTGTTTGGTATAGATGGATCATTGGATTATAGACTTAGATTCGTCCGTTTAGATTTATAGCGCTGCAGAGCGCATTACTGCCTTGAGACCGTGACAAAAACAGCCCCACGAAATTTGGCGCAAATCCTTGGAACAGAGCCGAGGGAGCAAGGGTCGTACTCTTGCTGAAAGAATGATCTACTAGAGAACATGCTTGTTAAAAGGGGGCATATATACGTTATCGTGACATCTACAAACATTGCTGATCCACCGATTGGCCATGTCTTTGGCTCAGTGTCCATCATTCGAGCTACCTTCCACGGTATCCAACTCTCCCATCCCATGGCTACACTATGCCTAACCCGACGTCGTTACCATTCACAGCTCCGTTGATTCCCAGGACACCGCCCTTACCGACGGTCTGTCCCCTCTCCCTCGCCCTCCTGCCTTCCATCAGACCCCTCAAACCTCGCTTCTGTAGGCCAACAACGCAGCTGATTCCCCCTGCCCATACTTCTTCTGCCCCAACCGCCACTCTCCTTCCATGGGTATTTCCTCCTACATCACTCTCACTTTCGCTCGCGGCACTGCTACTTATTTCGCTCCTACTGATCTCACTCCCAGTATCTTCGCTCTCGCTTTGATCATTCGATCGGGTTCTCGCCCGGTGGCTGCCTCGGAGTCGCGTTATGGTCAAGCCTCCTTGTGCAATTTCTTCATTCTCTGCTTCGCCCTCCTTGCTGAAGGCCGCGCCAGTGCCGCGGCCACCTCCTGCCGCCATGGCTGCCGCGTTGAAAACGGCGGCTGCATTGCGGCCATCGAGGATCTGGTGGAGGCGCTCAACTGTGGCTTCAAGAAGGCCTTCAACACGATAAGGTCGTGCTAGCTGTAGTAAGGAGCAGAGAATTTGAGGAGTGCACAAAGGATGATTCGGCCCAGGAAGGGTTGAGGTGTAAAGATAGTGGACAAGAGAACGGAGAGTGAGGAGAGTATGTGGCAGGTAGAGCTGCCGAGGCCGAGAACAGGGGGGGAGGGCTTCTGGTTTGGGTGGGTCCAAAGATCTATTGTTGGTGGATGAATTTGAATTGGCAGTGAGGCTAGAAGGCGCAGCGGAGGCTGCAGTTGTTACGCTAGGTGTTATGGTAACGGATGAGTTGCGAGAGGTGACCGAGGCTGGGTTGAGATTGCTTGGACGCAGAGTGCCACCGTCTGAGGAGGAGGAAGCGTCGTTTTGGGATGATGAGGATGTCGTGCCTGAACTTTCACGTAGGAGATGAACAAAAAACGGACCCCATCGGTGTGCAAGGAGGTAGGAGTTCACGGGTATACGCTCCTGTCCGATGGCAATCAGATCCATGTCAGCCAGGTCTCGAAGGTTCATGGCCATAAGGCCGAGGTCCACCGCAGCGCCGGGAAGTGGACGGCCAGCGGGTGCCACGTTCTTCAAGACGACGGATGGAGGGAGCACGGGGGCGCTGATGGATGGAAAATTGGATGTCGGCCATGCTCGCCGCGGGTTATCATAGAGGCCAAACGCTTCAAGCTCGACCATGCAAAGATGCGAGAAATTGATTCGACGGTGGTTGTAGTCCTCTACTAAGCTGCGTTTCCGATTACCTAGGATCACAAATGTATTCCGCCGTGGCCAAAGAACGCCTCTATTCCAGCTTCCTTGACTGAAGACGCCTCCACCAGCGTCGATGCGGCTCCATGTCAAGGTCTTCAGATCAAGAGCCCAAAGAGCATACTCTTGCTTGGACGAAGTTAGATACGTCCCACTAACGACGAAGTGATTATCCAGCACCCCGCCGTTTGGAAATCTCAGTCCTGGCGGGGAAAATTGTCCACTCATTGGCTTCTCAACAAGTGACCCGTCTGCCAGTCGAACTTGCAATTCCAGCTTGACGTCCAAAAAGTTGTAATTAGAGTATATCAACATCGATGAGTCCGACTCCGCTCTATCTGACTTCCTCGCAGCTCCATCTACCTCTACTCCTTGATCTAGACCTTTCCCAATTTTCGAGGCTGGTATGCTGGTGAGAGGAGCAACCACGCTTCGGTATGCACCACAACTTCTACCAAGAGAAGATGTCGCAGTCCATTTGAGACTTCGCAGGTTGAAGACACTAATTTGTTCAATATAAGTATTGGCACTATCTTGACCTCCTACAACGACCATCTCTGCTCCTCCTGTTCCGTCCAATGCCACACCTAAGCTACCTTGGTTCGGGGTCGCAGATGGTGGGTTGTGATGTATGGCAGAGAGAGGGGCGTTTGCGGAAGCGAAAGTGGCCGACGATGGAAGTACGGCAGCACAATGTGCGTATCGTCCTTGCGGTGTGTTTGCCGTGGCTATTGACGTCCACCTTCGTGTAGGAGCGTCAAATACGTGGATGTCTGACATGACGATCATCTCAGGTTGCAAATCTATGCCGTTGGCTTGCGCTTGAGAAGATACTGGATTTGCAGGGGACATGCCACCGTAACAGATGAGCTTCGTGTCGCCCAATGCACACATGCTATGGAAGTATCTTGGTGGCGGGATATCTCCGGAGGTCTCGACTTTGGTCCAATGCCGGCGTACAAGATCCAGTTCATATAGATCCGAGGTCAGCTGGGGATGCCGTCTCGAGAGCACACGTCCTCCAAACACATATAGCTTGTCGCCCAGTACCGTTGTTGTAGCACCAACTAACGCACGTGGCTCTTTTCCTGTACACTTATGTACATTGCAGACTAGACCAGATAAATTCGTCGTGCTGTTTGTTTGTGGTGGTGAGTGATTCACAGCAGGCGGGGGGGCTGTCGATTGGGGTGTTGCATCCGCGGCTTGCGGGGGTCTTAGCAGCGCAGAGTCCGCAGCCGGCTGTGCAACCTGTGGTTGTGCCATTTGGTCTTGATTTAAGCTGGACTCGCTGCTGCTATTCATATCTGCCAAATATGTACTCGAGGAGGGCTTGAACCGTCCAGCATCCATCTGATTTGGCGAAGGACCTGAGGCATTGGAGTCTATCGTACTCGTCCGGCTGCCACTGGTGGTGGGTCGTGACATGTCGGTGAAGAATTGTTCACATGAATGTGGTTTCTGAACCGAAGCTCGTGGAGTGTTATTGGCGCTGTTAGGAGGTGTAGGCGGGAAGAGACCTTGAGGCTCAGCAAAAGCGGGTATGACGATAGGGATATGGCGTGGTCTTTGGTATCTTTTTGTCACCAGTGGCTCCTCCTTTTGGAAGTCGTACGTAAGCCTAGGACCTGTACGCGTGATTGTTTGTGGATATGGTGTAATAGGCTCTTGTAAGGTCGGATTGTGTTTCAAGACGGAGCCAATGACATTGGGAGGGATGACAATGGGTACATGTCGGGGTCTGCGTTTGCTAAAGCCTGCTTCGGAGGGGAGAGCATGAGCAAGTGGGGTGTGTTCTACCGGAGGTGACGGTAAACCTGGGCGAGGATCTGGACCATTAAGCGGCGAGAATGGGATGAAGCGTTTAGCAATGGAGTGAAGCTGATTGTGTGCCGGCGTCTTGTCCACTGGACTTCCAAAAGGATCGTAATGGTTGAGTGTGAGTGCTACCTCGGGCCTAGGCGCCGAGTCAGCCTGCTGGGCCTGGCTGCCTGCTAACATGGTTGTAAGCTCTAAGCTCTCATCGAAAGATGAATCGAGAGAGACACATGCAGGATATATAAAGAGTGGGATGTATGGAGAGTGGGATGGGAGGAAACCTGGGGTACGAGTAATGCAGGTTTGACAGGGACGCAAGCGAGGTGTATATGCAGTAAATAGCGCTCACCCTTGGAAAGAAGAGACAGCCGGACCAGCCTCCTTGCTCTTGCCCTTGCCCTTGATCAGGACCGTTTAAGTGTTGTTGCCAAATGAGGCAAATTCGCTCCTTCCACAGAGGGTAATTTGACGCTCGGTGCTCTTGGATGTCTTGGTAAAGGAAAAGTTTCGGCAACGTGCTTGTTGTCTAAGACTGTTGCGCACCAAGCGGGATGCAGCTCTTGCAGCTCTTCCACCGCTTTTAGCAGCTATTAACTCAGTGGCGTAGTTTGGCGTAGTTCATGAATTGCTACTGAAAATGCAGGAGAGAAGGGGGAAGCCATCCTGACGGTGGCTGCGCATTCGCAAGTAAGGAAGAGAAAAGTAAGCTACCTTAGGTAGGATAAAGTAGGATAGGGCTGTAGTGTGTAAGGGCGGAGGCGGGCACATGGCAGTGGGTTACATGGCCATGATTAAAAACCGCTCACATTTTAAAAACACTTAGACGGAAGCTACTTAAGGTACTTTACCTTAATCATATAATCGTAACCGAGGCAAATACGACCAGTCAAATACCTTACTCGTATCTACCGAGCGGCAGCCAAGCCAATCCAAGCTACTACCATACTTCCCGGGTTTCCCTCCAGTAGTGACCAGTCACTTCCAGTTCAAATCACGGCATCAAATACCGCACGGGATGAAGGACTATCGTTCACGAAACCTGATTGAGGAATGTTTTCCGGCATGCTACCTAGCTATACAACGGATACGCCCGCTCCCAAATTAAGCATCGCCATGACAACTTTTCAAACGGCCGCGCTGGTCTGCTCCTTGGATAAGGGAGTGAACCTAAGGTACGGCTTCACAATCTTGAGATGAGGGTATTGTTCCTTCGCCTGCTCGGTTTTGACGCTTGGATGCACGATGACGTCGTCTCCTGCGCACAATTGAGTCAGTCGCCGAGATGCCGTGCTGCATCCTGGAATTGCTTACCTGGTACCCAATTTATTGGGGTGGTCACCTTGTTCTTGTCACCCGTCTGCAAAGAATCCACCACCCGCAACACCTCGGCAGTATTACGACCAGTCGAAGCTGGGTATGAAAGAATGAGGCGGATGGTCTTTTTAGGGTCGATGATGAAAACACTTCGAATGGTGAAGGCAATGCCCTTCTGGTCCACATTGGTGATATCCTGGTGGTCCAGCATGTCATACGCATATGCCACCTTCCGCTCCTTATCACCAATGATTGGGAACCTCAGCTTGCTACCGGAAATCTCGTCAATGTCCTTGATCCATCCTCCGTGTGAGTCGACGGTGTTCGCGGACAGGCCGATTAACTTCACACCGCGCTTGGTGAACTCAGGCTCGAGTTTAGCGAAGGCGCCCAACTCCGTGGTGCAGACTGGTGTGTAGTCCTCCGGATGCGAGAATAGAACGACCCACTTGTCGCCAATGAACCTGGCCTTGGGTCAGAGAATTTCTACAGCGGCTAGGGCAGAGGATCTCACTCATGGAAGTCGATGGGTCCGTTTGTGGTCTCTGCGTGAAAGTTCGGTGCTATCGAGCCAAGGCGCAGACTGGATCATAAATCAGCAAGGCGTCTACAAAGCTTGAGTGTTGGAAACGGCATACGGCGCGGGACGGTCTTCACCTGAAGAAGCCATTGTCTGTGTGCGTGTGCAAGGTGAGCTGTAAAAAGTGGTCTCTTCCTGAACTGAATAGAGTTGAATGGTGCGACTGAGCTGAAGAAAGAATTGATTTGAAAGGAAGAGAAAGAAAAGTGTGTCTTCTTCCAATAATGGTCAATTTATTGAGCCAGGATGACCAAACCACTATCACGCAATTGCAGCCCCGCGCTACTGCCACATATCGCAAAAAACGTCATTTCCGGTGGCAAAGCCCCGTACCCACCACATGAGTAGGTACTAGGTAGTCTCTACGAGTTGCCAAGCCTTGGAGGATGGTGAGAAACCATTTTCAATGAAGCCTCAAAACATGTCAGCTTGCGTTTCACAATGAAACTGTGTACTGCACATGTGTCATTCGCTGCGAGCTACGCGATGATACTAGTACTCTACGTTTAGCTCTCCGGGAATAAAGAAAAAGGTATGTACTGTACTTTAAATTGGGTAAAGCCGAACCGGCCCACTTTTCAGTCTGGCAAGCAGTATTTTTTTCTTCTACTTCTTTCTTTCTTTCTCGCTCTCATTGTTTATTCAGTATTAGTTTCTTTCCCAACATCACGTCGCATTACTGAATACTCTATGGTTCATGAGAGGCATCCCATTGCATTTTAATCGGGATCTGTGGTGATAAATTGACCCCACCATGGCCACACCAGAGATGAAAATTCCATCTGAGCCATTGGAGATCAGTCCAAAGAGCGAGGACTCGACAGTGGGTGTCAAAGATGTATATAAAGCATTTCAAGGACAGGAATCGTCCATCTCTTCGCCTCAAATTGGAGACGTCCCCATCATCTACCGCTATCTAACCTTTGAGACTGAACTACCCTCACCAACAAGCCTGGGACCAGCTCAGAATGGTTCGGCTGTACCGGAGCAGCCAGATTTAAGGAATTACGTTTCTCCATTCACCTGGTCCCCTTCCCGCAAGACCTTCACCACGTGGCTCTCGTGCGCGGTTACCGTTGTAACTGCTTACACTGCCGGCTCATATAGCCCACCTTCTCAGCAGATGTCAGAATATTGGGGCGTCAGTCAAATAGCCATTTATGTGGGCATTACCACCTTCACCACTGGATTTGCAGTCGCGCCCATGGTCTTAGCTCCCTTCTCTGAGCTCAATGGCCGGAAGCCTGTTTTCATCGCTACTGGGATCCTCTTTGTTATCTGCCAACTCTGCTGTGCTGTTACTCGTTCCTACCCAGGCATGCTTCTTGCTCGATTCTTTGCTGGTGTTGGTGGGGTACGTACATTTCGGAGCTGGTCCTTCCTCTTTGGTACTGGGACTGGGTCATAAAAAATGTTTCGGGGGCAAGAAACCCTTTCGCTCCAGGAAATTGGCTTGTAACTTCATTTCCTGCCTTGATTAAGCAATGCTGACTCGAAATGTGGGTAGAGCACTTTCTCGACGATGGTGGGTGGTGTAGTCAGCGACATTTATCACACAGAAGGTATTGCGCAGTCAAATGAACTCAACCTTAGGCTACATCTGACATTGATCTAGACAGGAACACGCCTATGGCGCTGTTTTCAGGAGCCGCATTGTTTGGCACGGGCTTGGGTCCTCTGTGTTCTGGATTCATTGCTCAGCATCTATCATGGCGGTGGGTCTTTTATGTACAGGTCATAGACTGTGGTCTATTGATTCTGGCCGTGACGATCTTTTTCAAAGAGACTCGCGGCAGTGTGCTTTTGAGCAAAAGGGCGAAACTACTGAATACATGGTATGAGGCCAGGGAAAAGGTCGGCCTTGTGGGCTTCGAGATGATCCTTGACGGTGGAGGTAAGAAGCAAAGCCAGAGGATTAGGTGGAAAGTCAAGTCAGATGAAGAACGACAAAACTTGGCCAAGATGATTGGGATCTCTATTTATAGACCATTTCGTAGGCTGTACCCCTTTTAATGACCAAAGACACAGTGCTGAAGACCTGCAGATCTACTCTTGACTGAGGTGCGTACAATTCGGAGACGATCCTCCCCAATCGGTATTGAAGTCGCGTCGCAAGGCATGTTTCGGGAGCAAGAGGACCTTTTACTCCCAAGACCTGTCTCGCAACTTGGTTACCTACTCGTATAAGCAATGCTGACTCCGAAAAGCCTGTGGTCTTTTTCTTTTCACTATGGGTTGCGTTCAGCTGGGCCGTACTATACCTGACCTTTTCGGCATTACCGCTCGTGTTCACCAAGAATCACAATTTCGACACTCAGGAGAATGGCGCTGTCTTTGCTGGTAAGCAGGATTTCTGTTCTTGAGCCACTTACCTCTAATAAAGACAGCTATGTGCGTTGGCTCGATATTATCGACTATCCTCAGCATCTACCAGGAAAAGGTCGCCAGACACTACGGCAAATTGTCATCAACGCCGGAAGGACGGCTCTATTTCGCTTGCATCGAGAGTGCCCTTCTCCCAATCGGGTTATTCTGGTTCGGATGGACGTCTTTCCCTTCGGTCCCTTGGATCGTTCCCACCATCGCTGTTACCTGTGCCACAATGGGGATCTTCTCTATTTATCTTGCCGTCTTTAATTACCTTGCGGACACCTATCATCGCTACGCAAGCTCGGCTTTAGCAGCGCAGTCATTCTGTCGGAACATGCTCGGAGGGATCTTTCCCTTGGTGACGACGGCGATGTTCAATCATATGTCATTTGCTGGGGCTTCGAGCTTCCTTGGTGGCGTGGGAGCATTGCTTACTGTCGTGCCTTGGGTTCTGGTCTTCTATGGACCTAAGATCCGTGCTAGGAGCAAGTTTGCCAGTGTAGGTTATGAGTTTCCTGATCCACAAGGAGGAATCGTCTGACAATTGCTCAGGAGATCATGGATTGATCGACAGGAGATAATTCTCTAGCTTTGCAAAACTCCTTCGTCACGATGCATCTGGAATTGACAAGCTAGAATGGATTAGGAAGTTGTATCCAACTATCGTATCAAACTTCCGCTTCCTCCCGTCATGAACAAACCCCTCCGCGGGGCAGTCGTTGTTTGATTCTTTTCGCACAGCCTGACATCCACTCCTCTCCTTTACCATCATCATACCTGAAAGATCGTTCCACCCTTTAGCACATCATGACTTCTGATCTGTTTATTGTTCTCAAAGCCCCCAATGGAAAGGAATACAAGCAGCCCATCGGCCTCTTCATAAACAATGAATTTGTCAAATCAAGGTCCGGAGAGAAGATTGCAAGCATTAATCCAACGTGAGTCCTTTCCAATGCAATGCTATAGGATAATTCCCCTTCTGACATCTCGGAAGTGACGAAACCGAGATAGCGTCCGTTTACGCTGCCTCGGCCGACGATGTAGACCTCGCCGTCTCCGCAGCCCGCAAAGCCTTTAAAGATAGCTCATGGCGAGATTTGCCTCCCACAGATCGCGGCGGTCTCATGTTCAAGCTCGCCTCCCTCATCGAGGAGCACGCTGAAACACTCGCCACTATTGAAACTTGGGATAATGGCAAACCGTATAGCGTCGCCCTGAATGAAGATGTTGGAGAAGTCGCAAACACTTTTCGATATTACGGTGGCTACGCCGACAAAGTGCACGGCCAGGTCATTAATACCGGTCCAGATAAATTTGCATACACGTTGCGCGAGCCGCTTGGGGTTTGCGGGCAAATTATTCCCTGGAATTATCCACTGGCTATGGCTGCATGGAAGCTTGGACCGGCGCTGGCGTGTGGGAATACTGTTGTCATAAAGGCAGCCGAGCAGACGCCGTTGAGTATACTGTACTTTGCGCAGCTCATCAAGGAGGCAGGATTCCCGCCTGGTGTGGTCAACATCCTCAATGGACACGGCAAGGAAGCAGGTGCGGCGATTGCAAGCCATCTCGACATTGATAAGATTGCCTTCACTGGAAGTACAGCTACAGGCCGGCAGATTATGAAAATGGCCAGCATCAACCTCAAGAACATAACACTCGAGACTGGCGGAAAGAGCCCTCTGATTGTCTTCGCCGACGCGGATCTAGATCAAGCCGTCAAATGGAGCCATGCTGGCATAATGTCGAATATGGGGCAAATTTGTACGGCCACCTCTCGAGTCCTCGTGGAGGAAAGCATCTACGATGAGTTCGTCAAGCTTTTTAAAGAACAGGTTAAAGAAGTCAGTAAAGTCGGCGACCGTACGTATTTTCCGAGTCCATATCCCCTTTCGGATTCAATCCCGAGTCTTGAGAGACTGTCTTGGAAGGGTTCACTCTCTAGACATGTTACAAGGCTCGAGATGACCCCTCAAACAGGCAATACTGACTTCGAACTTTTTATCCAGCATTTAGCGATGATACCTTTCAAGGTCCACAAGTCACAAAAGCCCAGTTCGAGAAAGTACTCGGTTATATCGAGTCCGGGAAGTCTGAAGGAGCGACATTAGTGACTGGAGGTGAAGCTCACAAAGATGCTAATGGCAAAGGCTTCTTCATCGCCCCTACAGTCTTCACACACGTAACCGACAACATGAAGATTTATCGTGAAGAAATATTCGGACCTTTTGTCGTCATCTCAAGCTTCAAAACGGAAGAAGAGGCAATCAACCGTGCGAATGATACCACATACGGGCTTGGCAGCGCCGTTTTCACGGAGAATCTGACCAAGGCGCATAGAGTAGCGAGGAGGATCGAGGCGGGTATGGTTTGGGTCAATAGTAGCAATGATTCGGACTTTAGGATCCCGTTCGGAGGAGTGAAGCAGAGCGGGATTGGAAGAGAATTGGGAGAGGAAGGGCTGAGGGCTTATACGAATGCAAAAGCTGTGCATGTCAATATGGGGTCGCGGCTATGAGTAGGGTTATTTTCGGTTCTAGCAGCAAGATGCACGAGCAGAAGGGCTGATTAAGGCATCGGTGTTATCATGTTGGAAGTCGGCCTCGAAGCCAAATCTTGACTGAAATGACAACGCCAACAGGACGTTTCACGTTCTCGATGTCTTGTCTCGAGCACCAGAGTACGACTTGTTGTCTTGTTCGCAGGATTTGATGCTTTCGTAGAGCCACGGATGCTAGCATGTTGCCCGAGTCTTCCCGTCTTATCGCTTGATTGGAATATTCGCCACAATCACTGAGCAAGAAAGCGTGCAACTGTTCCTGTACTCGCCCAGACATGCAAGACTGTTCGACGCTCTGCACAGCTCCTGTGGACTCCCGTGTATCATGGTTCTTGTTTGATACCATCGGCTTTCAATTGTCGTGAAGTAATCCCTTGCATGGAGCCTCGTTCCAAGAGAAGCGCCCTTGAAATTGGCAGGAGCCCACAAGCCACTAGAATTCAGGCACTTGGCCGCCTTCCTCTTGATCGTCCTGATTGAAGCGGGCCAAAGTAGTCAAACATAGATCGTCAACATGGCCGCTGGGTGTCGAGGGTCCAAGGACGCCTTCTTGCCGTCTCGAGGCCTTATTCTAATAACATCGACAGTTTGGGCCTAGCAGCAGACGTGTGCATCATCCGATGACATGACCGGAGCGATGCTCCGATAAGCAAGTATGTTGTCGCGAGAGCATGCAAGTGATATTGTGTTTCGGAAATTGCTCGCGTGGAGATGGTACGCTAGTCAGGTACTAGTATTCGTAATTTTGGTCTTTTATCGCATTAATCTTAGCGGAAACCATGACCGCCGACGATATCCGTCCGGAGCAACTTTTCAACCTCTCCGTCTTGAAGTCATAGATCCTTAAGCCAGGATACTTGAAACGGGTCGTGTCGCTTGGAATATGGTCTGACGTTGGATCGCGAACATCTGAATTGTTTCGGTGGGTACTACATTTGGGGACATGTATATCCGTAGGAACGCGGCCTGAAGGGAGCCTCTGCTGATGATTGGAAGGTATTCCACTGCAGGGACCCAACGACATTCAGAGTTTTAGTCTGTGAGCCTCTTTTGGGTAGAAAACTCTAGACTCTGCGTTGCGGATTCCTGCGCAAGATCGTTATCTCTTCCCCGGAGCCTACAGATCAAGCGTTGTGGAGCATCGGTATGTCTCTGGTGCAAAAAGGATACCGTGCGGAGAAACTCTAGTGCTTGAGCCCACTCTGCCCTCGAAGCTACAACGACTAAAGCGCAGCAGAGCCCTCGACCTTTTACAATGACTCCATCCACGAATCAAGCCCCAGATGCCAACATCTCCACTTTGGACTCTCTCAAATACTGGAACTCGATATCTACGACTGTCGACGGGATGCTCGGTGGCTACCCGGAAATATCACGAACAGATCTCAAAGGATCTGCCAATTTTCTCGCCAAGCTACGCCGTGAGCAAACTTCCCGGTCTGCGGACGGCCCACTCCAAAGAGGCGTTGATTGCGGCGCTGGAATTGGCAGAATCACTGCTGGTTTCCTGAGCACCGTTTGTGAAGTTGTCGATGTCGTTGAACCGGTGGAGAAGTTCGCCCGGGAAGTCAAAGGCCAGAAGATGATTGGCAGCGGTTCCCTAGGTAGTGTCTACGTGGCTGGGCTGGAAGATTGGGTGCCTGAAGCGCAGTATGATCTCATTTGGAACCAATGGTGCCTAGGACATCTGACAGATAAGCAGCTGGTGGCTTATCTTGAAAGATGCAAGAATGCCGTGACAATAGATGGATGGATCATTGTCAAAGAGAACATGAGCACGAACGTTGACGGAGAAGACTTCTTTGACCAACAGGACAGCAGTGTTACGCGGACGGATCAGAAATTCAAACAGCTATTCAAGGAAGCAGATATGAGACTTATCAGGACGGAAGTCCAGAGAGGGTTTCCGAAGGGGCTGTACCCTGTTAGGTTTTATGCTCTCAAACGCTGAATAGATTGAAAGTGTGGGATGTCACTGGCTGGAAATAGCGACGGAACTGGAGTGCGCAAGGTACAAGCTTTGACCATGGATGATGTGTGTTATGAGAACCCCAACGAGCATGTGAGACAAAGACTTCTATGCCGCTCGGTGATTCTCAGTCTTGAAGTCGTCCTTTCGCCTCCAAAGCCGCTACTTAGACAGTCATCTGCGGCTGGTGTGCAGCCGACATAGCTGCAACATCCTCGGCATCGACCAGGCCCATGATGAAGTCCCTGTGGAGATTTAAGGGTCAGCTTTTCTCTTTGTATCAGAACTATGGGCCGCAATTTGGCGGAAATGCCCTCGGGTCTGCTCCCGCGACCTCAGTCCGGACGTCAATTAGGAGATACGTACCACTCTTTCTTGGCCACCTTCGAAACGCTCAGGCGAGATTGCTTGAGCACTTGCATGTTCTCCAAAACACCACCATTCTTTGCGTACTTCTGGAGCTCCTTGAGCTTGATCATCCCCGGAAATTTCTGGACAAATTTGACATGTACGAGACACCACTTCGGTTTTTCCCGGTCTGATTTCTCGTCGAAGTAGGGATGCTTGGGGTCGAACGCGGTTTCTGAACCAAGATCAGCCAGTTGAAAGGACCATTTACAGGGAAAGGACCGTCTCACCGTCAACTGAGTGCTCCTGGACAATCTCCATTGTACCTACGATGCCTGGTACTTTGCAGTTGGAATGATAGAAGAATGCCATATCTCCCTTCATCATAAGCCTCATGTTGTTGCGTGCTGCCAGGCCGATCAGTCACTCACGCGGTACTCAACTGACCATGATTACTCACCGACGGGATTGCGGACACCTGCAAATATGGTATCAGCACTTGTTGCCCAACTTCTCATTTCAATACCAATACATACCGTCCCATCCTTCGGGCTCGCTTGCAGCTTTGAGATCGTCGATGGAGAACTTGACGTCCTTGCCCTTTTCGATACGTGACTCGGGTTCGGCTTTCATAAGGAAGTAAGCTGGGCCTTCGTTGTTAGCCTCAGCTTCCTCCTCAGCTTCAGCCTTCACGGCAGGCTTCTCTCTGAGTGGAACGTCGATGAGAAGGTTGGAGGTCCTTCCGGGTACGGCGGCCTCTTCCTCAACAGTGGTTGTTTTGGCTGGTCTTCCTCGCTTTCGACCCTCAATTGCTTTGACCTTTGTTGCAGTCTTTGTTGCGGATTTATTTGCTGTTTCGTTGGCTGAACCCTTGATTGTACTTTTAGCTGGTTTGACGGGTGTAGACTTCCCACTGATCGAGCTTCTTGTTGAACGCGGAGCTGCAGCTACAGCAAGTGAGGTCCTGCTTGGCCTCGATGACGACGCGGTGGGTTCTACGACTTTTTTCTGTCTCTTCGTTGCAGCGGTACTCGTGGCATCAGTCGCCGTATTTACTTTGCGCTTAGCTGGAGCCATGATTTCAACTGTGTTAGATGGTATAGTTAGCAAGATTGTGACAGTGAGGTTTGATTCAGATCAAATTCACAAATGCGACTTCCGCGCGTATGGCGCTAACGGATAGGCTAGCTGCTTTGGGCCCTTTCCGTTCTTCTTTCACCTACTTACCTTGCCCTTGCTCGTCTGATATTGCTTGAAGTTGGTTCAACTGCTCACACTGTGTCTAATAATGAGCCTCCTAGATATAGAACTTCTTGGAGCTGGTAAAGGTCGGGTCAGGATGTGAAACGGCAAAAGTCGATGGGGCTTTTCCTTTCTCTCAAGAGTTTCAGTCGCTTCCTCCACTGTCCATACGCCAAGGATCTGGCATTATACGGTCTTTCATACCAATATTTCCTACTCGTGTGCCGTGACCCTCTCTTCTCATGCGTCCTCAAATACCTATATGAAACCATCGCGCTACCCCTCTCCAGACAGCGTTTCCTCTCGCCACATTCGTCTGCGAGGACGTCACTCTGATCACACTTCGACTTTCTGACCGAACTGATGCATAAGACAAACACCTGGTTCTTGTCGTCCAATCACGCCGCGGTGGACCTGCTAGGATAGCTACACCATGCTTGGCCGCTAGGCTGAAGGCCATAGAGGAGGCGTGGTAGACAACATGTGCTGTATGCTGGTGCTTTCAGCTTACCCATCAGAAAGCATCTGATGGAGGTTAGGAATTGATATAGTATTCAAAGATGTGGAAGTGGCCATCGCCCGTCCTAGAAACAGACTGGGCCGGTGACGACTTTGGAAAGAGGAAGGACAGGGTGGGACGGTAAGCTGCTGGTGCGAAACACTTCAGAGGCGAGCTCTTTGATACTGGATCAAATGACTGCTGGCATAATCAACATGTTACAGTGAGTGAATCAATGTGTATGAGCTACAGCCAACCATATTTATAGCAACGATCTACACCTCAATATAAATAGCCTTCAGTAACACTGCCCTTCCCCATGTATCCGCCAGTACTCCCGGCTGAATCGCTCCCAATCTCGCAACCAATTCCTCGAACGCTTCTCCTGCAACCTCTTTCCCTCCTGGACCAGCACTAACGGCGCCGTCTGCCTCGCCATACAATCATCCCAATATCGTCCATGCATCCCACTCCCTACACCAGCGGCGCGCACAAGCGTCCCACTGCCCGCCTCGCCGGCAAAGCCTTGAACGTGACTTGATCCCAACCAGCATACTCGCGTCCAAACTCTGAACGGCACAATCCGGGATTGACACGGTTCACAGTAACAGGCGGATGGTTCCGCAAGGTGCCACTCAGCCAATCCACGCACGACGGACGCTTCGAGAAGTTGGCTGACGCTGCATCGATTCTTCCGATTCGCTGCAGCAGTCCGCTCTGCAAAGTCATTGAAGGAGGTGCGTTGCACTGCGCACAATGACCAGATGAGGAGCGGTGCTGCAGCGTTGAGCCCTCTGTTCGTGTTTCGGCGGGAGCAAATCAAGCGAGCGGAAAAGTGCTAATGACATTCGTGTTGACAGTCAACTCCAATCCTTCGACCGGGCACAAAGTCTCGGATCCAACGCCCTCATTCAGGACAATGGGATCAATGCGATGAAGCTGGGTACAGGCTTGGGAGGCGAAAGCATCGACGCTTGCGTATGACAAGAGGCCGAGGGACAAGACGAGGATTTGGGCAGCAGCTGGTTGAGGATTGGATGGAGACATTGGCCTCGGCACGTTTGGGAAGGTCGTGGACGGCGAGGATGACGTTTGAGGCGTCGAGGCGAGCGCAATGGCGAGCGGCTTCGAGGCCGAGACCTGTGTTGGCCCCGGTGCCGATGACGGTTGCCCGTGATACCGATTAAGAAGAGCGGTAGCGATGATGCTGCGCGCCTTTCCAGCGGTGAGACGCAAGGAGTAGCTTACCAGTACACGATGCTGAGGGATATGGTACGCCGAAAGAAGACTTGACGTTTCGAAAGGCAAAATCTTTGCAGATGGATTTCATGCAATCAGGAATGATGGAAAGCTAGCCAAAATCGTGCAGCGACTCATGTATGCGGTCTGAAAGATAGAACGAAAGCAGGGCAAATCTAAAATAGATATGAAGGAACACCGATCCTTAGAGCACGCACATCCTGGACGTCGCATCTCGCAACCATAGTGGAGTGTGTGATGACGAGAAGAGTTACTGTACTGAGTTACGAGTAGGCAAGTCGAATTGACTGATTCCCATGTTTGAGTTCAGAGATTCTTTTCGGCATTCGGCGTTCTAGTGGCGACGTCATCGTGTACATGTTTTCCTCGACCCGGCGAGCGCGGTCTCTTAATGCTTTTCATTTCCCATCACATCCTCGACACAAGGGTTGAAAAAAGCCCATAGAAGATATTCGCTTACAGAGACATGGCTGAGATGCAACGATGGACGGTGACCGAGGTGTGTGGCATGAATGGACAAGATTCCCGCATCCCACGGGCTAAACCTTGCTTAGCCCTATATCAAAATGAGTTGTGGGTTGGGCGAAGCACCATACTACGAAAGCAGCCGGCATACCCTCCGGTTTGTAGACATTGTCAAGGAGAAATTACACATAGTCGATCTCAACAAAGGTCCATCGTCGTTGGAATCATTTGATCTGGGTACTCCTGTTAGGTCAGCTTGACTGCTACTGAAGCGTAGTTTTACCTCTCTAACGTTACGATAGCACAACGGCGGACATCGAAGGCTCTGATGATGAAATCATTGTCGGTGCCAAGCATGGATACGCCATCATGAACAGAAACACGAAGAAGCTTGAGTACATCAAGAAGGTCTGGGAGGAGCGTGATGGACTGGGAAAGGACGAGAGGTACGCCAGTGTCCTACAAGAGATCGGTCTGCTTGGGATGTTGCTGATCAAATGAATTCCAGAATGCGCTTCAATGATGGTGTCGTTGACCACGAGGGAAGATATTGGGCCAGTACAATGAATGACCCCAAAGTGAAGGCACCTCCAACAGACGAAGGAGTACTGTTTCGTCTGGATCCGGACATGACCCTCCATCGAATGATCGAAAAAGTGTCAATCCCCAACGGCATATGCTTCAGTCCCGATGCAAAGATTATGTACTTCATTGACTCACCTACGAGTAACGTGTTTAAGTTCGAGTACGACAGAAAGACGGGTGATATCTCCAATCGCGAGGTGTTCTACCATGTCGAAGGAGACGCTGTGCCTGATGGCATGACTATCGATGTAAATGGGTGCCTGTGGATCGCGATCTGCGGCGGTGGCAAGGTTCTGAAGGTGTCACCAGAGGCAAAGGTCGTGGGGGAAATTTTGCTACCTTACGCGAGAATGATTACGTGCCCGGCCTTTGCTGAGGAGGACTTGTTCATCACGTCCGCAGAAGAAGAGGAACCTGACAAATATCCGGATTCGGTCAAGTATGGAGGCAGCTTATTCAAAGTTCACGTGGGGGTAAATGGCCTCGGAGTGCACAACTTCAAACGACGTTGAAGGAATATAGACCCCCACTCAGCGACTGTTGTTTTATTTGGCCAGTGTTGATATCACTAACGGTTTTCTGTGGGTCGCAGCATATTGATTAGGCTGTTCGCTCCTGCAGAACAACTTGACCGCCTTTCCATCCCTGAACTCGTGTCTTGATCGAGAACCTGAAGAGATTTCCCAACGTGTCTTCGTATTGTGCATGCCAATGATAACCGCGCCTCTGCCCAGACATCAGAAGCAGAGCCCTAGTGGCGTCGCAGGGTCCAATGTTCGCGAAGGCAGACCAAAGGATCTTCAGCCCTAGTGGATCATTGTTCCAGGGCGACGGGTTGACGCAGCCTTGGCCTGTTGGTCACACTTTCACACAAAACAAGGCTTCTCTGCGTGTGATGTTTAAAACAGGCTGACGATCCGAAGGGGAAGTATTCTCGCACTGAACAGACCCAGGCGAGATTAAAAGCGGTAAGTTGGGCTATTTTGACAAGGTGTTTCCAACAGCTAGGAAGCTTGCAGAGCATTCAATTCTCCTCAAAGGGAAAATTGTGGCTGAATCGAATTCAGTATCTGAAGAGATGATATGTTGGATGATAATGATAATGATAATGCAGGAAGGAAGCAGATAATGTGCGGGTGCCCGATATGTGGGTGACCTTTTCATAAAAAGCATATGCAAAGGATTATTATAGTATTATTATTATGTGCCAACTATTATTATGGATTATGATTGTGAAAGTGAAAAGTGAAAGGTGAAAGTGAAAGTGAAAGTGAAAGTGGAATTAAGTTATTTGGGTCGGGGGGAGAAAATGTCAAACATGCAGGCTTGGGCAGCCCAGCCGCTGATGCCTGCAAGCTTCAAAGGTTACCCGGAAAGCCATGTGCGCTCACGGGATGTTTTTACGCTTTCAGTTCTCCCGCCCACAAAAAGTGGGTTTCAAAGTTCAGACGACAGAATCCTGCCTAGACGACCGGAAAGGAAAGGTAACATTTGATTGACCTCGCTTGCACCTCTTTCAAAATATACATCTTGCCTACTGTCATTATTTATTGCGCAAGCAGCTGAAACAGAAGTCTCTCCCCTTCAAAAGGGGAAGCAAAAGATCGTGTCATATTAATCACCCTTTCAATCTTCACACCTCGCACTCCCCTGTCCTTACGATCTGACATGACGATGAAGCTCGATTGGCGCGCTAAATCCGTACACATGGGTCTATCTCGGTCAATCTCTAGCATGGTTGGGCTGGAGAGCAATCGAACCTTGAGCAAGTGCTATTGTCAGTGTGACTGAAAGAAGCCGACTTTCGACCCCAAAGAAGCTGGATCGAAGCATCAGATCTGCCCTAATATGACCCTTGGGCCTTGCCTAATTTCGGAATGAGACCCGATACTCCCAAAACTGTAGGCTTGCTTTTAGGGTCGCTTGGGGGCAGACAAGGGTCGCAGCTAGATTTGAATAGGCATACTCATTAGTACTCCACGAGGCTGCTGTTGGGCTCTTGCAGCTGTCAAGCTTTCATCGCGCACGTACTGTCCAAAAGCTTGAGACGAAAATAGTCATCTCAGCGGGTTTAATTCTGCGAAGGCTAAAGTAAGTGTCCATCTAAAAGCAATAGCAATGGTCAAGGACAGGAAGTGATGAGCTGCAATTGCCACTGCAACGACGGTCCTATCGACCGCTGAATGTACTCGTGAGGCTGAACGGCCTCTTCTGTACCTGTACCTCGGATACAGTAGAGTGAAAGCGACCTGACAGGCAGAAATGAGTGCCAATACAATTAACAACATGGATGACTTGTCGATCCATAATTATGATCAAGTCGAGTAATCTCTTACTTACTTATCGACATCATGCAAGAATCATGGTACACCGTGGCCCCTCAAGCTGACGCTCCCACTTGTCCTGCAGGGTTATCACATCGGAGTACCGAGCCCAAGGTACCGATGCTAGGTACCGCTACTGCTGCTGCTACTGCTGTTAAACGCGAAGCAGCTAGTAATCTCAAGATCTACAGCACTTCTGCATACCACAAAAACGTGGCCTCGCAGGCCTGCAGAATAGACTTGCCTAGCGGATAGGGGAACTGGTTCCGGCAAAGCCTATTTATCTAAGAGCCGAACTTGTCCTCCCTGCCTTAGGCCTACCCTGCATCCCATTCCTTCAAGCCTTCAAGCCACTAGAAGCCACAGCAATCCTTTGGTGTGGCCCCGCTGTGGCCCTTAGCTCAACGGCCCACACCACGGGGTGAAGTACCCAGTACCCCGTACCCAATAACCAGTACCCATTCACCCCCATGTCACCTTTGCCCACGCCACGTCATTCATTCATGCCCTTTCTCCCTCGACCTTTTCTCATGGCGCTTCTATCGTCGGAGACACGACACCATGTTCATGCCTCCCGTTCGAATCATTCGCTTAGCATTGATGACGGTAGTAGTAGAGACGGTCTTGTTCGCCAATATACGAATATGAGGCGCGGATTTCTGTAACAGATGTGAATCATTAATTCGTGCTTTAACGCCTTACCCCTGATCTCTCTGGAATCGGTTGGTGAGATGCAAATGAGTGGCTAGCGTGAGCCGCCTGTGTGGGTGGTGGAATTCAAATGCGCCATACGTCAAATAGTCAGCAACGGAGCCGTGGTGGTCAAGCTACTCTGACTGTTTTTCCGGTACTTCCAAACCGAGTGCATATTTCCCTCCGTTTTCCGGAGAAGGGTTTGATTTGATCGAGATTGGAGGGTGATAAGTGACAATGATAATAATAATAATAATAATAATAATCATGAGGGAGCCACTGAGTTCAAGTTCCGTCGCCCGTCCGACCTGGATCCTTTTCGCACATGGCTTCCAATCTACTTTAGAGTCCTCCCCCCCCCGATGGCCCTAAGCAAGGTCTAACATCTTCTAAGCTTCTAAGGACATGTTCCCGTGCTCCCCGTGCCCGCCGCCCGACCCAATGGAACCAAAAAAAACCACCCCCGGTAGTAGTGTCTCGACGCTCCAAGAATGAGTTGGCTGGGATTGTTTAGTTTCATGTCCCTGGATCTCACAGGGCCAAGGTGGTAAGGGTAAGGGTAAGGGTGAAAGGGTGACACGCAGTTTACGAGCTATGATGACACCTCATAGCTCACCGCTTCCTGCATGCTGCTTGCAACCCAAGCTAAATACTTGAACGGTCGCCCCATATTCCTTCTTTCAACCTGACATCTCGAACGACTCACTACAATTACCTTTGCTACGCTGCCCAAACCTCCCTGCTACATCACGCGCCGTCCATATACCATCAGTCCGCTCACTGTCAATCTTAACTCCACCTGGCGCTTATCTACTTTCATCATCTCTTAATTTGTACCTCGTCTCCACTGCATTACCCAATCCAGCCGAGTCCTCCCTATTTATTTATATTCCGGGACATCATTCGTCCCTCTAGCCGCCAACGTGGAGGTCCTACCTTTTCACGTCCCCACCTCATCTTCTCGGGGAATACCTTTGTCGATTCCCGAGATCGAGCAGAATTGTCCTGACATTGTTGCGAGGTGGTACCATAGTCAGTATAGACATCATCTACCTTGCAGAGATACCAACAATCATTCCAAAGACAACCTCCCAATTCAATGCCACGGGCGTTCAGAGAACCGCCGATTCCTGGAGGAGGTACACATGTCGCAGCGGCCTGCTTCGTCGCGTCCTTCGTCCAGCTCTCCGCATGACAGAACCAAACGTCTTCCTCCCCTGGGATCCAGAACTCTACCGCCCATCCAGAATACAACCGCCCCCGGAGTATCAAAAAATGGTGCTCCGAACATTTCCGCCACGCAAAATTGTTCCGCACAACCGACACCACCGCCATCCTCCACGCCTCCAGACCAGCGACCGTCGCGTCCCATCGGTGTCCAAAACTTGCTTAATCCTGCAACAAGTGGAGAAACGACCAAGATCCAGAGCCGACGCCGAAATGCCGAGCATGTGGATTCTTCTCCGAGAGCAAGTCCTCTTACCGCAATGCCTCGCGCGTCAACTCCATCTTTGCCTCCGACTTCCATGACCAATCGGTCTCCAGTCAGCATGACATTACCCAGTATTACGCCGCCTTTGGTCAGCGTGCATCCTCTGCCTTTGGGTCGGGCGATGACTCCCCATCTGTCGCCATCAAGCTACGGCCCTGGCTCTGTCACCATAAACAATCCGAGCGGGACGATGGATGTGAAACAGTCACCCTTCGTCCTGCCTCGAGATCATAACGGTGCAGGAGGACGAGGAAGTCTTCCGGACCTTGCCACTGCCACCTCTTTGCCTGGCGACCCTTACGGTGCTCCTTTGCCGCCTGCAAGATCCCCTCCTGGTCGTAGAGGTAGCCAAGACTCCACCCGCTACTCTCATATGCAGAATCTGCTGGAGAGAAAAGGTGGCATGGCAACGGGACCTCAATCGGTAGCCTCTCAAGGTGACAGCCCCAGCACTCAATATTCGTCCTACAGCCAAGTCAGTCACACGCCTCCTCCTGCTCCACCTCCATCTACCGGTCAACCGCAGTCGTTCTTCACTGCACCATTTACCGCGCCGGGTCCGGCCTCGTCGATGGCGCAGATGGGATTTGACGCGGCATCGGGCAGCACGGCGGGCGGGAGTACATATCAAATGATGACTCTCGACACCGAACAAGGTCCCATTCAGGTACCTGTTGACGTGCAAGCTGCGTCGAAAGTCGCTGACGAGAAACGCAAGCGCAATGCCACGGCCTCCCACCGGTTCCGTCAACGTCGGAAGGAAAAGGAGCGCGAGAATTCTCAAAACATTGCGAAGCTGGAAGACCAAATCCGACAGATGGAGGAAGAAAGAGAACATTATAGGAGGGAAAGGGATTACTTCCGTGAAGTAGCAGTTCGCCAACCGGGTCAAACACATGTCCTGGCTCGACCGCTGTCGCCAAGGCAGAGGCGACATTCCTCAATCGGTGGATCCATGGGGTATCCTAATGTGCAGTTTGAAGGACCGGAGACTGGAAACCGCACCGGAGGCCGAAATACTAGGCGAAGAACAAGTGCCTACGTCCCTCCTACTGGACCCTCTCCACAGTCTGCTGAGCCAGCACGGCCCATGCCTCAGTACGAGCAGCGGATGGCAAGCAAACCCACCGAGCATATCCAGGGAGGCGACCACGCCCGCCTCTCCCTTCAAACCGGTCCTTTCGACCCATCTACAACACGGTGATAGATATGAGGGGAAAACAGGACCCTAAAAGCGGTGTATATATATTGCTTCCTACTCACCTTGAAAACATGACTCATTGAGCGCTTTAGCGAGTAACTCTACTTTGAATTTGTCTATATATTTCCGCGCAAAAGATACCCCCATGACCTGGTCAGCATTGTCAGCGTTCTGAGCGTGTAGCGTCGTTGTTTCTCCAACCCCCCTTCATGGTTAGGTGCGGGGAATTGGGTTAGACTACAGTCCTGTCTTGGTGGGCGGTTTTCTGGCAGCCAAATCACACCCGGGGGTCCTTGTCCTTGTCCTTGGTGTTGGTCAACATTTAGATTGCATTGAGGATATATGTCTCCACAGAGCTACACGGGAGGGGGAATTAGGATGGGATCTGTATTTAATGGGATCGTGTGCACATAGACTCTACTACACCATCGCTGGGCGAGTGGATACACATGGTAATGGAGGAAATATACGAAGACAGAAAAAGAGAGAAGTGGAAAGGACTCGCACTTGTTCTCACAATCACGAACACTGTAACCGCATGCAGTAAGGCCGCTCTCTTCCTGAGGTGTCATGTCCGAGACAAGGCAAGAACCAGGGCAACAGCATGGCAAGATAGCGTCGCAAAGATATCCAGAAGCGGGATGGGAAAAAAGGAAAGATAGAAAGTTGGCAGCACGAATTGAGATTTGAGAAGATGGGCAATTGGCAGTGGAGGAAAGAAGAAGATACACGTGCCTAAGGAGGCTAAGCTTACTCGTATGTCGTGCATGTACTTAGCATAAGGTAAGGTAAAGTAAAGTAAGCTAAGGTATAATTAGTAAGTAGCGGTGAATCCCATCTCGCTTCCTGCCTTCCCACAGGAGTAAAGTAGCTACGGTAGTTAATAATAATCCCGACACACCGGATCCGTGCTTACAACCGATGCTTTTTTTCTCTTGCTGCAAGCTGCAACCTGCACGCACGGATCCCACTGCACCTCCATCATCATCATCATCATCATCATCATCATCATCGTCGTCGTCGTCATCACCATCATCGTCATCACCATCTCGGTATCCCATGCAACCCTGCCCGAAGGAAGAGAATTAAAAGCGCAATAGGTAGATGATAGTATAATTCACAAACATTGGCCTATAAATCGCTATGTCTTCTGTCATTGCTCAAAATGATTTACATGCTTTCTAGAAATGATGCCAACTCATCAAAAACATGCCTTAATCATACGAGTGTCAAGCGATTGTTATCAGTATCATTCATTACATTATTGTTATTTCTTTCTTCTTCTTCCTCTTCTCCCTCTTCTTCCATTGGCCGCAACCTACGCACGTTTCTCTTCTCACCGCCTCGAGAGGAGTGCTGAAGTCTTATCGACAATGGGCAAAAGATCAAAGATAAAGAAAGTGACCGCATATCTTTTCAGCATCTTTTTCCATACCATAGCGCCGAATGGAGGAGGTCGTCGCGCGTCCCACGGCCCACCACGCCGGGTCGGGTTGCAATTCGATCGAGATCGAGACCCCGGGCGAGATTGATTGAGAGAAAAAAAATTTAAAATTTAAAGGCCGTGTCATGCAGCAGCACAGCCATCTTCATGCGAGTCAGGTTCGTCCACTCAAACACCCTCATGCGACCCTTCCCTCGGCACTCCCGAGTCCCGACTAACAAAACAACCCCCCCCCTTTTTTTTTCCCTTCCCTCCCCCACCACCAAATGATCTTCCAACCGAAGCCGCAGCAGCAGGCATGCATGCATGCATGCAGGTGGGCGGGTCTTTGCTGCAAGCCTGCAACTGGCTGGGATTTTGCTGCACGCATGGCGCAATCTGGGCACATGCATCTGCATCTGCATAGGGGGGGGGGGGAAGGAAGGAAGTGGGCTGCCGACGTGCAGGATTGGTTTTTTTCTTCTTTTTTTTCTCGGGGTCCCTGCGGGGCGTATGTACATTGATCACCGGTACCGAGTGACCACAATCACACAATAATGCGAAAGGGTACATCAATCGTTCGGAATGCACGTTTCCAGGATTCCATCGCTGCACGGCTCGGGTGGGGGCGAGATGGCGACTGGATTCCTTCGCCTCTTGGAGTTGGGTCCTCCATTCCCCCCCCCCCCCTTCGGCTTCGGGGCAGGCCTTTCGGGCATGGGAGGTACCTTGTGGACAGTGGACCTGGTGTGGGTTATTTTTGCGGCCGTGGGGGTTTTTATGGCAACCCGTGGGGGTTTTTTCGGGGTGGGGGGGGCGTAGAAAAGTAGTCGTCGGGTAACGGATCACGATATGACCCGGTCTTCTGTTTAATTACCGGAGATGGAGAAATAGGAAAGGAAAGGGAAAAGGCTCGTGCGCCGGCCTGTGATGGAGGCGGATGAATTCTCCGAACTTCCTTCCATGATGAAACTTGTTCCCCTGCGACAGAGGAGGGAGATTCGAAACCAGACTTTCCTGCGCCGAGCTAGTTCGATAGACTCGGAGAGAAAGAAGGGATTTTAAATATCCAACACCTTTGTCCGTTAAGCGAGCTGATCGATCATCTCCGTCCGTCGCATCACTATTAGGTACTCCGTTTCATTTCGAGAGAAGAAAACAAAAAACCCCCAATGGCAAACACACTACCGTAACCATAGTACCCAAACTCCATCCATCAATCACCCTTCCCTTCCTTCTCGCCTGGCGACCCCCGCTTCTGGCAAGCGGCGGCGGGAATCCTCGAATCCTTCTCTAAACTATCATCATCATCATAGTAGTAGCAGCAGCAGTAGCAGTAGCAGCAGCAGCAGCAGTAGCAGCAGCAGCAGCAATCCCCAACCCCCCAACCCCCAAGCCATGTCCAAAAAGAAATCTCCCAAACCCCGACAGCCAGCCCAACGCGCACGCCAAGGGAAAAAAAAGCCCCACGGCTGCGCGCGCATCATTCCGACCAAGACACTATTCCCCCCCGGAGCTGAAAAAAAAAGGAAAAAAAAGGAAAAAAAAGAAAGAACTAGGGGGACGTGCGTGCGTCAGGGCTTGCCTGAGCTAAGGTAAGCGTCCTTTTGCGCTTGACGTGAAAGAAGAAGAAGAAGAAGAAGAAGCAGAAGAAGAAGAAGGGTTTCCCTTGTTCGCATGGGGGCAGGGACGAATTCTCCGGAATGGGGGTGGATGTGACGGGGCGTGGGGGTGATGGGATGGGATGGTTCGGGGCCCAAAAATAAAAATGGACGAAAAAATGAGAAAAAATGAGAAAACGACAACCCCGGACTACCTACCTACCACCTTACCACTGCTGGTGTTGGAAAGGGGGGGGAAAAAATAAAAATAAAAATAAAAAGATAAAAAAGTGGGCGGACGGTCCTGATGGTTGGGAGACAATCCGAAAAAGGGCCCCCTGTACCCTGTCGTTCGTGCTCGAGCTTTTTGATCATAATTGGGGACGAGACTCGTTCGGGGTGCAAACGACTGGTGTGAGTATGCGGAACATTTGTGCGTGTGTGTGACTGGGGGAGCTAATGCCCGCGAAAGACCGATGCAGGTCGTGTCACGTGGGTACGTGACGTGGGAGACGCGGTCTGTGGGTTATGTTCGGTGTGTAAGATACAAGAAATCATGTAAGATACAAAGAGATCAGGCAAGAAGAGATCGAGGGTACTAAAGAAAAAGAACGCCTCTATATGCGCAAGCATTAATCAAAGTCGTGATCGTGGCATGGAGTTTTCCTTGCGCTTCGGCAAGTGGACAGGACGTCTTCTTTCCAATGCTACTATCTTCAGTCGTTCCCGCATGCCAATCGTCGCAACTTTCCCTCTCATCTCAACCTTCTCATACATACTAGTCGTACAGGTTGGCCTTGTTATAAGGCCGTCACCAATATCGCCGTTGCGACAATAGCGGCAAAGCTGTAGGAAACCCCTTCTCGTGTTGCGGCGCTCTTCTTCGCGGGGGCGAGCTTGTAGGCGGGCTCGTAACCTGCCGGGTTCGTACTGTTGACCGTGCCATCCCAGCAGAAGTCTGCGAAGCACTGAGTGCAAACCTGTGGCATCGCCGTCTGTGTTCTTTCCAAGCTTCTTTGCAAAATCGCGCATCCTACACACACAGGCCACGTGGAGTTCACTGTTCCATTGCCCATAGTAGCCACATTGTAGCCATTTTCTACGATAAGATCGCGCTGGCTGGTATTGTAGCTCGGGTCAAAGGTCGAGACATTGCTTTGATAGATGTAGGGGGAATTAGGTATGTAGATGACCAGAGGTGTGGGAGATGAGGTATTTGACGAGTTGCAACCGAAGAACGTAGGTCGCGTGTTCAGACCTAGGTTGACGAAAGTATTTTGGTCGGGAACTGCAGGGAATGATGTGCCATTTGCAAGATTCCCCGCATCAGCAGAAGTACCGTTCAAGCTGCGCTCGTAGGTTGCCACGAGGGATGTGCCATTCGGCCAATAGTTGTTCGTGTCAGCTGATGAATCCACAGCGAAAATTACGTCCACATGGCGGAATGGCTGGATAAGCGGGTGGAGAGGGATGTTTTCGAGGTCTTCGCCTCCATCGACGAGACTGAGGGCTGGCTCCTGATAAACTCGAGAGGTCTTTGTGTTGTAGCCATAAAAGGGATTTGGCTGATATTGTGCAATGTCGTTGTCAGACTTGCTGAAACGGCTCAAGATGTCGCTCACGAAGCTTTTGCCAAGTTGCGGTATTGATGTTTGGTTCACGTCCAGGATGAATTGATTGAAGAGTGAGGACGAAGTTCCCATTACGTAACCGGCATTGTCGAAACCCCGAACACATTGTTCATTTTTGGCCAGAATACCACCTGAGAAATTGGATCCCAGGAACTCCAGAGGAACAAAGCCATAAGTAGTGGGATCCCAGGTTCCAAACTCGAAGGGGTTGAATTCGTAGATTGTCGTATTTCCTGAGATCAAGGTCTCTCCTGGAGCACGGCCATCCGTAACCAAGATGGGCATGGGAGAGTCGGCATTGGCAAAGCTTTCCTGCAATTGAATTGACGACCACGTATAGCTTGCGCC